CACATTGTGAATCTTGAGTCATCAAACTAAACTAGGTTTCTAAACTGGTCATCTACTCGATTAACATGAGTTTCGACCCCATTGTAACGGGCGTTGTTACCATCTTTCAGTCAAACTTAGTTTGAAAAGCTGTAATGCCTGAGCATACCACCGGATGACTTAAAAAGAGAGAGAGAGAGAGAGAAAAAGTCTGTTACTGTTCGCTTTACAAATGATAATATTCTTTAATGCTAATCTCAGATGATTGTCGGATGTACATGGATTCTTTTGTACAATCTTCACATGTTATGCTTTTGGGCTACGGCCTCTCACAGACTTTTAGGGAGGTTTCTTTTTTATTTGGTTTTGTAATAATAATAGTAATAATAATGATAAAAAATAAGCAATATAAATATAATAGCGTCTCCAGCAGTCGCTTTTATCTCGACTTTTATCCTGTATTTAGACTTTTAGCTAAAAGTCATGTTCCCAGAATTCATTTTATTTTATCTAATTAGAAAAAAACAGGATGGAGTTAGAGATCATGTCATGCAACTTATAACTTTCGCCACGTATTCCCTAACTTACTTGTTTCTCAATAAAATAAAATATAAGGCCTATACTACTTGGTAATTGTGTACGGCACACAATTAACAGTAAGGAAAAGTCATATAGAACTTAACATAGGCCAATGGGGTCACCCTCTGAGAGGAAGGGGGGAGCAAAGCTCCTAGTCTAATTAGAAAAAACAGGATGAAGTTAGAGATCATGTCATACAACTTATAAATTTTGTCACGTATTATCTAACTTACTTGTTTCTCAATAAAATAAAATATGAAGCCTATACTACTTGGTAATTGTGTGCCGTACACAATTGACAGTAGAGAAAAGTTATATAAAACTTCATAGGCCAATGACCCCTTCCCCCGAGGGGAGGGGGGAGCAAAGCTCCTAATATATATAATAACACATTTTGGTTAAAATATATAAGAGTTGATTTTTTTTTACTATGACTATAACTAATTCTAACTCTAGCTATAACTCTTATTCTAACACTAGCTATAACTCTTATTCTAACACTAGCTATGACTCTTATTCTAACACTAGCTATGGCTCTAATTCTAACACTAGCTATGACTCTAATTCTAACACTAGCTATGACTCTAATTCTAACACTAGCTATGACTCTAATTCTAACACTAGCTATGACTCTAATTCTAACACTAGCTATGACTCTAATTCTAACACTAGCTATGACTCTAATTCTAACACTAGCTATGACTCTGATCCGGATTTTGCTAGTAAAGTTAGTTGTTAGTAATGTTAGTTGTTCATAATGTTAGTTGTTCAAAAAGTTAATTGTTTGTAGTTAGTTGTGAGTAAGGTTAGTTCCCGTTGCTTGTTAGTTCCCGTTGCTTGTTAGTGTCTGTTGCTTGTTAGTATGTTAGTCTGTTAGTCTGCTGCTTCTTGTTGCTTCCTGTTGTTACAAAAAGTTTTTTTGTTAGTTGCTTCTTCCGGGGTACCCGGAGATTACTCTTCTTGTTACCATCAGAAGAGTAATCCCCGGACTGCAGATGCTGTGATTACACCGGCAACTGTCAGCCATTTTCTAGTCCCATTTCCAACCTCTTCAGGTTCTGTGGGTGGCTGTGGCTGTGGCTGTGGCTGTGGTTGTGGTTGTGGGTGTGGTTGTGGTTGTGGTTGTGGGTGTAGGTGTGGGTGTAGGTGTAGGTGTGTGTGTGGGTGTGGGTGTAGCTGTGGGTGTGGCTGTGGCTGTGTTATTTCAGCTTCGTACTCGTCATCAGCGTCGTAGTCGGCATCTTCTTCTGCTTCGTCGAGAAGTTCTTCTTCTGCATCAAAGAACTCCTCGCTTTCTTCTTCTTCTTCTTCTTCTTTTACCACTACTTCTTCTTCTTCTTCTTCTTTGACTACTACTACTACTTCTTCTTCTTCTTCTTCTTCTTCTTTGACTACTACTACTTCTTCTTCTTCTTCTTCTTCTTCTTCATCATCATCATCTTCTTCTTCTTCTTCTTTTACTACTACTTCATCTTCTTCTTCTTCTTCATCATCATCTTCTTCTTCATCATCATCATCCTCATCTTCTTCTTCTTCTTCTTCTTCTTCATCTTCTTCTTCATCTTCTTCATCTTCATCTTCTTCTTCATCATCATCTTCATCATCTTCTTCATCATCATCTTCATCATCTTCTTCTTCTTCTTCATCTCCTGCTTCTTCTTCTCTTCTTCTTTCTTCGTATCTTCTGTCTATCTCTCTTCTTCTTTCTTCTTCTCTTCTTCTTTCTTCGTCTCTTCTTTCTGCCTCTCTTCTTCTTCTTATTTCTTCTCTTCTTCTTATTGCTTCTTCATTGCTTCTTCTTTCTTCTCTTCTTCTTCTTTCTGCTTCTCTTGCGTCAATATCTCTTCTTCTTATTTCTGCTTCTTCTATTCTCCTTTTCTTTTGCTTGATAAAATGAGCTGTAGCTTTGTGCTCCAGCTCATTTTCTTTCTCCAATCTTCGCTTAAGCCCCTTGGGCAGGTCTGGTGCTATAGGTATATTATTGATTAATATTATATTGTTTATCTACTATTATATAGAGACATTACTTACCAATCATTCTCACTTGTTTGATCTTTCGACCAAAAACTTTGACTAGATTAGTTTTGGCTAATCTAACTAGAATTGTATGTCTCAACAGCTTTGGGACATGCTTGTGAATGGCCTTTGGGCCAAACACAAACAAGCCGTTGAAGGACAATTTTTTGCTGCTTATGCTGCTGATGCTGCTGCTGGTGTTGCTGTACATTGGAGTAAACTAATGAAAAAGCGCAAAGAAGAAAAATAATACCGTGAGAGTGTTTCTTTTTTTTAAACGCGTTATAATCTTTGGGCCACACATTTTGAGACGCGTTCTTTTTTTAAGGCGCAAGTTATAGCCTTTGGGCCACACATTTTGTAACGCCATCCTTTTTTTTTAATTTTGACATGAGCCAATCATTTGCAATTTTGAATACACGTGTCTGCAACAGAGTACTTGAGTGGGGGAAAGTTACTAGTAAGACTTTGTTGTTAGGAAGAGCTTTTGAGCTGTGTAGTGTCTAGAGTCGGATTACTGACCTCTCCTACTGCCAACTATTTACTTTTTATTTTTCTCCCTCCTTCTACACATTTCAATCTCCTAATGTCGCTGCTTTTCTCTTCCAAATGGCGATGGCCACAAAATACACCCGCCGTCTCAAGTTCCCAAAATCAAGATATAAAAAAGAATCATGATTAACCCCCTTGAGTAATTTTATTCAGGTTCAAGGTACATACACAGAAACAGTTTGTGCAAACTCATTCCATTCGAGCAAACCAATTAAGGGTTTTAAATTTTGATATATATAAAGTATATAGCTAAGACTCACTAACTGTCTAAAAATAATATATATATATATCATTTCTCAAAAGCACCACTGATACTTTCCTTCTTCTTCTTTTTTTGTCGGTATTATTTCTTGATTTAGTCGCCGGTATTTACTGGACGGCTATTTAAAAAACATTATGCAGTTTGTGATATACATACTCCAAGGTATTCGTGATTGTTTATGGACTAGTATCTCAATAACGGGAAGAGTAGATACTGTGAGAGTGTTATTTATTAAAGAGACCAAATAATATTGTTTATATCTATTAATATTAAAATCTCTTTAATTCAAATCTCTGCTGTGTAATGGTTGGTTTACACTGTATGAGTATGTAGCGTACGTGTGCCTGGTGTGTAACAGTTCCGGAAATTGTTAGCTTGCAGAGTTCATTAACAAGAAGGAACCAGTGTTTGGTTTTGGAGTCTGTTCTTCACTCAATTGTGGTGTGTATACCGCAAGGGGTACGAGGGGTATTAGGGTTATAAGGGTTATAAGGGGTACGAGGGGTACGAGGGGTAGAAAGATTATAAAGGTTATAGGGACCCTAATGACTTTAAGGACACTAATAGCTCTAAGAGCTCTAGATGCCTTAATGACTTCAAAGATATCAGAGATTTTAAATGGTTCAAAGATATCAGAAACATTCTTGCCATCATTATATATATTATTATGGATATACTATATACAATAATAATTGTGTACCCATTTGAAACAAACAGTAGAGAAGTAGATAAAGCTAAGAATCCAATGTCACATCATATAGAATTTAAATTGATATGGGAGAAGTTTTAACTATCAAGATAATTATTAAAATTTGAAATGGTTTTATAATATTAGACAAACAGATATTATAAATGGACAGTGAATACTTAAATTGATACTAGTATAAGAGCTATATAAGAAACTTTAGAAAGAAGTACAGTCAAAGCTCGATATAGTGATATTCGATATAGTGATAATTTTTTGGAAAATTTGTGTCCGTGCCTGTTTATTATCACTATATCGAGCTCTGAGTTTATTTTTATAGTACAAAAAAATAAATGTAGTATATATTTTATTTAGCATTTTAAAGCAAGCCCACTTTCTTAGACAAAATACTATGAATCCTATTAGAAAACAGTAGTCACTCACAGCGGCATTAGAAGTATCACTAAAAAATATACGGAATAAGAAAAAAATCACGCTCGATATAGTGATAGTGATAAAATTTCTGTCCACCATCCATATCACTATATCGAGCTTTGACTGTAATATCATAAATGATAGAAGATGAGTATACAATATATGAAATAATGAAAAAAGAAACTAAACAATTCAGTGCAATTATCGCTATTTTATTTGAACCAAGGTTTTCAATATTTGTATTGGTTATGTTTGCTTTTTATTTTGGTATCAAATATTTATAAGAATAAAATATTTAAATAAACTTAGACAAACATTTTTTTCTTTCTTAGAATAGTATGATTATTGCTTCTTAAACTGTCTCAATGGAAACAACCAGTATATATTGTTTTTTTTAGTATTGCTTTATTTCAATTTGATTTGATAAATATTAATAGAAATGTATGTACTTATATGTACATACATATCATTTCTTTGGAGGCCATACTAAATCAACATCTAGTACATCTAATTCTATGAGATCTGCACCAACGGCACCTGTTAATGTGGCTAGGTTAGGAAGAGTGCGCCCAAGATCACCATGAACAAACTCTTTGATGTAGGTTCCTGCCTGTGTATTCAAAGTCAGGACACCAAATTGACTCTCGACACCACTCAAGGAAGCTCCATCGACTCTTTCTAAATGACAAGTGTGGATTTCCTTTTCTCTGATAGCAGCAGAGCGTCTAATAACAGAAGAAAATGAGGAAAACAAAATGACAAATTTAACAAGATTCCTTTGTCGAGATAATTATCGTGTTCTTTATCTCTCTCTCTCTCTCTCTCTTTATTTACCTTTGGAATACACGAAGAGGTGTAGTCTGTTGAATCTTGAAAGGAGCAGAGCCAACTTTGTTAACCTTTTCAATTATTTCGTCGGTTATTGGTTGGGAGATCCACACAAGTGCTCTATGTATATAACATTCAATTGTCAGCCAAGGTGCTGTATAGACACACAAAAATATATGTCTATGGAAATATTGAATTGCATATGGATGAATTCTTTACCTATAAGATTTGCATTTGGTCTCTTCGCCTTCTTTGATAATTTTTGTATCGGAACTATTACATATGTATAATAAAGTAAGCCACACCATTTCTTTGTCTTATTTTTTCTTACATTTCATGCTTAGGGCGAGAGGTCTTTTGGTTAGCATGTTTGTAGTTTAATGACTTACGGTGATATTTTGCACAGATGGCGCACCTGGACAGCATCTTTTGAATCCTGGTTGTTAATTTCGTCTTCGATCTTCTTGTACTCTTCATCTGCAAGTACTGGCTTTCTAGGATTGATCAGCTCGCAGTAAAATGGACGACCAGTTCCCAGCATGCGTACATTTGCATCTTCACGGCCAGCAGTAACAAATTTACTGTCTACACAAATGTGAAGCACACATTTTTTTTAAGAAAAAAGTTAATTTAAAAAGAAAAATGTATTGGTTAGATTGTCTGAATTACTTACTATCACATCGATGGTATCTTTTAATGATCTCTTCAATTGCTTCAGAAACCGAGAACTCGGCCAGGCGTTTTCCTTTTATTTCCCATGGTGTTTGACTATATTCTCGAGACATTTTCAAGTATCGACCTTTTAAAAGAAAAGCAAAACAATTTTTTAAAATGATTATTTAGTTTATAGTTTATATATACATATGTAGAGAATCTTACCACCAACAATAGTTGATTCATGAACCATTGCTACATCTGCCAATGTAATTTGAGTTGTTGGAGGAAGGGGAGGAATTGCTGTCAAACTATATAGTAAGTCCCCCATAAAAATATTAGTAAAAGATAGCGTCGAAATGTTAGAAAAAGAAAGATATGAATAATCCAATTATAATATATATATACTGACCTATAAGCTTCTTCTTTACTCAAAGCAGCCAAGGCTTCAGTAATTGTGGTTCGTGATTCACCTGCTACAATACTTTTTCGCTAAGAATAAAAATAAGAATAAGTATATGTGGACTATTGTTTTCCTTTGTATATATATGTATGAAAAAAGACCTACGTTTTGGCGCACTTTACGAAGCTTCATTACAGGCTCCTTGACTTGTGTCAAGAATCGATGTTCAAGTGCTGTTTCCAAGTGATCCAACACTATTGTCATACGTAAAGGTGCGGTTACAGGGTCCATGGTCCAGCCATATCTTTCCACCAATTTATCGGATATCACAGCCTTAAAGGCATCTTTAGGATCATGCACAGGTTCGCTATTCCAGATCTCAAGCACAGAGGGAGGGAAATCTGAGAGGCGGTCGGAAACATAAACACCCAACAGATGGCTTCTGTGCAGACTGCTGACAGGCATAGTACAGTTGAGATTGACACGTTTGCAATCATAATTTTCGGTGTCAATTTTATCAAAAATGCCCTGGATATTTTCGGGTTGGTCCATCCAACCAAGTGCACCTAGACAAGCCGGGCATCCCGAAGCAACCTGAACTTCTTCGTCATTACTGACAGGTTTAACATCCAACAACTTGGCCAGTGAATTAAATGCCGTTTGAAGATCCTTTTTGTTTGGTGTGTGTGCGTGTGTGTGTGTGTGTGTGTGTGTGTGTGTGTGCGAGGTTTTATTTAACAGCAAGAGTAAATAAATAATAGATGTTTTCCCTTTTCTCGTTAGTCAATGAAATCAGAGCATGATAATAATAATAATAGTAACAGTATCAATTATAGTAAAAGTCTTAAGAAAAATAAAATGAGGTCTCGAATAATGTACCTGTTCAGAGGCTTTGTAAATCTTCATTTTGTTACAGCGAGTAAATCGCAAACAGCATCTGTAGCAACATTGGACGTCTCGTAACAAGCGTGCAATGTGTAGTCCAACTGCAATTGACTGCTCTGGCTCAGGATGCAATCCGGAAATACGGAGACACTCTCGAAGCTCTTCAATGAGGTTCATGACGATTGGAATGTTGAATGCTTAAACTCGATCTTCATTATGCATTATATATTTTTTTTTACTTGCTTTTACTCTTTTTTTTTTTTGTTTCAGAAAAAAGACGTGACTTCAATTTTGTGAACATTTTTTTTGGATCAAGGTTTTTTGTTCGACTCTTCTTGTCTTTAACAAATATTTCCTAAAAGAAGACTTTATCGTGTCTTGATAGTCCAAATGGACACTATTTGATAGCTGAATATATATAAGTCGATATATTTGGCTTATCACTCAATATATAAATCTCTTTCTTTTATATATATGTTTATGTGCTGTATTTTTAGGTCATATTGGCTTTGTAAATACCCATTCAATTTCAATGTGAATAATTTATCCTTTCAATAAAAAAAACGCATGTTTTCTTTCTTCTTCTTGAGGATATATCACCAGATCCACACAATACTTCTTTTATATGAGCCCTTGGGGTTTTTTTTCTTGGTAAATATATATATAAGATAAATATTGACATGTCTGATCTTTGGAATACCTTGTCCAAAAATAAAAGATATATATAAAGCTTTAAATTTGATCAATTTTTTGACAAACTATTTTGAATAGTGTTCATCCCTCATTATCTTAGTTGAGCTGAATTAGTATAAAGTTATAGTGGGGAAATACTAATAGCATCTTGACTTATATTTGTTTTTTTGCGCATGTGCGTATGTACGCATGTGTATATCAACATATTGGTTCTTTTGAAAGGAATATGAAAAATGACAAATGAAATATGCAATACAATACCTGCTGCTTTTTCTCTCTCTCTCTTTCTTTTTATTTTGGAGTTCCGTCTTTCTTCAAACCTGGTTGTTCTGTACTCTATCTAATAAACAAAGAACAACAACAATCAAAAAGAAAATATCATGAATATCCAAAAGGGTGTTAACCCTCATCGCCCATACTACACCCCTGGTCTCCATCACCAACACAACTACACTTCTTTACCTTCGAATGATGCTGCTCCAGGATTGACCCCCAATATATATCTCGACAATGAAGAAAGACCCCTCAAAGGACTGACGACCCGCATCACTACATTTGCTGCTGCAAAGTACATGCTGACAATGCTGACAAGTCCATTTGATGTCGGAACAACTCTTTTGCAAGTACAATACTCACCTCATGAGGATGTCGAAGTCATTGGATTTCGTGACACCATTAAAAAGAACCCTCTTGTTGAAGTAAGTATATATATAAAATTCCAAGTACAAGCACAAACATTATAATTCCAAATGAGAAATCTCGGACCTATCCATTTTTATTTTTTTAAATAACCTTTTTAGAATTAGCAAACTACAGGTTATCAGAATGGAACTTCCTCGGATGAAGATGAAGACGATGCATTCTACAGTATGCGACCCGGAAATACAACAAATCAAGAAAAAGAACCTACTCAACCATCCTGGTCAAATTATGCACGAAATACGGAATCGCAGAAAAAGCACCCACACCCCCACCCCCACCAACAGCAACAACAACAAGTAACAGTTACGTCTAGAAGTGTTTATGACGATGAAAGTCGACCTGTTCACCAGATGGCACCAATGGGAGGAGGAGTTCTTGAGATATTGAGTGTTATTGTGAAGCAACCTGGTGAAGGGTGGATGTCGCTTTTTAAAGGTAAGGAAAGAAGAAAAGAAATATATATATGTATATATATATGTGTGTGTGTGTTTGGGTTTAATATAACTATTCCGATGTTTATTTACCATATATATATATATATATTACGGTAGGTCAGAGAGTAACATGGGTTTATGAAATGGCAAGAGCGTGTCTACAACCTGCTCTTGAAGGCGCATTAAACGACGTGTTTGGATTGTATGATGATACGATACCATTAATGCATCTTGACAATGTCACTCCAAACATGACAACCATGGTAGCAAGTCATTTGGCAATAGGCATTCTGTTGAGCCCACTGGAAATTATCCGTACCCGGTTAATTGTTCAGTCGTCTTCGCCTACGAATGCAAAATACAGACATCTCATCCACGCATTTGCAACCATGTGCCGAGAAGAAGGCGGTCTTGGCAAAGTATATGGCTCGATCAACCTTTTACCCACCATTCTCTATCACACTATCCACCCGCTCTTGACGTGCAGCACGCCGTTAATTATCGACAGATGGCTGCATATATCTGCCTCAGATTCACCTATTCTGTATGGCGCAGCCCAATTGGCCATGAGCACACTGGCGCTTCTTATCACATTGCCACTAGAAGTTATCCGTAAAAGATTACAATGTCAGGTCCCATATTCTCCCAAAGAGATAGGAGGAGGAGGCCCGTTTGAAACATCTGTCGCACTTCGTCCAGTTCCTTACAACGGTATACTAGATGCCGTATACAAGATCATGAAAGAAGAAGGCACAAAGAAAAAACACAATACGAAACGTACAGTCATCAAACGGAGGAAAGATTATAATAATAGTGATGATAATGATAGTAATAGTGAGGATGGTGAAACGTTTGAAAATGATCGACAAATCAAGACTACAAGTGCCTGGGGTATTCGTGGACTTTATAGAGGATTCGGCATGCAATTGGCTGCAAATGCCCTTCTTTTTGTCTTTCACACAATAAATGGAATTGAAGGTAAAAGTCATTTATTTTACCTATCTTTATTAAGTACTTCTTGTATATCCTTTTGACTAACAACATCAATTCTTACCCTTTCTTTTATTATTTTTTTATAGTTGATTTTGACGGATCCAGTTAAAAGCTTCGGGAAATAAATAAATAAAATAAATCCCTCTTTTCTGTTTTTGGTACAAAAACCAAAAAAAAAAATCAATCAATCAATCAGCTTAATTGTCATGCGTTCACTTTTGAGTTGATTCCCTTTTCTCTCTCTTTCCATCTCTTTTTTTCATTCACTGCTTTATCAATGAGAGCTCTTTTATTTTTACTGCTTGCCAGTCCAATTTTATGTCAAAAGTATACTGGAAATCAGCTCGTATTTCAACAAAGCCCTGAACAACAGAAGCGAGTGGCCATCATAGGTTAGATAACAAAAGACAAAATATAAATTAATGGATAGATGGGTAGTAATTGTAGTTGTAGTTTGTCACATATATACATATGTATAATATTATTATTTGTGTCGCTGATAACAAACAAAAATACCATTTTTTACAAGGTGGCGGTGCAGCGGGTACTTCGGCGGCATTCTGGTTGAAGAACGCGTTTGAAAATACAGACATTGACCTACACACCACTCTTTATGAAAGTAGCCATCGCTTAGGTGGTCGTACAATGACTACGCCTGTTAAAGGAGACCCAGCACTAGGCGTAATTGAGGTCGGAGCGTCTATTTTCGTGGAGGCCAATCACAATCTGATGAATGCAACAAAGCAGTTTGGCCTGAATCGTACAACCTTGGCTGCCCAAAAACAAAAACTGGGTGTCTGGGATGGTCAAAATTTCCTGTTCCAAGAAACCGGAAGTACATACTGGGATGGTGTCAAGTTTCTTTGGCGTTATGGATCATCTCCTTTGAAGGTAAATCTACATATAATAATAACAGTTATTATTAACCATGTAACAAACATGATAATGACTGTTACTTCTTTTCTTCTTTTGTGTGTAGGCCAACCGACACCTTGACACAGTTCTGGAGAGATTTGAGCTGCTGTATGAAAACGATGCACTCCCATATTATTCTATTGAAGAAGCATTTGAAGGAGTAGGCATTTATGAACTCTTGAATACCTCAGCACAGGAATATCTTGAAAGTAGAATGGGTGTCAATACTATCTTTAGTGAAGAAATTGTTCAGAGTGCCACAAGAGCAAATTATGGCCAAGATATTGATACACTTCATGCATTAGGAGCTATGGTAAATATATTTGTTACACACACAAATACACATACATATAACCATATGTTTTTCATGTAAAAAAATAAAGATAAATCTGGTATTAAAATCATTATTTATGTATCTCTTTATACACATTCAATAGGTATCTTTAGCAGCAAAAAATTCGTGGTCTATTCAAGGCGGAAACTTCAAGATATTTGAGGAATTTGCTGAACGTTCTGGAGCAGAGATTAGAATGGAAACAACTGTGAAAAAAGTTGAAAAGATCCATGACAAACAAGGTGGTTACACGGTTACGACAAATAATGGCGACACTCAGATATACGATGCTGTTATACTGGCAGCTCCTTTTAACCCCAATGAAATACTTGAGCTACCAGTTTCAACAGGCTCATATGTCCGAGACTACAAAATTGTTCATGTTACTCTTCTGGCTGGATACCCAGATCCATCATATTTTAGCTCGACTGAAAACGATGTTCCAAACTTGATTATTACCACAGGAAATGGCTTGCGTACGTAAGAGAAAATGATTATTTTGTCTGTCTATCTATCTTACCACAAGGAAGGATCATTTTTTTCTTCTTGTTTCATTTTCTTATATATCTATGTATATTTGTGCTTTTTTAGCAAACGCATTCAGTAAATCTACAGCTCCATTCACAACTTTTGCCGTCCACAGAATCCTAGAGAATGGTGAAAGTATAGTCAAGATATTTTCTTCGACTGAACTCAAGGAAGAATTGCTTGATCAGCTGTTTTATAATCGAACCTGGACCTACCACCAAGCATGGAATGCTTTTCCTGTATTACATCCAAACACAGACTCAAAATCATCTTGGCCTCCAATTATTATCGATGGATTTGAGAATCCTGGTCTAGGTGGTCTAATTTATGTCAATGCTTTCGAAAGTGCAATTTCGGTAAACCAACTTTCTTTCCGATTAAATCCAATTTAATTCAACTGTGTGTCGTATATTATATTTTATCATCATCATATTTACTAATTAATCGATTTATTTGTTGCTTATATATATATATATATATAGACAATGGAGACACAGACAATTGCTAGTAAGAATGCAGCAAAAATTCTACACACTGAATGGTGTACCAGCACCCTTTGCAGACCCTTTGGTGATGGGTGGTGAACAAAATAATATGCTCTGTTTTGATTACACATTCGAGGTCCAAATTAAGATATAAAATTTAAGAAGCAGAGAAAGGAGCTGATATGACGAGTTAAAACAAAACAGAAACAAGTTCCCAACTTCCCCTTCTATTCTATTCTTGTTCTAAATAAATTATCAGCTAAATTATAAAAGAACGTGGATTAATAATAGCCATTTTTTGGCATTCTTCTTATTGCACTTAAAAGGTGTTTTACTATACTCAAGTACAATTGCAGAAGGAATACAGTATATTTTCTAATGATATTTCTTTCATCAAATTTATTACAATTAAATTCAAAGTAGCTTCAACCTACATGATCTGAATTTTTGTTCAAGTTTTTTTTTTCGTCTTATTCTTTTTGAAGGTATTGTTCAAATCAGGTTAAATAATATATTTCTTTGAAAATAATTGCTTCATTTGTGTGGTATACACACCACAATTGAGTGAATAACAGACCCCACAACCAAACACTGGTTCCTTCTTGCTAATGAACCTGGCAAGTCAACAATCTCCGGAACTGTTACGCGCCAGGCACACGTACACTACATACTCATACAGTGTAAACCAACCATTACACAACAGGGATTTGAATTACAGGGATTTTAATATTAACGGATATAAACAATAGTATTTTGTCTCTTTAATAAATAACACTCTCACAGTATCTACTTTTCCCATTATTGAGATACTAACCCATAAACAATCACGAATACCTTGTAGTATGTATATCACAAACTGCATAATGTATTTTAAATAGCCGCCCAGTAAATACCGGCAACTAAATTAAGAAATAATACCGACAAAAAAAGAAGAAGAAGGAAAGTATCAGTGGTGCTTTTGAGAAATGATATATATATATTATTTTTAGACAGTTAGTGAGTCTTAGTTATATACTTTATATATATCAAAATTTAAAGCCCTTAATTGGTTTGCTCGAATGGAATGAGTTTGCACAAACTGTTTCTGTGCATGTACCTTGAACCTGAATAAAATTACTCAAGGGGGTACTCAAGCAATCATGATTCTTTGTTTTATATCTTGATTTTGGGAACTTGAGACGGCGGGTGTATTTGGTGACCATCGCCATTTGGAAGAGAAAAGCAGCGATATTAGGAGATTGAAAGTGGTAGAAGGAGAGAGAAAAATAAAAAAGTAAATAGTTGGCAGTAGGAGAGGTCAGTAATCCGACTCTAGACACTACACAGCTCAAAAGCTCTTCCTAACAACAAAGTCTTACTAGTAACTTTCCCCCACTCAAGTACTCTGTTGCAGACACGTGTATTCAAAATTGCAAATGATTGGCTCATGTCAAAATAAAAAAAAAGGATGGCGTTACAAAGTGTGTGGCCCAAAGACTATAACGCGTTTAAAAAAAGAAACACTCTCACGGTATTATTTTTCTTCTTTGCGCTTTTTCATTAGTTTACTCCAATGTACAGCAACACCAGCAGCAGCAGCAGCAGCAGCAGCAGCAGCAGCAGCGACAACAACAACAACAACAACAACAACAACAACAACAGAAAATGCAACAGCAAATGCAAATGTATTAGAAAGTCCAGCAACAGCTCTCTTGTGTTTGGTCAAAAGGCCATTAGCAAGCCAGTCCCAAAGCTGTTGAGAGGCATACTTCTAGTTAGATTAGCCAAAACTAATCTAGCCAAAGTTTTTGATCGAAAGATCAAAAAAGTGAAAATGATTGGTAAGTCATGTCTCTATATAATAGTAGATAAACAATATAATATTAATCAATAATATACCTATAGCACCAGACCTGCCCAAGGGGCTTAAGCGACGATTGGAGAAAGGGGGGGAGCTCGGAAGCGTTGCTTCTGAGTCCCAGGGCCATATCATAAAGAAACAGAAGATATGGTCCGAGAATGAGCTGGAGTACAAAGCTACAGCTCGTTATATCAACCCAAAGAAAACGAGAATTGAAGAAGCAGTAAGAAGAAGAAGGGAAATTGACCCAAAAGAAGCACAAAGAAGAAGAAGAGCAGAAAGAAGAACCAATTTTGAAGAAAGAAGAAGAAGAGAGACAGAAAGAAGAGACGAAGGAAGAAGGAGAGAAGAAGAAAGAAGAAGAGAAGAAGAAAGAAGAAGAGAAGAAGAAGGAGGAGGAGATGATGAAGAAGAAGATGAAGAAGAAGAAGATGAAGAAGATGAAGAAGATGAAGAAGAAGAAGAAGAAGATGAAGAAGATGATGAAGATGAAGATGAAGAAGATGATGAAGAAGAAGAAGATGAAGAAGATGATGAAGAAGATGATGAAGAAGAAGAAGATGAAGAAGATGATGAAGAAGATGATGAAGAAGAAGAAGATGAAGAAGATGAAGAAGATGAAGAAGATGAAGAAGATGAAGAAGATGAAGAAGATGAAAAAGATGATGATGAAGAAGAAGATGAAGATGAAGAAGATGAAGAAGAAGAAGAATATGAGGATAACAATGAAGGCGAATATGATGGCGATGACAACGAAGGTGAATATGAGGAGTATGAAGAATATGAAGAAGAAGAAGAAGAAGAAGCGGAGAAAGTAGCAGAAGAAGTAGCAGAAGAAGTAGTAGAAGTAGCAGAAACGCTCGCACCCAGAAGACAAACAAATGCAATGACACGCGCGGCTAGAAGAAGAGCAGTAGAAGTGCTTGCGGCTAGAAGAAGAGCATTGGAAGCAGCAGCAGAAGAAGTAGCAGAAGAAGAAGCGGAGGAAGTAGCAGAAGAAGTAGCAGAAGAAGTAGCAGAAGAAGTAGCAGAAGAAGTAGCAGAAGAAGTAGCAGAAGAAGTAGAAGAAGTAGAAGAAGTAGCAGAAGAAGCAGAAGTAGTCGCAGCGGAAGCAGTGCAAGATCAAGCAGAAACGCTCGCACCCAGAAGACAAACAAATGCAATGACACGCGCGGCTAGAAGAAGAGCAGTAGAAGTGCTTACGGCTAGAAGAAGAGCATTGGAAGCAGCAGCGACAACAACAACAACAACAACAACAACAACAACAACAACAACAACAACAACAACAAAGCCTGAGCCAGAGGCAATGGCCGAGCCTGAGGCAGAGGCAGAGGCAGAGGCAGAGGCAGAGGCAGAGACAAAGACAAAGGCAAAGACAAAGGCAGAGGCAAAGGCAAAAATATGTCTGGCCGAAAGACACTACGGCGGCTGCCATTTCCGAGCCTAAGTAGAACAACCGTAGTCCGGGGGTTGCTCTTCTAATGGTAACAAGAAGAGTAATCCCCGGGCAACCCGGCAGAAGCAACTTACATATATATATATTTCTTTTTATAGCAACAGGAAGCAACAGACTAACAGACTAACCTACTAACAAGCAACGGGAACTAACAAGCAACGGGAACTAACCTTACTCACAACTAACCTTACTCACAACTAACTTTATGAGAAATTAACTTTATGAACAAATAAATTTACTAACAACTAACTTTACTAACATCTGACTTTACTAGCAGAAGACGAATTAGAGTCATATCTAGAGTTAGAATTAGAGACATAGCTAGAGTTAGAGTTAGTCATAGCTGGAGTTAGAGTTAGTCATAGCTGGAGTTAGAGTTAGTCATAGCTAGAGTTAGAGTTAGTCATAGCTAGAGTTAAAATTAGAGACATAGCTTGAGCTAGAATTAGAGACATAGCTTGAGCTAGAATAAGAGTTATAGTTAGAGTTATAAGCGTAGCAAAAAAAAATCAATTCGTATATATTTTATCCAAAATTTGTTATTATATATACGAGGAGCTTTGCTCCCCCCTCCCCTTGGGGGAAGGGGTCATTGGCCTATGAAGTTTTATATAACTTTTCTCTACTGTCAATTGTGTACGGCACACAATTACCAAGTAGTATAGGCTTTATATTTTATTTTATTGAGAAACAAGTAAGTTAGAAAATACGTGGCGAAAGTTATAAGTTGCATGACATGATCTCTAACTTCAGCCTGTTTTTTCTAATTAGATAAAATAAAATGAATTCTGGGAACATGACTCTTAGCTAAAAGTCTAAATACAGGATAAAAGTCGAAATAAAAGCAACTACTGGAGATGTTATTATATTATATTGCTTATTTTTTTATCATTATTATTACTATCATTATTACAAAACCAAATAAAAAAAAACCTCCCTAAAAGTCTGTGAGAGGTCGTAGCCCAAAAGCATAACATGTTGTGCTTATACAAAAGAATCCATGTATATCCGACAATCATCTGAGATTACCATTAAAGAATATTATTATTTGTAAAGCGAACAGTAATAGACTTTTTTGCTCTCTCTCTTTTTAAGTAATTCGGTGGTAAGCTCAGGCATTACAGCCTTCAAACTAGGTTTGACCGAAAGATGGTTACAACGCCCGTTACAATGGAGCCAAGACTCATGTTAATTAAGTAGATGACCAGTTAAGAAACTTAGTTTAGTTTGATGACTCAAGATTCACAATGCAGTACGTAATTATGTTATTGTCTGAGTGCTAAGAAAAAAGAAATTGATAATAGGTGTACGTACATTGACGATATCTCATTATTGTTGCTTCTTCGTTCCGTATCGTATTTTACAATAGTGAAAATGACTTGCTCAGTTATTGGATTATACTCCATAGTAATGGATTTACGACAGACCAATAAGGCAAAATAAAGAGTGGACTTAATATACTAATATAATGATGAGGATTTTACAGTGAGCCAGTAGAAGAGGGGTGTGTGAGCGAGAAAAAGAAGACATGTAGTTTGGCTAGATGTGTCGGGGTTTTTTATTTTTTTTATTTTTTGTGGTCGATCATTACCAAAGGGTCAGAGGTAGTTAGCAATAGAAATAAGTAGAGTCAGCACTCGATATAGTAATAATTTAACAGGGAAAAAACATGGGTAAAATAGCCAAGCTTTAGAATCCTAGTAGTATTATGGTCGGTCAAGTAAGTGGAATTACTATACTATCATTCTTTTCAACGATTTGCTCTATTTTGGGAGATGCATTTTTAATACTGTGCGGATCCCCCATTGCTAGTTCGATTGATTTAAACCACATAAATGTAAAAATGAGGTTTCTCTATAATATGGTGCAATTTTAGTAGCTCTTGTAGTATACATACTACACTTGGGCGAAATAAAAGTCATAGGCAAAAACTGGTCTCTTCTTGCCGATAGACCTGAAAAGTTAACAATCTCCAGAACTGCTACACACCAGGTACATGTCAATTATACACTTATATAGTGTAAACCAACCAACCATTACACAACAAAGATTTGAATTACAGAGATTTTAATAGTAACAGATATAAACAATATTATTTTTGTCTCTTTAATAAATAGCACTCTTACAGTATCTACTTTTCCCATTATTGAGATACTAACCCAAAATCAATCCCGAATACCTCAATTGCCACTTTGCTTGACCGTATTGTTCATCTCAATTAGAAACACAATTACAATCGTCTATAGTATGTGTAAGATTTAAAGCTTCCCTCCATAGCTAATTGCTTACTTGCCTTTATTGCTTATCTCATTTGAGCACACAATTACATCGTGAGTTATCTGTGCAAGAGTAATCCATAAGCTTGTTTTAAAAATATAAAGTCTAAATGTAAGTCATGCGCAGACATATAAGAAGATATAAGTGTAGATTGTTTGTTTGATAATGAAAAGTATATCAAATTAACAACATTCATAGCAATTAATCTCTTATGATTATTGCTTTCTTTATTATATGCACATACTCATTGTTATTCATTCATATTGTGAACAAACAAACAAGATTACTCTTCAGTCAAAAATGATAGTAACAATAAATCATAATATAAATACACAAAGCTTCAAGAATCGATTTTATTAGCTATAATTTTTGTTTTCTGTTTTTGAACATTTAAAGAGTTCTTTTTCATCGTCTTTTTCTTGGGTGGAGAGAGTACTTTACTGGCATACCGTACATACAGTATTGTCTCTACTGCACCAATTCCAATAGCACCAGCAAAAGAAAGAAGTACACGCTAAAATAATAATAATAATAAAAATCAGCACCTTTTAACTCTTTTTATTTTTCTTATTTTAATAAAAATATACCATCCACACCACTCATGATATTTACTTATTTAATTGGTTGATATAAATGATATACTAAAAGAAGAAGAAGAAGAAGAAGAAGAAGAAGAAGAAAACTTACCACACCAAGATCTTCTGTCATTGTTTTTGAAGCTACAAACACTGCAACATAAACTGCAACCATGGAGAAAGCAATATTTACAATGGTTGTTACGTGCCCCTTGACCTCTTTAAGTTCATCTGGCCGTATCCGGAACATGTTTTTGTCTTGTTCGGATGTGACAACAGAAGATACCATTCGAGCATATTCCCGCTCAGCTTGATCTTTTCGTAATTGCTCAAGATAAGCTTGGAAGACAAGATCCTTTATTTATTTATTTTAAAGTGAAATCGGGTTAAAAAAAAAGAAAAAGAAATATAGCTATATAGATATATTCATTTACAAGCACAGTTCCAGCTACAATTGTGCCTGTAGTTGTCTTCTCTTCGCATTCTTCTCATTACCTTTGGTTCGACTGGTTTTGGTTCATGGTAGACACCAGCTCCCTGAATAAGTTCATGAAGCCATATACGACCTATATATGTATATGCACAAAATAATATTAGTATGAACAATATAAAAGTACCACTAAATATCCAAAAACAGAAACAAAACAAAAAGAATTGTGAAAGTTATGACAATTACTTGTACTTGCCATTTGAATCCTTGGTGTGCGACAAGAATTGAGCTAGTTCCTGCAGTAATGTAAATGAAATTCCCATGGTCACATCCAATGAAGCGTCTACAGCACTTTTGGCTTCTTCTTTGGATCGTATATTGAACGAAGGATCTGCGAGCGCTAATCGCAGGGCGTCTTGTATACGTGTTGTCAATGTCAATTGCATCTCTCAAACATTAAAGCATCCGTTTCCAAATTCATATTCTAGTCCTTTTTGGAAATACTCCCTCCTCCCTTTCCCGCTCCACCCCCCTCTTTTTTATTTGTGACTGTGAACGCGATCTTTCACTACTTTTCTCCAAAAAAACCCCCTCCCTTTAATATAGAAAACGTATTTTAGATATACATTATATATATAATACAAAAATACGCACAGATATTTGTGTATAGTAATAGCAGTTTCTTTTCTTTAAAAAAAGAAGTAAAAATAAAATAAAATGCCATTACAAAAGGACCTGTACACAGGTAATCCATGCATATTCCCTTACATGGATATATACGTATATATATATTGAGAGACAAAAGACATTGATCCCTCAGCGTCAAATTAGATGATGATCCAAGTTATGCACGCACTCGCTTAAATTCTGGAATCCCCCCACCATCGCTACGTGATCGTCGACAGGATTCACATGATCGACCCCACCATCACCAACAGCAGTATCAGCAACATCAGCAAGGAAGACGTAGAGATGAAAATTTAAGCGGTTGGAACCCAGCAACTCAACGACCATCCCACAGACAAGAATCATATCATCCTTATCCTCAACAACAGAGACAGTCTTATAACTCAGGAGGACAAACAATACCAAATCAAGCAAACCCATCTTCTTTCAGACCTAGCCATAACAGCAGCAGCGGTTATCCTCCACGAGACCAATACAGAAATGAAAGACATATAGAAGAGCGTCCTAGAGAAGAGCGTCCTAGAGAAACAAGACATCAAGAGCCACAGAGACAAAGAGAGGAACGGCCAAAAGCCCAGCACGCCAAAGTCGATTTACGAACAAGTACCGATTTTCTCGTCTGTGAAGATCCATCAAAGAAACTCAGCATTGATCAAATCACTGCCAATATTAGAGCTTCTGGTATTAAAGATAAGGTAACAACTTGACTCTACTAACCACACACACATACACATACATACATATATATATATGATTCATGTGTTTTATTTATTTAATCAACAAAAATAATAATAAATAAATATTGGTTATATATATATAAAGGATGATGACTTTATTAGTTCTGCCGAATTGATCCAGAAAGCCAACGCTTTGCGTGTAAGAAACATTGCTATAATTTAATTTGTTTTGACATTTATGAAACTAAAATTAATTAACATTACTTAAAATAAAATAGGAAACTATCCGTCAAGCTCCTGCAGAACCAAGGTCCACAGCCAGAGCAAGAAGCAATCCTTTTGAATCTATTGGAAAATCGATATTTATGAACAGAGCAGCTACAAAACTAGCAGCACTGGACGCTACATTTTCGTTGAGCTCAACCTCAGATAACAAGGTAAAATAAATAAATGCATGAATCATTAGCAATGTATATATATATATATATATGTGTGTGTATTTTCTAGCTTTTTTTCTTTTCTTTTTCAAACAAATTTATACATTAAACATTTTAATAATAATACAAAATAATAATAATAATAAAATGTTTATTATTATTTTTATAGCCTTTAGTGTTTGCTGATTTGTGTGGAGGACCTGGTGGATTTACAGGTACGGTTTTATAAATGAATAATATATATAAATATGTATACAAAATAAAAAGAAAAGAGACAGAAAAAGAAATACTTCAAGATGAGCATATACTTATCTCCTAAAAAAATTATTATCAGAATATCTGCTGTGGAGAGTTTGCAGTGGTGGCGGTAATGCTCATGGTTACGGCATAACCCTCAAGATGCCAGACGAAACAGATGAATTAAATTGGCAAACTGGAAAATTCCGTTCCGATGCCCCTTTGAACTTTACGATTATTGACGGACCTGATGGTTCAGGTGAATAAATAAAAAAAGATTCATGAATCTTTGCTAATATATAAAACAAGGAGTTTTTTGTTACATCAAATTGTTGTTGATATGGGTATTAACTTTGATATCCAATTCTTAGGTAATCTTTATCACGAAGCAAATATTCTTGGATTTGGATCAAAAATCATGAGCGAAACAAGCAATCAAGGTGTTGATTTAGTTGTCGCTGATGGTGTAAGTACTACTATTATTAGTAATATATATATATGTATATTTAAAAAAAATGTAGGGTTTTGACTTTACTGGAAAGGAAGAACACCAAGAAAATTATGCCCAGCGCTTATTGCTGTGTGAGGCCATAACGATGCTTACATGTCTCAAGAAAGGTGGCACATATGTGTGCAAATTCTTTGACATGAATGAGGAGTTCACGGCTGATCTGGTCTGGTTACTGTACCAATTGTTTGAGATGGTCTGCATCACAAAACCTTTAACCAGTCGTCCTGCCAATTCAGAAAGATACCTGGTCTGTAAACAGCTGAGATTCCAACAGCCAACCGGCCTAATCAATGCTCTCATGAGAGTCCAAAACATGATGGAGCACAAACCAGTAATGAGCTTTGTCAAGGCAGCTGTGCTCACAGAGGATGAAGAATTCTTTGATTATGTCAAGATGCGAAATTTCAAGTTAGTTTCTTGAATTACAGATATATAGAAAGAAAAAGACAGAGGAATTAAACCAAGATTAATAACTTCTTTACTTATTTACTTATTTACTTAGAATGTTGCTCAAACAGATTAACTCTCTTACACAATTGGATCTTCACCTTAAAGACCCGTAAGTTTTTGATAATAAGATATTAACATATGTACATCTCAAACTTGTTTGAACACAAAAAAAATTAACTAAATGCACCTTTTTCTTCTTCTGTTAAAAGTCAGCGCCCACTGCAGTTTGATCAAGAGGCTATTCGTCGTCAATGTTTAGCAGAATGGCGCCTTCCTTTGCGATAAATGCTGTTATACAATTATCAGCAGAATATTATATATATTTGCACATATATTGATTGATTGATTGATTGATTGATTGATTGATTTTTTTAAAAAAAAATAAATTATAATTTATTTATTCTTTTTATTCTTTTCTTTACTTGTTCTTAACGCACACACACACATATATATAATGAAGAAAAGAGAGAATAATAATAATAATAATAATCAGTTGATTTATTTGAGAGATGTTCCTGAAGATGAGTGGATTCCGCTGAGAGCGGCACTCCAAGCCGGACCTAGTTGGCTAGCAAGTTGTGGGGGTAGTTGGGCAATAGCATGGGGTAAGAGTTTTGCGATAGATGGCGGCAAGGGAAATTGAACCGGGTTTATCAAATATTGGCGGATTGTCGTTTGAAGTTGAAGCCGAAGCTGTAAATGAGGTGTCATGGGTTGTGCGGGATGTAGTAGCGACTGAAGATGTAGCTGAGGATGTTGTTGAAGGTGAGGGTGAGGGTGAGGGTGGGGATGTTGGGATGGTTGCACATATGGTTGAAGATGTAGGTTTTGAGTTTGGGCTTGGGCATGGTTTGTGTTTGAGTTTGTGTTTGGAGCTGTGGGCGAAGGTGGAAATGAATATGGGTGTGAATGTGAATGTGGGTTTGAATGAGATTGAGGATATATGTGTGACGTTGGGCCTTGCACTAGCCATGGTTTTGGGGTATCTGCGCAGGTATCATATATAGGTGGTGGTCCTCCTACTCCTTCCACCTCTGGCGTTTGTGGTGGTGGTGGCGGCGGCGGCGATGGTGGTGGTGGCGGTGGTGGTGGCGGTGGCGGTGGAGTTAATAGATTGTTTTGTTCAGAATGCATCTGTATCATTGCGCTTTCATTTGAGAGTCGCCTTTGATACACACTTCCAATGAAAACACCTCCAGCTCGTCCCATTGGGCGTCGATTGCGATGATAAATTCCATTAGAGAATTGCTTCTCTGCATTTGTATCAATTGTCCAGTATGCACCCTTGCCAGGCTCGGCATCACATCTAGGTACTTTTATAAATGCCTTGTTAAGAGACAAATTGTGTCTTATAGAGTTCTATTAATGCCAATTAAGCGGATCAATAAAGAGTTTATGGTTTATGAAGAGGGAGGAGGGTAATTTAAAGCACGTATTATTATTATATTTTGTTCAAAGAAAAAAAAACAAAGCAAAAAATACTGCTATATATATATTTACCTGCCAACCGTTGGAGTTCATTTGGTAATAAGGATAATTGGTCGAGATAAAAGTGTAGATACCGTGTAGTGTCATTCTTCTATAGGGTGTTGACCCGATAGCTTGGGAAATAAGGGAGGCGTACGAGTAAGAAGGTTTGCCAATCCTAGGTTTGGGTGGTTGTGAGGGAGGACCGGGGTGAATAAATCTAATGGTTTGTTGGGGCTTCTCGACCCTTGGCGCAATTGGTACCAAGGAACCTGTTGCTGCTGTGGTACTGGTAGTGGTAGTGATATTGGTGGTAGTGGTAGCAGCAGCAGCAGTAGGAGGAGGAGCAGTATAAGCATAAGCACTAGCACCAACACCAGAAATAGCACCAAAAGTAGCAATAGCACCAGAGTTAGCAGTAGAGTTTCCGTAAAATGTTTTATAATTATTCTGATAATTTAAAGCATCTTCCGTTTCATCGATTTCATCTTCCTCGATTTCATCAAGCTCATCTTCTTCGATTTCGTCAAGCTCATCTTCTTCGATTTCGTCAAGCTCATCTTCTTCAATTTCATCAAGCTCATCTTCTTCGATTTCATCAAGCTCGTCTTCTTCAATTTCATATACTTCTTTTTCTTCTTTGATTTCATTTTTTTCTTCACGCGGTAAAAGGAATATAAAACTGCTGTCTGCGATTTGGATTCTTGCACTAATAAGATTGTTATTTATTTTTTTAGAAAATAAATCAATAAATTACTAGTTTCAAATACAAGAACATCTTAAAAACACCCCTTTAACCTTTTTTTTTTTAATAATAATAATTTTTTACCCGTTTTTAAGAGGAACTGTTGAGTTTTTGTCAATAAAGCTATCGTTAACCAAGACTCCATTTTTTCCAAAAACTGTCATTTCAAACATTTTGGTTTCGAGATTGTAATTCATTTGAGCATGCTGACGTGAGACTGATTTAGTGTTGCCGAGTGGAATGTCAACTTGACCAGGTTGCCCAGACTTGCGCCCGAGAGTTATTTTGAGTGTACGAATATAGTGACACAGTCCATTTCCTTCTTCGAGTTTGGCGAATGTCTGATTATCATTGAATACATGTGGAAAGTTTTCTCTTCGTGGACGTGGATGTGGTCGTGGTTGTGGTTGTGTTTGTGTTTGTGTTTGTGGCTTTGTTGTTTTATCTCTGTTTGTGTTATTGCTTCTGTTGTCTTTTGTAGCTATCAAAGGAATCTCGTTTGACATTACTAAAAGTCAATAATATATATATGTACGTGTATATATTTATCAAAAAAAAAGGAAGAGGGGGGGAACACGCGAACAAAGGTTTTGATAAGGGGGTAAAATAAATAAATAAAGGTGCAAGAATATTGAAAAATCGTGAGAATAATAATTGGTTAATTCTCGATTAAGAAATAAAAATAAAAATATATATGTATTATTTATTTATTTATTTATTTTATTTTTTTAAAAAAAAATCATATATGAAATATCAAAATATCAAAAAATATATATAAATCGTAAATTGAGTGCGGAGTTGTGAAAATTTGGCTACTTGTTGGAAGCCTTAAATGAAAGTCAAAGTAAATTGAATATATAGAAAAAAGAGTGCAGTAGAAGATGACGTCAAACAATGCAATATACAATTCATAAATCTATAGATCTCAAATGTGGGGAAATTATATATACAAATCTACACATGTAAAAATGAAAACAAAATGGTCAATAATTCGGTTGACATTTCTTGTATATATGTGTATAGATTACATATACAACAGATAGATTTAACTGCAATAAAATACAATAAAATACATAATAATCTATACCTATCCAAGACACCTAAGGGCTGTTATATTTTATACATTTTGCTTTATTTTTATTTTTTATTTTTTAATTTTTAAAATAATATTTGAAACTAACAAAGGAAAATATATATATGAATGTGTGTGTATATATGTATATATGTATATAGCATTAAAATAATAATAGTAATAATAATTTTTTAAAGCTTGGATATAATGCCACCTCTGGGTTGCATTCTTTCGTAGGCACCAGCAGCAAGGTAATCTGTTGGGTTTGCTACAAAGTGGTCCTTGATGTTACGGATATCAACCATTTCAGGCTTAATATCCTTGATAGTGGGTGTACCCATGAGACGCATACACATCTCCAGTTCATTCTATACATAAGTAATGAATATATTTGTTTGTGTGCTTGTTTGTTTGTAGTACTATATATTTTACCTGGAAGAGGCTGATCAAACGTTCGACACCAGCATCACCATAAGAAGACATGGCAAACTAGAACCAAAGAAAAAAAATGTTTATGTAAGCAAACTGTTTTTTTAAAAGATTTTTTTGAGAAACTTACGAGAGCAGGACGACCGATTCCAACACCTTTGGCACCGAGTGCAATGGCTTTAAAGATATCAGATCCACGGCGGATACCACCATCAATGTAGACCTCAAAGTTCTTGTCCAGACCTTCACGCTTCAATGTCTCCATGACCTCGGCCAAGATTTCGATCGAAGAGGGTGCGAAATCAAGCTGACGACCACCGTGGTTGGACAGAACGACACCCTGACAGCCATATTTGGCAGCCAAGACAGCATCCTCGGCACATTGTACACCCTTGATAAGAATTGGCATCTTTGTGATACTCTGAAACCAAGGAATATCACTCCAGTTCAAAGCTGGATCAATAAATGTACTGATGGCTCTAGCGGCACCTTCATTTCGAGTCATCGACATCTCAGACCGAGTAATCTCATCGGGTGCTTCGTTGGCATACTTTTGGCGCATATCCTTTTCTCTACGACCTACACACACAAAAAAAAATCATAATATTTGATTAGAATTTCAATTAATATACATGTAATTAAATTATAATCAAATTATAATTTTTTAAAAAAAAAATCTTGATCTATACGATGAGTCTTTTTGATTGATTCATTCATTCACTTGTTTTTTTTTAAAAAATGAATTGAATTACCACCACCAATTCTCACGCACGGAAAAGGATCTTTTTACCCCGCTATTTTGTTTTTTTTCTTTCTCCTATAATCGCAATTAACTTTACCCAGTTGAGGGGCATCAGCAGTAATGAACAAGCCCTTGATTCCGCGAGCCTCGGCATGTTGGACAAGATGCTTGGTGATATTACGATCTTCGTTGACATAGAGCTGCAACCATTGGTTCTGCTTATCAAGTCTGGCATCGACCATTTCGTCAAAAGAGCAGGATGCAAGTGTGGGAATCATCTGGATAATACCGGTCTTTCCGGCTGCTCTCGTCAAGACCTTCTCACCCTCTGGATGGCCGAGCTTTCCCAAGGCGGTGGCAGTGATATAGAGAGGAAACGAGGCCGGGCAGCCGAGCATAGTGGTGCTCATATCAACATGCTTGACGTCTACCATCACACGAGGACGCAGCCAGATGCGATGGAATGCGTTGTGGTTCTCACGCATGGAGATCTCATCGTCCGCACCGGAAGAATAATAAGCCCAGGCATCGGGTTTCATAACTCTCTTTGCCACGCCTATAAAAGGAATAGTGAGAAAAAAGAAAAAAAGTCAAACATGTGAGACAAATGAACACGGGAATGGGGTAAGAGATAAAGACAAATGATTTTTCTATCTCTACGTTTATTTCATTATTTCTAAATATATAAATCCACAAAATAATACACCAGAGTACAACTTACTTTCAAAATCAAAAGAGTTGTACATCTCTTCTAAACGGGGCATTTTTTCTCGGGCAATTCTAATCAACTTGTCTTCCTCAGACTCTTCCTTAGTTGCGCCCTTCAGGGCAGCAGGGTCAATGGATCCCATGCACACTTCGGCAGGCAAAAGTCGAGTAATGATATCGATAGGATGAATGGGTTCAAATGCTGAAGTGGCATCTTTGCCAGCATACTTGAGAATAATCTTTTGTCCTCCAGGATGTTCAGGCAAGAAATATGTCAAATCATACACCTTTCCATGCAGAATAACCCATAGATCATCTACATATATATACATATATACACACATTTATAAATGTTTAGATATTTAGATATTTATATATTTAGATAATTAAATAAAAATAACACAATAGATATTATGTATCTTTGTATGTTTAAATCAAAGATATAGGTTTTGTACACATCTTCTCTTCTAAAGTAAATGCTACTGAATACCAACCCTTTGAATTATGGGTAGCTACTTGTTCGTGAGTGATGAACATGACAGTAATGTAAGAAAATATAAATAAAGAGAGAGTGAAAGCGAAAGAGAAAGATTGTAAAAGGAGGAGGGAAAGATAAAGCAGTTTAGACTCAAAGTAACTTCTTTTTGCGGGGTTTGATTATTTGTGACTGTTTGGCTGCCCAATGGGAGGATGGAAACTTTGTAGTAGCATAAAAAAAAAGGGAACAAGACTAACAGCTATTTGTTTGAGGGGTAGAGGGGTATGCTAACATAATAAAGAGAGATATAAAAAAAGAATAACAATAAAAAAATAGAAATAGAAAAAGAGTGAAAATAGTAGTAATAGTAATAGTAGTAGTAGTGGTGGTAGTGGTAGTTGGTGGTAGTTGATGGTGGTGGTGATAGTAGAGTAGCGAGTAAATTATGGTAATTTAAACAGAAATCGGTTCTACTGTACTATCCAGCACCAGAGTTACATCCTGAACACTTGTCAAATCCTCTAAAAAGGCGACCAGATCAGTCAATTCTGTGTCGTGAGGATCATTAAACCATGTTGATACAGGCACAGCATTGGCATTGTGGAAGATATAGCTGGCAGGCGAATTATCAAGGATCATTGTGCTTTCCAAATCTCTACCCAACTGGGACAAATCCTTTTTTTTTTTTTTGAAATTTTTGAAATTTTTGAATTTTGGATTTTTGAATTTTTGTTGAATTTTTGAGTTTTTTGAATTTTTGAATTTTATTAGAATATATGCTTACAAAAGAGAATACCCTTATATAATACAATACAGAATGTATATAATATAATATAATATGATATGGTATATAATATGATATGATATTTACCTTGACATAAGTACCCCTGTGGTTAAAGCAAGATTCTCTGAACAGTCGATGAGTTACGACCTTGTGAATGTCGAGAATATCAAGAACGGGATCAGCGTACTAAGAGAATTTTAGAGATTTAGAGATTTAGAGATTTCAATTTTAGTTTATATAAATATAAATATATATTACCTTTGACAAACTAGCAGTAAAGACAACGATCTCGTATATTTCTCCCATTCGGCGCATAAACTCATCTACACCGGGTCGTTTGAGCACATACACATTGTGGAACTGATTATCAATCTCGACAGGTACAACAAAGTCTGGGTTGGGAATGACCTTTAAACATAAATATATATATATATGTTGTGTGTGCGTGTGTTTTGTACGTGTATGTGTACGTGTACGTGTACGTGTATGTTTGTGGATTGTGTAAGTATTATTTCTGAAATTATATTAGGGAATTGTCCAACGAAATTACCCTTTTTTTTTTCTTCTTTTTTTTCTTATTTGTTGTTTATTACCTTGAATGAACTGTGAACCAATGTTTCGTCTAAATCAAGTACAAGGCACTTCTTGGTTTGATCAGCCACTGTCAAAGGAGGCAGCAACCAAGTAGAAGTCTAAATGCTCATCAGATATATAGATATATAATATAATACAAAAATTAATCACAAATTATAATATATATACATATATATTGGAAAATATCAAACCACAAAAGATAATAATAATAATAATCCGAAAATTAAAATCAAATCAAAGTATATGCAGGAATGTATATACTCTTTCTTGTTCCTTACCTCGGGAGATTGCAGGGGTGGTGACAATGGTGTCTCGGCCGAAATTGGTTCAGTAGAATCTTGTTGGTTAACCAAATCATCATGGGGAGCTGGTTGAGTGATAATCCTTGGTAGATCAGCAACAGCAACTTTAACTGGAGTAGTAGAAGAAGCATTGGCAGAAGCAGGAACCGTTATTGTTGCTGTTGCTGGTGTGGGGTGGTGAGGAGAAGAGGTGGCAGCAGCGACAGCAGCAGCAGCAGTAGTAGAAGAATTGGGATTTGAATTTAAATTAAGTTTAGAAGAAATGGTGGAGGTTAAAGTAGACGAATTGTTTTCAGGTACGATTATCGCCTTTTCAACCTTTCGATTATTATTATTCTTTTTGAGGTTCAAGACCGAGGGTTTGTCACCGTTGTCGAGGAATGAGCCAGCCCCGACAGTACAGCACAGCAAAAGTGAAAGGAAGCCGCTTTTTGAACCAAACGATTGTTTCAATGATGCGCGTGATGCCGGCCGGTCCGACTCGGTAGGCGAGAGTGGGGACTTTACATACTCTGGGTCGACATGCTGCTTAGCTAAATGATTTTCATATATATATATATATATATGGATACGTAATTATTATTTTTAAAAAAAGAAACAAGCAGAAATTTCATAATGATAATGATATTGATTATAATAAATATAATCATTATAATAGTAATAAAGACAGTTGATTAGTATTTAATGACAGTAATATATTCTAAAGGGTGATTAAGAAAGAAACACACATTTTGATTTTGATGAAGCCTTGAGATGGTCGGTTTGTTCGGTGATGGAAAGGGATTCATTGGATCGAGCCGTTTTGGTTTGTGACATTTGTATCAATTTATATAAGAGAGATAGCAATAGAGAGAATGAATGTTGGTGCGAAGTAAAAGAATAATATGTATATATATGTGTAAGAAACAGAAATAGAGGGAGACTTTTTTTTGGGGTGTATTTTTTGTTTTTGTTTTTTGTTAGTTGAAAATACAAAATTCAAAAGGGAAGGGAGGAATCTCAAGCGAGATGATTGAGATGGTGAAGGGAAGAAGCAAAGGAAAGGAAAGGAAAGGAAAGGAAAGGAAAGAAGTTAAAATGAGATGGAAAATAATAATAATAAAATAATAATAATATAATATATTATAGTATAATATAGTATAATATAATAATACACCAAATACTTTTTCTCTCTCTCTTTCTCTCTCTCTACCTCTGCCTGTGCATAGGCCTTTGCCTGTGCCTGTACCTGTGTCTCTGCTTGTGCCTTTGACTCTGGATCTTCCTCTCTTTCTCTTTCTATATTTATATATAATAAATACACATGGAGTAGAAAAAGGTCACATGATACACATAGTACACAAAGTCTATTTCTTGTCCCTATTTTTCTTCTAATGGATATTGAAATATATAGGCAAGTTTCAAGGCCTGTTTTGTCTTTTGTGAGGTTATTTGCAATAATAAATTGGTAGACGAGAATTCAATTTCAAAATTGATCAAAATGGAGTAAAGCAGAAAGCTGTGCAATATTACAGACTTGGGATCTAGATTGAACATTCATTTTATTTTTTATGATTCTTGTATACCTTACTTTAAATTACTTGTAGTATACAAGATTTATTTCTCACTTGCACAAAGAATAAAAGAACAAACGCAGATTTGGTGTATTTTTGGAGAGTAATAAAAAGGTGACAGATCAGTTACATTGCTATTTGATACGATTCATTAGTATACAATTCATTCTCATTGAAGATCATAATAACCCATCTTTATTACTGCTACTAAATAATTTGGTTTACAGATATTGATTCCACTGATCGACTTGGTTGGACTATCTAGGATTAACCTGACGATAAATTCTAGCCCAAAAGATTTATGGGTGTGTCTAAGGAAAATTTTCTTAAATTCTATTCGATTCTTTCAGTTTGGAATAGACTCAAATAGAGTAATTACAGTTATTGCTAGAATTGTGGAATAGAAGTAATCCTTTACAATACTCGAGGAATACCTCTTGTATGATTTGGCGGAAATTTAGAAGTTTTTTTTTTTTTTAAAAAAAGAAAAGGTCTCGATTCCAGAGCCTACAGTGAGCGTTGTTTCTTTCAAGTGATACCATTGGCTTTTAATTAATTTATTTTCTTGGTTTTTGCACCTTCAAAGAAGAAGAGGGACAAACGTTATTCGATCTGTTGTTTGCACTTTGTCATTCAACGCAATACTATGCAAAGCAATTTATGTATATATATATATAATTTGAAGAATATGAAAACGCCAAGTCTTTTAGATATTTATCAATCGACTGATCAAGAAAATAACATAAATGTTATGATTATAGAGCAACCTATACATATTTTCTAAAATTACAAGACCAGTGTTCTATGTTACCTTTATAGCTCATTGATTAAAACGCAGAAGGCTTGAAAGCTATTGCTACTACTGTTACCTAATCTGTATAGATTTAAGAGTAAAATCTGTCATTACTATTATTTTTCTTGGAGAAAGAACTTAGTATATATATGAAAATATGATTTATAAATATTTTAACATAAAATAGCTTGCAATTAAAGTCATAAAATCCTATATTGAAAATAACATGTATACAAAATTTGTTTCCTTCTCATTGTATGTGTGACGACACTTTTTTCTTTGGCGGAGAAGAAAAAAAAATGAATTGAATGGAAACGAGGGGAGGGGGGGAGGTTGAAGAAAAGTAATAAAAATAAAATAAAATACCAAGCCAATTACCACCATCAGCCTACCAGTTCACCAGCCAACTTGGTAAAGCAGTAACAAATAGTGGCAATAATAGCAGCCAGCTTTAATTCAATTTGGGTCAAATCAAATCAATTTGGTTCAATTTAATTGAATTTAATTGAATTAAATTGAATTCAAGAAATAATAATAGTATTAATATTGTGGGCCAATTTTTTTATTATTATTAATTTAATACTCTCCCTTTTTTTTCCTATTATTATTATTTTCATAAAACACTTTTGTTAGCTCTATACATATCTCCCTTTATTACCTTTGCTTTCTCTCTTTATATTTGTGTATTGCTTTTGCTATTCATTTAGTTGATTCCATTGCAAAAGTCTCTAATCGATTAAGCAGAGGATTCCTCATACTATTTACCTGCAATCAATTTTCTTGAGATAGTTATATATCTTGTATATTTTCATCACCACACACACACAAACTACCTTATTTATTTTTCATTCTTATTTTTTCTTGACCTTTCTTTCATTTTCACTTTTCTACTCTTTATTTATTTATGCCCAGTCCAAGTGTAACTGATATTGATCTGTTGCGGAACAATATTGAGTTTGCCTCGATTTCCCAATTCTTCCACACATTCCATTCTGCATTCACTCCATGGCCTGCTACTACCCCTTCTGGTGCTGATGAATCTTTCCTCATTTACAACAAATACAATTCAGCAGAATCCTCTAGATTCTCAACAGAGGTAAATTAACACAACCAATTTTCTTCCTCTTCTTCTTTGTTTTATCCCATGATCGATTCTGCTGTTCTTCTTTATTTTTTAATTGCTATATATTTATATATTAGTTTTTACTATTACTACTATTATTATTATTATCATCATCATTTTGGTTGATTTTTGTGCCACAAAATTTTGGCATAAATTTTGTTGGATCTACACATATGCCATTTATCACTATTACTTTATTTAACCTTGCAAATAAAAACATAAAAAGAAACGAGCCAAACCATAATTATAATTTATTGATTATTTTCTCTTTCTTTATTTTCTTTACTTACAATTTATATCTGCCTATCTACCTATATACCAACTTTATATATATATCTACACCACAATCTATCTATCTGTGTATATCATTTTTATATACATATAAAATAAAAAGGATCTTGAACATATGATCCTTGATGTTACTCAACGCCATCGGTTTGAAGAGCTTATTGTTCGAATGCTCCGGTTATTGACCAGAAACAGATTTATCACGTAGGGAAAACAAAAAATAATAACAATACTGTTAATAATATTATTATCGTTATTATCATAAGCAATATATATATATTTATATATGTATATATATTGAACGAATCGATGAAATCATTCTTTGAATAAGCACATACACAAACAAACAAGCAAAAATATATATACATGCATGCTTATAAGCAAAGAAAATAAAACGAAACGAAACTCTGAACGACAAACTAAAATCGCACAAAAATACAATTGATCTATAGACATGAAACTTGGCAGATGTATTTTGCTCGCGAATGGGACAGACGAATCTCTGAAGTACCAAACCCATTCCATACAGACAATTATGAAGCAACACAAGAAATCCGCAATTTCTTTACATTTCCTTTGGATACAAAAGTTCACCTATTGCATGTCTTGTGTGAAGTATGGCAACATTTTACACACATCTATATATCTATACTTATATTTATATTTATATTTACTAATCAAATCTCAAAAAAAAACGCGTTAATAGTGGTATTTTGAGGATCCGGAAAGACTTCGAGAACATTTGTCAGGCGATGAAGATGAAGACGAAGAAGCACAATGGGTAAAATTTAACTATTTAAGCAAACTCACATTATCCAAAAACAAGAAAAAAGAAAAAGGAAAATGCTTATTTTATTGTATTTACTTAATAGAGAGTCGATCCCATTGGTTGTGATTCCAAAGGAAACATATTCTACCTCTTTGATGGTAAAATTACAACAAAGGCATAGACTTAAAACTGGCTTAGTTACTAAACTTTCCCTGATTTATCTCTCTGTGTATGTATGCAGACAATCGGCTTTACCAACAATCAATCCACAAACCAAAGACCAAACCTCATTCTGCAATAAAAAAAGCTCAGGCCAGAAAGGGAACTCGCCACAGTGCACGAAATGCTGACTTATCCCAGATAGAAACACCAACTGTAGAGGAAATATGGATGCCTTGGAGACTAGTAAGTTGAATTTTACCAATTAAATATATTTTCTTCTTCTCTATCAATCTATATAGTCCTTTATCTATCCCTCTTTTTTTTTTTAGTAAAAACCCACACACACGTATATATATATATATATATATATATGTATATATGTATGTATTTAATGTTTGTGTAATAATAATAGGTCTGTCAGACAAGCTCTGACTGGGAAATGTTTCCATCCCGTTATTCCAACAGCACACATATCGACGAAAAGAAATTTTATCGTGCCCTTATAGAAGACGTGATTCCCAAGGTATTACCCGTGCTTTTGGATCACGAGAAAGAATTGAAGAAACAGGAAGCACTTTTGCACAGAAAACGCAGTTCTCGCCTTATGGTCCGTGAGCTGGCTTCTCTGGTACCATCATCTACCGACATTGATTTGACAGAGAAGAGAGCGTCCAGAAGAGAAGAAAACGCTAGACGTAGAGAAGAAGCAGAAAAGGAATCAGCAGCAAAAGCTCGCGAAGAAAGATTGTTGGATCGAGAACGACGATTGCATGAGCGGGAAATGGCCAGACTCGAACAGGATGGCAAGACAGATTCTTTGGATTTAGCAACAAAAGCAGCCGCAGTAGAAAGAGCAGGTGTATCAACAGACAAGAAAAATAATAACAAAAACTACAACAACAACAACAGCAACAGCAACAGCAAGAAGCGAAAGAGGACTAAAGCTCAAGAAAAAGAAGAAGAAAGCAACTGGACGTTTGATTGTGTGTGTGGATTGTCTGGACAAAATGTGGTAGGTATACAATCTTTATTTATGAACCAAAAGAAAACGAATGTGAAAGATACACACACACATATATATAAATATATATAGCTACTGATAAATTCCTTTTTCTTTCTTTAAAGGACGATGGTAGTCCCATGATTGCCTGTGAACGTTGTGGTGTATGGCAACATATCCAGTGCCTACGAAAATCGATGCAGATTAACAAATATATGAAGAGCCTGGATAACTACGAGTTCATATGTCAAGACTGTAAAAGGCCACCTCCTTTCAAATCGGAAATACCCCAAAAAGACCAAATTATGACAGAACAACAGCCTAATCCAGTGTTTATTTCAACTTTACAGCCGGTGACTCAACCATCCTCATCACAACCGCCACAACCTCCACTACCGCTGCCACTACCAACTGTAACGTCACAAACAGTATTACCACCAGCAGAAGCACACATTGAAACAGCACCAACTGTAGTACCATCAGAAACACCAACTGTAATACCATCAGAAACACCAACTGTAGCAGCACCAGAATCACTAGCGCCACTGGCAGAAGCACCAGTAGAAACTCAAACACTAAAAGATACTCTTATTAATGTCGCACAAGATACTACAGTTCAGGTTCCACTTTACCCAACTGTCGATTCAACTACCATTCAACCATTGTCAACTCAACAACCTAGCCCCCAAAACCAATTGAATTACAATGCTTAAAACAGTCAATAATCGTTTTGGATATACATATAAGCAAGAGAGATAGACAAAGAACAAAAAATAATAGCAAAAAAGATAATAATATTGACAACGATAATATATGTAAATAGTTGCAACTTTTTTTCTTTCTCTCTTCTTTTCTTTAGATAGATAGACACCAACTTAATTGCGTACACTATAATACACTACAATACACTACACTACAAATTCAAATATGTGCACACACACACACTCTCTCTTCTCACTCTACATTAAAGCGGGGCTGAATTATATACATTGATTTGCTAAGCCTCTATGCCGATGACGTAAACCTTTTTGGAAGTCAATAGGGGGCCTTTCTGTCGCAACAAGGTCTTTCTACACACACTACTTTGGTGGAAGCATCATGAGCGAGATTGAAAGCAGTGGTAAGCACGCTGTTAGATGATGTACATGATGACCCAAATAAATCATGCTTGTGCAATATGATCTATTCTATCTCTGTTTTATCATTAATAATACTGACAATGATGATAATAAATAGAACCACGTATTTCTGATGAACGCGGGCGGGGCTCCCGTAGTCGTTCTCGATCGCGCTCTCCAGTGCGTGAACAAAGCGACAGTAGATATAGAAGCCGTTCGCGATCCAAAGACGTGTAAGCAACAATAAATACAGCAAACCAACCAACCAACCAATAAATAAATACATATACAAAAAAAAACACACAAGACAAAAATTCACCCCACAAACACACATATACATACACACATATACATACACACATATACATACACACACGCGTGCGCGCACACCCAACACACGCGCAATCGTACAATACACAGCAATTGTTTCCTTTTTTCCATCTTCCTCAATAAACCATCTCATCTCATCTCATCTCATCTCACATCACCTCCATCACAGCCAAGATGATGTATTCGAAACCAATCCAGGAGACAACCTTTTCATCACCGGACTTTCGGGTAGAACAACAAGTGCTGAGTTGGAAGAATTGTTCAACAAATACGGCAAGGTTGGTTTCGTTTTTAATATTTTCACTATACCTCTTTTTCCTTTTATTATTATTATTATGTTTAGACATTAGTAGTGATAGTACTGAATAAATTCCAAGATGTTTTTACTAAAATAATAATAATGTTAATTCCTTGGCTTGAAACCATCTTTTTAGGTTCAAAAAGCAGAAGTCATGTACGATCCTCATAGCCGTGAGTCACGTGGCTTTGGCTTTATCCGTATGAATTCAACTGAAGATGCCGACAGAGCCAAGACATCTGTTAGTGGAACCGAGGTCGATGGTCGTGTAGTCACAGTTGAGAAGGTATGTAAAATATGTCAATTTAAGAATTGATTAAAAAAGAAATGCCTTTTTTTTCTAATAAATAAATTCCTTTCATCAATGTAGGCTAGACGTGCTAGACCTCGTACTCCCACTCCAGGTCGCTATTATGGTCCCCCTAAGCGTGAAGGCGGTCGCGGAGGACGTAAGTACCATTTTATATCCTTTATTTTAGCCTTCGACAGTTTCTTTGCTTGTACTTGGGTGATAGAAAGGAAGGAAGAAAGAGATAGAGTGTGTCCGATATTGTTCATTATTTTTTTACAGCATTGCCTTTTTGATTTCAATAATTCGCGTACTGACTTTATATATACCCTTTGATACGCGTTTTGAAGCTCCTAGACCTGTAAGAGGAGGTGAACCAAGAATGGATCGTTATTATGATAGACCTTATATGGATCGTTATGATCCCCCCAGATATGATCGTTACGAAAGAGATCGTTATGATCGTTACGACCGTTATGATCGCTACGATCGTTATGATCGTTATGATCGTTTCGACCGCCGCCCCCCACCACCCAGATATGAACCTTATCCTCCTCGCGCAAGATCACCTTACTAAATGGAAAAGACACAAAACAAAAAAATTGAAAAAGAGTAATTGGTTAGAACAAGGAGATGGAAAAGACACAAAAAAAAACAAAGCCGCGCCCGATACAATCACAAAACACAAAACACAAACATACAACATAGTTCACAGAAGTCAAGCTTAGTTCTTGTTTTACACTATTTTTCTTCTTCTTTATCTCTCCCTTCATATCTTCATCCCTACTTCATCTCTCTTCATATCTCTCTCTCTCTCTATTTCTCTTGTCAGAAGCCCGTGGCAGCAAAAAAAAACCTATATTTCGCCTATCACACAACGCCTCTGTCGACAAAAAAAATCACAAAAAAAAATAGTATTCAACATTATCCTATGCACCACAACACTTTTCAATATGTGCGATAAGAACAACCTCTTCAGTAAATATTGTTTGATTGAAAATAACCAAGGTAAAATTATAAACTAGCTTATTACTTTTTTATTACTATTTTACTAGTCAATTCTTTGAATGAAATAAGTTCTTGTGTGTGTGTGTTATCTGGTGGGTGGGTTGATGGGAGAGAGAGGTTTATATATTTGTAGGTGGGGTAAAGAGAGAATGAATGAATGAAAGATAGAGAGAGAGAATTTGGCAAATAGGGTTTCTTTTTTAAAAAATCCAAAAAAGAAAAAGCAAAATGGATACGCTTTCTCCCCCCCCCCCCTCTCTCTCTCTCTGTCTCTCTCTCTCTCTTTCTCCTATATTTGACCATAGAATTGTCTGGTTTCAATCAATTTTATTTTTCATTATTGTTTTTTTTTTTTAAAAAAAATAAACCGACATATTTGGGCTTATTACACAACAGAGAAATATCGAATTTAATCGTACGAAATTTACCATATTTTCTTGTGGTTACGATTGGCTGTTTGATATTTTAAAAGGTTAAGCAACAACGGACATTTATATGTAGTTTATAATATTTTTGAGATAATTTTAAAATATAATTATATATTACTTTTTATATATATAAAAAAAAAGGTGATGCTTGTGTGGAGCAAGCAACTCTATATCTATCATTACATGTGTATGGGTGCGTATGAATGTATGTATGTGTGTATATTGGTTGTAGTTGGTGATGATCAATGAACGGTCTGATTTAATAAATTGGGATATTTCCTCTTATTTCTTTTCTTTTTTGTCCTTTTTTTCCTTTTTTCCCTTTTTATCCTTCTTCTCCTTCTTTTCCTTCTTCTCCTTTTTGTCCTTCTTTTCCTTTTTGTCCTTCTTTTCCTTTTTGTCCTTCTTTTCCTTCTTCTCCTTTTTGGACTTCTTTGGTGTTTCATCTTCTTCTTGTTCAGATCTCTTACGCTTGTGAGTCTGTGCTTCTTCATCGCTATCTTCTGGTCGAAGATAATCCTGCATCACACGAGAATATTTGCCCTTTTGATCTACCAAACCACGTCCACCTTTTCGTGCTGTTCTTCCTTCACAAGCAGCAAACAACTCGGCGTCTGAGATCTTGATAGAGAAGTCTCTAATTTCTTCATCTTCCCATGACAGTTCTGGCTTGGGTGTTTCAGAGCTAGCAGGCTTACTTGGATCAGAACTTTTGTAGAAATAATAAAAGATGAGTGAGTTTAATTTTTGCTTATTTTTTTTTGAAAGAAAATAAATTACACAATATAATATTTTATGCATATTTCATTTCATTTCATTTGACCAGAAAATATTAATTTTGATTTTCTGTCTTGCGAAATACTTACGGTTGGAGTGATCCTGTTGAACTCTTGACAAATCCACTGTAAAGAACGGTTGTAGCCACCTTTTTGCTGATGCTCATGTGTAGGTCTTTTACGCTATCCATCATATTTCTGTGATCTGCCATAGATGCCATTGAGCTCATCATCGAAGGTGCCTGTTCTTCTTCTTCGTCACCGTCATCTTCTTTCTCTTCGTTCTCTTTAGGTAATTCTGATGAGGATTCTTTCGTCGAGACTCGCTTTCCGGTAGGACGTTGGGTACTAATGATTCCAGTCTTGGAACGGCGGGTATCAGATTTTACCTTGGTAGCAATCTTAACCTAAAAAAAAAAAGTTTCTTTCCTTTGTGAGTATTAACTGTACTAAGAGATACACATCCACAAAAGAAGAATAAGATTGTATTATTTTTATGTCTCTATTATTAATATATTTGCGGTTACCTTTCCTTCGTCTTCATCTTTTTCGACCGAAACTGAGCTTGCACTCTTATTGTAAAGATGATCCCACCAGGCGAACTCCCACTGGTTCTCCCCGACTCCTACACCCTTCTTATCATTTTTTACTGATACGGAGATGTGCTTGACTTTTCCGTCCTTGTTTTTACCGAGACCATCTCCTCTAAAAAAAATGGGGTAGTAAAGGGCTCAGTAAAGGGCTCATGCTACATTTGACTACTAAAGAGAATGTGTACAAATAGTAATGTACGGAATACACACATACTTTGACCAGCCAAACTTTTCGAGCTGGGATTGTGCAAATGTTCCTTTCCAATTGTCCATTTTTGAGGCTCAATTAAAGAAATGTCTTCTAAAGAGTGTAGTTAAAATATAGAAAGAAAGAAAAATAAATAAATTTTACTATATCTTTCCTCTTTTTATATATATTTTAAAACCTTCATCAGGGACAAAAAAGGTCAATTGGGTGGCTGAATAACGGATAAAGACAGTCACTGTAGGTATCTAATGCATTGCACTCTGATTATTGTGGCCCCGCTTAATAAAGGTACGAACAATATGAGAACAAACTTCAATCTTTTTACTGCATATTTGTATATTCTATATACAAATTTTATATCATTTATTTAGGTATTTAATGGTTTGGATTTTTTTTAAAAAGAATACTGTCTAATTCACTCAGGACAATCAAGACAGACAAGGTAAGGCAAATAAGAAGAGAAAATAAGTAATAGATAGGAAATAAAAAAATATTGAACAGATATACTCGGCTTGGTACAATGTAGATTGTGTGCTTACAATGTGGCTGGGAGTTGAGGTAACTCAAGTCAATCTCAAAGCAACCATTGAGGGTGTCCGCGGCTATAGCAACTGGGAGTGGTTTCTTCTTGTCTGAAGATGTCGGACTCTTCACCACTTGTGGCAACGATGAGGGGAACTACCTAATGAATTTCCTGGGATTGGGCCAGACCAAAACAGTGTGTCAAGGTTTGCCGGGCCTTTTCCCGATTGGCATAAATTAGGGACGAAACAAACCGCCAGACCAGCTCTTCTCCATTCTCGATGGCGGCGGTGTATGTGGCTTCTTGGAAGTATTGGGCGTACATCCGTACTGTCTCACTCGATTTCTGGACCAGTGCTCATAACTCATGTCGCTCGATCCAAATGTAAAATGGACTGCCGAATTCTTTCTCCATGCGGTTGCGGGCTTCTTGCCAGGTGATACTCTTGTCGTCCTTGGTTTTCTGGAACCATTGTCGCTGTATTTCGTCGTAGGTCAATCAGAACAGGTGTTCCCAGTGCTTGTCGGCTGTGAGGTTGTGTAATCGCATTTGTACTTGGAATTCGTTGAGAAATGAGTGAATTTACTCATGGATCTTCTTGCTGGGTTCTCTAAGTCGCCCGCCTTGCAATTGGAATATTGGTAAGTTCGGGGGCACAAAAGAGTTTTGCTTGTTTGTGTGGGCATCCCTGGAGCTTTTCCTGCTGTTCAGGTTGCGCATCACTTCCTTGGTGGAAGTGTCAGACAATGCCTTTTGGGAGGCCATGAAAGAGTTCCAGTGGGTCTTGGTGCGGTCCACGGCTTCTTGAGCTTGGCAGATCTCTTGATTCGAAACGTTTGGGGTTTCTAGGATCCTGAGCAGACCGGCGGATGCAGTCTTGCGGTTTATATCCAAGGATATACCGATGGAGAAAATATCCAATTGTTCTTGTTCTTTTCCTTCGGGGGTATTCTCCGTTACTAGGTCTTCTGAAGCAATGCTTCCGTGGACGGAGCCTTCTCCTTGTGTACTCTCCTCAGAGCTTTCGAAAGTGGCATTGGAAATGGTAGTTGACATTTTTTGTTAAGAAAAAATAAAGTGTCGGTTCACAGTAAAAAATGAGGTATACAAATAAGATTTGAAAAGAGAACAATAGCTACTGTGAGAGTGTTGTTTATTTAAGAAAGAAAATTGTAGCTGTTTATATAGATGTTTGGTTCTCTATTTTCAGATCTACATTAGTTAATGGTTGGCTACCACTGAGACAGTATAAGGTATACAAGTCTCTAGTGTGTGTTACATTCCTGAGATAGTTGCCCTACAAGACTCATTAGCAATCATAGAATCCGTTCTGGATCACAGAATTTTTATTTCACTCTGTTATGGAGAGTATACTACAATACGCACCTCACAACATGATAAAATAGAAGCCACGACCAAACTATGGTTCCTTCTTGCTAATGAACCTGGCATGCCAGCAATCTCCAAAACTATTACAAGCGAAACACATATACACTATGCATTTATACAGTGTAAGTCAACCATTTCACAACAGGGATTTGCATGAAAAAAATTCGAATAGTTTTAGACATAAAAAATATTATTTTGACTCTCTTTAATAAATAACACTCTCAAAGTATCTATATTTTCTAATAATGAGATACTAACCTTATAATACAATCCAAATATTTCAGCATTAACCACACCGCTTTATTTTTCTTATGATTAGTGTAAACTGACTAGTTTTATTTTCTTAAAAAAAGTTCAAAATTAGTTCAAGTGTATATTAGATAAAATTAAGTACTCATAGTATTATGTCTTACATTATGTGAAAGTATTTGATTTTGGGTTTTTTAGGCCTCCTATTATATAGCACATTCCTTTAACTAAAAATATAATCTTCTTTTCAATCAAATTGACAATAGAAGAAAAATGGTCAGTCAGAGTGATTTGAACTTTTTTATTTTTTTTAGTCTGTCCACCCCCAGTTATATTGGGCTTTGACTCTATCTCTGCCTTTTCTTTACTCTATTATCTCAGGGCTTTCATCTATCAAAATGTGATATTCAATAATTTTTTATTATAATATAAGACATACTTTGATTAATTAAAAATAATAGCTGTAGAATGCTTGGTTTTTTATTTGTTTTTTTTTTTTTATTTTAAAAATAAAAACATATGCATGATTTAATCATGTAAATCTTATTACACAGCCACACGCATACACACACACACACACACACACAATTTACCATGGGTTACAAAGCTTCTTTAAAGCAACTTGATGGATGTATGTCTTTAATCAACTATATTATAAAACATATCTACTATTAGTATAGGCTGCAAAGTGATAATATCAAGAGGTCTTCAATACAAAAACTATTTGGCATATGAAAGTCAAGGAATTTCTATGTGTAAGAATTTAGGCTTAACCAGATATGGATATAGTATTATTTTGATAACAAATAACAAATAACGCCAATGACCCCTTAATTTTTTTATAGGGAGAGAGATAGAGAGAAAAAGAGATAAATATGTACTGAGGAACTTGCTGTCTAGTTTTTTCTCTTGTTCCTCTAAGCACCACTGTTAGGAACAATCAAGTAAGTACCACTTCTTTATACACAGCATTACGTGTAAAACGCGTTTTTTTTGTTATAAAAAACCAATTTACTCAAGCAACACCATTACTCATTATGCATTACTTAATGTTTTACCAAAACATTGACTTTACATTAACTCTTTTTTTTTATTTTTCATTCTTCTTCTTCTTTTTACAAGGTTTATACTGTTTAAGAAACCCATGAGATTTATCTTGAGGCTGTTTTTTTCTGCTATTATTTATAATAGTAGTGTATGAATGCTTGATTCGTAGTGTGATGCGTACACGTTCTGTGGTCGTAGAGATTGTAAGTACATTAATGTTACATTCCTGCCCATGCTTTATTTCTTATACTTATTTTCTTTATTCATTTTATGTTATGTACATTCCAAAAGCGCATGCACCTACACATGGTATACAATTACCATATTCAGTCTTTTCTGTTAGATTTCGGTCTAATGGGGGAGATTGATGTAAGCCTCTTGGAGACAGAAGCGGAGGTGTTTACACCAAAGCTGGTCTCAACCAAACCAACTAGGGGGTATGGGCCTCTCAGCGTTCAGTAAAGAAAAACCAAACTTGTCCGATTCGGCTCCAGTCTCCACATATCAAAGTCAAACATAGACGCGGCCAAGTGGGGTGTAGTCACAGACGGGAGCCTTCGGGCGCGTCTTTAGGTGGGAGCTTCTTTCTAGAGGCGCCAATGAAATACCACCACCCATTTGGCCAACCCCCTGCATCGGCAGCGGGTGGACATGGCTTGGGAGTAACGCTGTTCACCGCAGACGAACTAGCCCGAAACCTTCCATCGAAGCCTTCTCATCCCTTGCGTGTGAGGCCGTGGAGTGCTCTTCCGCAACTTTGGCATCTATTCTAGATCTGAGGTTGGGTGATGAAAGAAGAACAGACAAGTTTGGTGAGCGCAGCAGCAAAAGCTATGGAGTATGCTGTTGTGACATTCTTTTTCAAGCCACTCAGCCCGTGCGAGAGACTTATGTCTGGGGTGGACCAAACCTTACCATAAAGGTTGGACCAGAGTTCGGCCGTAGACCGTCGTGATGTCAGGTCATTTTCTTTTTACTGATGGTACTAGTATTGTACGAACCAAGAAGTAAAGTACGCAAGTATTTTTCTCTTCTTCAAGCCTCTGCAACGTTGTAGTCGATCGATTTGGCCAGTACTACAAAGTCACGCTTGTCAGGATGTGACCGAACGTCTTTAAGTCGCATCTCTGGGTTTTAGACAATGCTAAAATATACTTCCCGCGTACAAATTGTACACCCTGGCTCTCGGGCCTAGTACTATACTAGCTGACTTTGGTCTTGATTGATCGGGTCACATGTAATGTTAATACTGGGAAGGAAAAAATCGCATACAGACTATATGAAATCGACGGGGTGTCGAAGGTGTAAAATGATCCTGTAATCATTTATCACTGAAGATTAAGCCCTTGTCTTTGAATTTGTTCTTCGGAACACCTTCAATACCTTTGGGATTCTTATGTATATACATATATTTAGGTCCTTGTCTAGTTAACCTTTTTGGTTGACATGACTGGTGCCTTTTTTCTGATCTTGATTGGAAAAGAGGGTGAGTTCGATTCTCACAAGGACTTTATCAAATATCTGATACTTGAATACTTTTTACTCTTAAATACAAAATATATATATATAATAATCTAGATAAAAGAATAAGTAGATATAGATTCACTAAAAAGAAAAAGAAAACACATAACAAAATCAGGCTGAAATTCTATCTTTTCAATAAATTTATTGAAATTAATTATATAGTCAGATAAAAGAAAGCTTTAATATTTAGTAATCACAAAAGAACCTGAAAATTAAAATCTATTAATTTATAAAGATGCCTGTTTCTACAAAGTAAAATATAACAATATATAAAAATCAGCTCAAATATGCCTCTTTCGGTGCTGCAAGACAAAGCTGAGAATTTTCATTTTTCATTTTTCATTTTTGTTTATTTTTGTTTGTTTTAGACACGTTTAATATTTTTCAACTGTTATGAGTTATAGACAACAAAAGAATGGCTTATTTATAAGACATAAGCACTTTTATAAGTCTGAATAAGAATGAATAGCTATAGTATCTGTAAAGAGTTGAAATGCTCCTTTAAAATTATATATGTAAAAAAAAAGAAAGCCATTATAATGTTTCTCAGTGTTTTTTGGTTGCTGATTTTTGGAAAGTTGCTACATATGTATACACTATGGTGAATTGAAGACGACTTTAATAGAAAATTGTCGAAAAGCTTTTATATATATATATATTGATTTCAAATTTGTCTCATCTATTGACTATAGCAGGTTAGAACCCAATACACCTTTTTACTACCTGCTCTTGTGTGCCTTTTTATATATAGATATAGATATATAAGATTGAGAGACTATACCTATAGATATGTCCATATTCACATACATTATACACATTGCATATATTTGATTTACTTATTTATTTATTTGGTTATGCGTGTTAATAAAACAAGAAACGAATAAAAATGATTTATATCTAGAGGCGCAATCAATTTTTTTTGAGTGTATGTGTTTTTGTATAATATACATAAAGAAAGATAGAAAAAAACTAATAAAGAAGAGTATTCTTCTTGGTAGGTTTTTTCTTTAGTTCTTCTCTCTCTCTCTTACAATAATGATATGTAGGAAATAGTAAATAGGATAACACTCCTTCTATTGCATTTCCTTTGCAACTTCCTCATTAAATTCTTCTGGGTTATCGATATACATATGATGACCTACAATGAAATAAACACATTTTTGGTTTGTGAGCATATTATTATAATTATTATATATTATTGTCATTTACCTCCATGCTGTACTAGAATGACTTTAACAGGCACCTTCATGATTTCTGCCACACGATTCGCCGCTTTATAATCCATCCAATCTAAAACATACACAATACCACGAGTGAGCATGTGCCTTGTGGGATAATACGTAGATGAAACTTTAAATATAACAATACCATGTTCGCCATATATAAAGACAACTGGCATCTGGAGATTGGCTAGTCTGTGGAACAAGGGTTTACGAGCATAAGCACCAGGAGCCAATACGGCTGCCAAAGCATATTCTCCCGACCCAGTAGAAGATGTGATATTATAACTAAATAAAGCATGTATGAGCCCATTATTGAAAGTATCAATTAAGTAATTTTATGTATATATATACGAAATCAACTTACAGATAATCATACAAGCAATGCCTTTCTTCTGTTTCCAAGTGAGCGAATCTTCTGGATGTATAGCTATTCACAAGCCTACATATATAAGATATTATTGTTAGTAAAATAATTTACATATATTGATAAATTTAATATTTTAAGCAGATAGTAATAATTAGGTAGCTTTTAACCATCTTAAGATTTGGAATCATTCTTACGTTGCTCCTAATGGTCCACCAAAACGAACTAGACTCATAGGGGTTATATTTTTATTCCAGAGATACACTGCCCAGCCTGGCATCTTTCTGGCCTGTATCGGGGGTGACTGTGGCGAGGCTTCGGTAGCGGGTTCATCGGGATTCATATTAACGTCGACGGCCTGTGCTTGTAAAGAAGCATTGAGCTGATTAGCTCCTTCATCTAGTTGTTCTTTTGGTGATTTGTTTGGTAATTGTTTGGTGGGTTCGACTCCTGGTGGCGGCTCTGGGATTCCAGCTACAATAATATTTACACATTTAATACACACGCACACACACACACACACACATATATATATATATATATATATATATATATATATATTTCTTACCTGGTGATACAAGTATCAGCTTTTCTACACGTTGAGGGTACTTTAATGCATAGCATGAAGAAAAGTATCCGCCGAGAGAATGGCCCATCAAAGTCATCTTCTCCAGCCCAACCTTCTTACGCCACTCTTCTAAGGATTCGACAAAATGATCCTCAACCTGTAAATATAGATATGAATAAAAAAAAGTCAGTTTTTGACATGATTTGTTTTGTATTTCTTTTTTTTTTGCTGTTTTCTAATACTTACATCATCAACAATGTCGTCCCAGGATTCATTAGATTTGCGTGAAAAGGTCCATTTTGGCCTAGAACTTCTTCCCATACCCAGCCAATCTACAATGCGCAATATACAATCGATTGTTAACATTCATATTTACCATTAAAGCATATTTACTAAGCAGTAAAGCTTCTCTTATCCCTTCTTCTTCACTTTATGTTTTTACTGTTTTTTTTTTACTTACCAACTGCAAATACTTGCCAGCCAGGTGCTTGTCCAAATGAAAAAAGATTCCTAATATGGGATATTTTTTTATCAGTACCTAAAAAAAATCATAGCAAAGACAAGTTCTGCCTTTTTTGTATATCTGAGTTTTAAGAGATCTTACTTGTAAAAGAATCCAAGACCTATTTGTACAAAAAGAAAGTAATGCCAAGAGATAAGGAGTTGGTAAGCTTGTGAAATTCAAGATATTTTATGCAACCTATTCCTTTATTGAACCCTTTTGTTCTCTCTCTTTATGGTACCAATTTATATCCGATATATCAAAGAATTTAAATAAAAATAAAATAAAATAAAATAAAAACTCACCAGCACCGTATCCATGACATACGACCAAGTTCTTTGTAGATGTCTCGGATGCCTCTTCGATTGAGGACTTTATATCTCCGGTCTCTGGTTCATGCTTGAACATCGGCTGGTCAGGGAGTGGATTTGGCGCAGAAAAGAGATGAAAGGTATTGACGATTCTTTCCTTGCTTTTGTCGACCTTGGTTGTGTTGGTGCCTGGTGAGTCCAGGTTGACTCTAAGAATTCGGCCGATAAGCGGGGTGGGTTTTGGGAAAGAGCTATATGATTCCGGACCGGTGTAAAGGAAGTGAAGGAGACGTCTCTCAGCAATAGCCGAGGTTTTGTCGTTTCTCTTCCACCAGGTCTTTAGGAAGTTTAGATACGAAGTTGGCGGAATGACGGGCGGTAAGTGCGATAAGAGAGGAAGATGGATAGTTGGCTTGTTTCCCTCTGTAATTGTGGGTTCCATACTGGTTTGATAGATAATTAAAAAGAAGAAGAAGAAGAAGAAAATATATATAAAGTGGTATTTATGAAAGAGAGAAGAAGAAGAGAAGGACAGTAAATTATTTACACTAATAGTAGAATTTTATTTTATATTATTGTAATGACAAATAATACCTAGGCTGTATAAATGTACATGGATTTATAATTAATTTTAAACAATCATCTATTGTAAAAAATAAATAAATTAAGGCTGAGGAGAGAGATGGATAGAAAATATCCTAAAATGGAAACGAAGACGCGTAGGCGTAATTTCATATTTTAGAGGCTACGCTTACGCACTATGAAGCACAAATAGCAACTGGATACACATACGCAAATTCACTTATTAATATACGATGCCCACGCGCGCAAACTCAGTTTAATACAACCAAATCCAATCCAATCAAAAGTCTTGATTTCATATGAAGGTCTGCTTGGCTGTTATTATTATTGTTTATAAAAGGTGCATTTCGTCAATATAATTCAAGTAATTGATGTCAAATAATATGCTTTTCTTGATAAACAAATAATGCAAGTTATATCAAAGCTCAAAGTCATTGGATTATCAGTATTCTACTGATTTCTTGTAATAATGCACAAAACAATAATCAGTCTTTTTTACATATGAATTCTATTGTCTTACCAAATGATAAACTATATGTTATAAGCATTAAAAGGACAACGGCAAACAAAACAAAAAAAAAGAACGGGATCTATTCCGTTTCTAGTATTTGACTCATCCATAATTTTCGCTTTGTACCATCAATGGACAAATATGTATATAAATATAAAAAGCCGTACAATACAGCGCCGTATGGACCCGTTAGATAAGACACCTTATTGTACTTTAGGTACACCAACCAAGTTTACTCTAGTTCTATACATATACACATATCATACTTGCTTTCTTCTTTTCTTTCTTTAAAGCTCCAAACCAAACCGATTGAAATGAATTCATTATGTTCTTATATTTTTATTTTTATTTGTATATATATATATATACCTTCTAAAAGTTGTGTAAGCAAATGCAAGGGTTGGGAAAAATAAGATAAAATAAAAGGGTAAGGGGGAGCTAGGAGCGGAAGGAGTATGGCGAGTGGGAAGAAAGAAGAGGTGGTACTATGAGATGACGGCGAATAATACAATGTAAATGAAACAAACGAACAAATAAACAAACGGAGATAGATAGATAATAAAGATGGTGGTGACGATGTCGATGATGATGACGGTAAGAAATAAAGGAAGAAGAAGAAGAAAAGAAGATTTTAGACAGACTTCTTAGCCATCTCATGAAAGAGTAGTCGATTCCAATCATCCACAGGTCCTATAGAGAGAAACATGCCCAAATTACATTTATGAATAAACATATCCAAATGACAATCCCATTGGCGCAAACCACTTATTTTTTCTTTGCATGATTATGTATTATAATAAGTGCTTACCAGGTATGCATGTGTGAAGACAATCTTTATCTGGACGTGAATGAGCATCACCTCGTCTATTAGTCAAAGAAACGTCTAGAAACTGGAATCTACTATCGTTCTCTTCTTTGATCCATTCCTACATATTTTAATACAAATATAAGTATAAAAGAGAATGTGGCGTGTGTAAGGAGATGTATTATGGATAAATTCATCTGGTTTTGCATTGCATTGTCTTTTGCCTCTTCCTCTTCCTCCTCCTTTTATCTCTTTCTTTCTCTTTATTTTGCTCCTTAAAGTATTCTTCATTATATAGTAGTTGCTTGCTTGATTGATTGATTTATTTATTTTTACCTTCCAAACATTATCAAATGCTTCAAACATATGCCATTCGTATTCTTTGGGTTGTCCGGTTGGTTGAAAAGGTATGTTTTGTGGAACTGTGTATTGTGAGCAGTTTGCATGGCCGTACGGTGTGCTTCTGATCCATATCGTCTGGTGTGGTTTGACATTGGCCTTGAGATGATCAAACACAATTCCCATCGCCTCTTTGAATGCAGCCAGCATTTCGTCCTGAGATCTATTGGGACCCCATTTAAAGTTAGGATGCCAGTGAGGGCCCTATATAATGAGAGAGAAAGAGATCAGCATTTTGTAAAAGCGATGAAACCAAACCACGCTAAGCTAAATGATAAAATATTTATATAGTGGAAATTAGTGTAACAGCACAAAAAGAACTTACGGTATTGATGATCACATAGTCAAAATAAGGAATAGCATGAACCCTATATATCAAAGTCAATATTAATATCAAAAAATAAATAAAGTATTATCACCATCGTTAGTATGTTTTATATATACACGTTTTCGTTTCTTGCAACTTACCAAGGATAATTGTGTCCTCTTCCCATCTGATCTCCTTCATCTTCAAATGGTGCAATCAACTTAAAGTCGTCCAGACGGAGTAAGTAGTCGGCTCGAACATATGCCATCGATACTTCCTTGTCTCCGTCTTGGGCCTGCTTGTAGACGTGTTGAGTAGGCTTGATGTAACTGTCACCACCATTTACACGGGTCTCCGTCTTTGGAACCTGGATGTACTCTCCGAGTAAACAACTCAGACTTTCGTAGTGTAGTTGTGTAATGGAGTCTCCGATCATCAACAGAGATTTCTTTGATAGGTGTTTAGCGAATGCTTCTGGATCCAATGGTAAGACTGAGCATGATTCTGGTTCCCAACTATAGTCAAGCCTTTATATATATATATTATTATTAGTTTTTTTTTAGTGTATTAGTTGGTTAATACTGCTTTATTACTATTACTATTACTATTATTATTATTATTATTATTATTATTATTATTATTGAAGAAAGACATACATGCGCTTGCTACGTTGGAGTTCTTTTGGATCGTCTCGTCTGTAACACATGTGTGTAAATTGCTTTTTGCAGTGGTACCCGACAGCCTTGTCGATTGTTGCTCTGTTGACTGGCTTGAGGTTCAAGGGTCTATATTTCCACTGGCCCTGGTTGTAGGTTTCGATTGTGCAGAGAGAGCTGTTTATCTGAGACAGATCGGCAACCATCGGTTGAGTAAACTGTTGTGGACTTTTATTGTTCGTAGTAGTGGTTGGTTCAGAAGTATCGTTGCTTGTGGGCAAAAGCATCCTAAGATTTTCCTGCCAGGACCAAATGAACAGCCAGAACAAGAAACATAGTGTTCCTGCAAGTAAATAGACTAGCTTGCTGTGAAACTGGAGAGTGACAGGTCCGCTCATATGAAGCAAAATCCAAAAGGTTTTGATAAAGAAAAAGAAGAAGGAATGAATAAAGAAAAGAAGAAAAAGGTACACTTTAAATTGTTATTTTTCTTTTATTATTAAATAAAATAAAATATAACTGAGATAATTTTACAAGGTCAAGTAAGTTGAGAAGCTCTCCCAGAATTCGGTGACACCATCAAAAAAAAACTAAATCTGGAAGGAAGAATTGCTCTAGTTATTTAGTTTATTAAAACTACGCTAATAAATAAATTTTATAAAAGAAAACTGTATAAATCAACAGACATATAAAAACTACCATATTAATCGTTTTATTTCCTTGGTAACAAATGTTAAAGAATGGAAATATACCTTATTTATTTTTATCTTTAAACATTACCGCTTCAATACACAACCTCATCTTGGTCAGAATCTACAAGAACATTAAGTTTTGATAACATAAGAAGCAGAATTCAATTGATTGAAATGAAACCTCAACTAAAATACCAGCAAAAATAAATAAATAATGTCCTTTGTCTGTGACCCCTGAGCAGACCGGTGCAGGGTTGCACGCACATTTTCTTTTATATATATATTGCCTAGAGATAAATTGTTACGATTAAATATTCCAAAGAAAGAAAATAAATAGACAGATAGATCTTCAGACTCGCAAAATTCTAGGCTTAATTGACTATATCGCATCAGAGCCCGAAAGAAAGAAGTAATAAACAGCAAAGGACTAAATTGATTAAGTGTGTTTATATTTGTCTGGATCGATGATATTACAATCTCCTCAAAGTTCACACACAAAAAAGTAAGCAAAAAAGAAATGAAGCATTCCTTGACAAATGGTCAATCTGATAATCCCTAATTTCAGAGTTACCTGAATCCCATAATTTCAGCACTATTGTTATTATTAACATTATTATTATTTATATTAAATGTGTGCGTAAATATTGCTTCATGGAATATACAGTTAAATGATGGCTTGAATATTAAAAGAACTGCTATAATAAGAATGGTTTATTGTTGCTATATATATTTTTTATCAAGATAGAATAAATGTATATATGTAGTTGTGTCAACGTGGTAATATATTCATATTATCTGTGCCACCAAAAGATATTCATTTTTGCTTTTTTTTTTAAAAAAAAAAGAACGAAGCTCTGAAAGAGGAAGAAGAAAACGACAAGATCTAGAGCTATTACTTGATGATATCCAACATTAAATAGAAATTAATTGGTTGGTTGGTTGTATATATATATAGAAAGACAAGGTAGATATATGATCTTGTAGTTTATCTGTATGTAATTCAATGTGATTATATACATATATACATTTATGGCATTTCATTTGGATATATATTTATATATTTATGTATGAATGTATGTATGTATATATATGTATATACATGCGTGTGATTATAACGGGGGGTATCAAAGAACAATGGATCAAAAAAAAAAAGAAGAAAGAATCAAAAGGGGAGGGGTTGGCTAAATGTACAAAATAATAAAAGAAAAAAAAAGAGAAAAAAATATGAATGGATAAATAGATAGAAAACAATATTGTGATTTTTTATCCCCTCTTTCTCTCCTTCTTTTTCGCACCCCCTTCTTATTTCCAAACGTTGCCTGTCAAAAACATATCATTGTCATTGTTGTTGTTGTTGTTCTGATTAGATGATACTCTGGTTGACGCACTCTGATCTGGCCACTGCCAAGTCTCTTCTCCTGCTGATTCTCTAGAATATGTCTGGAGGGTCTGCTGTTCCGGTAATGAATTCGGTACATCTTCTTGTTGTTGGTTATATGATAATGATGGTGCTGGGGACTCAACAAAAGACGGTACATTTGGCGGCTGACTGACCGAAATGACAGGTGGAGTAGAACGAGAGGCACGGGGCTGGTGCTGAAGAGTAGGTTGGAGATAATTGGAACGTTCTGAAGCTTGTGATTTTGGTTGTGGTTGTGGTTGTGGCTGTGGTTGCAAATACTGTGAATGTGCGTGTGGTTGTGCGGCAAACACATTTACCCTGGGAGATGTTGGCCCTCTTGATGGACTGGGTGCCCTAGAGTGATTGGGTGTTCTGGCTGGGGTGTTTAATCCGCTCCTTGGTCCGTTACTTTTAAAAGGAGTCTTCCTGTGTCCTGCAGAATTTATAGTAGACCGCCCACCACCACCAGCACCACCACTTGTAGATAATGGTCGTGATGATCTTACAGAAGGATCTGATCCAGTATCATAATCATAATCATCGTCGTCGTCGTCATTATAATCATTGTTATCACGATCATCATCGGTTACTGCTTCCACAACCACAAAGTTTCCTTTTCCTTGTTCGACCACCACATCAACGCAACCTCCTCGAGGAGACAATCCACCGGATTTCTTGGCCTTTTGGTGATACTTTCCCTTCTTTTTCTTTGCGTCTAAAGAACCAGAATTGTACCGTCCTGGCCGTAATCCAGTTCCACCGTATCCACCACCGCCTCGAACTTGTTTCCAGAGTGGGATACGGAAATCAATGACCGGGTAATTGTAATCTCCAAACATCATTGCCCGACTAGTTCTGTAATGATCTTCAACCTCATCATTAGGATCCGGATCATCGAATTCGAGTGGCTCGTACACTTCAACTCCCGAAGCTCCCCTCTCTCCTCCCCCACTTCCTCCTCTGCCTTCATTTAATGCACGGCCAGCACTAATGAAACGAGACGTCGGTGCAGGATCAATCCAGTGCTTTTTGGCTGTGCTGGTCGAGTACCGTAAACCGGCCATGATTCGAGATGTTCGGCTGCTCCCGATGTGGGGAACTCCTTCTGAAGGTTCAAATGATCTGTAGTTAAACTGGGATCCTCGAAGAGTGTCAAGAGTGTCCATCACAACATCCTTGATACCAAAAGAGTCTCGGATTGCTCTGTAGATTGGCATACGAGCAGAGTGAACATCAGGATCATAATAATCCTCATAAGAAAAAGAGAATCTTTTTTTGTAATTGATATGAATAAGTCAGTAAATCAAAAGTCGATAAACAACGATTGCTAATTTGACTTACGAATGAGCAATTGCAGCAGGTACCATTTCCATACAAATGAGAAAGTCTTGAATGGCCACTGAGATATGTTCAGGTCCCTCTGATTGTCCGTATAACATATTAGTACTATGCTTTGTTATATGATACCTAATCCCTTTTCTTATTTCTTTACTCTCTCTCTTTTATATTATTTTACTTACCATCTTGAATCATTCCGGCTGCTACCATCAAAGCAATAACCACACTCTGCCAAAACGAAAAGAAGATGATTGCCTTGACACATAGGAATTTAGGAAGAGGTCTAAATAAATAAATAAACACGCACACACGTACACACATATATGCAATACGTTAACATTGAGTCTTTCTTTTTTTTTTAACTTGTAGTAACCATTCACATCAGACTACTTGTATATATATATATTTACCTGAATGCAACAAGATCTTTCTTGGTGGCATAAAAAAATACCATGAGACACCACAATGTCAAAGTTACACTGATGTTGTAAAAGAAGGTGAGGTAAAGATAAGAGCTTGTCCAGCTAATTTCTCCTTCGCTATAATGGCCTGTTGCTTTGAGAGCCATGGTGACGACGGCCAAGATAGGCTTGACATAGACAAACTGAAGGATACCTCGTTTGACAAACAGAAAGGTGTATGGATCACCCACATAGATTTCGCGTGACCAAAGCGTGCCAGGAAAAAAGTTTTCGGACGGTGGTCGGGAGTGAAGCATGATAATCAAGGCTCGCTCACCGCCCAGTTTGTTGAGTAGGAGGTTAAAGAAGGCATAGATAACATATGCTTCGTACATGTCACGAAAGGTGTCCACATAGAATGCGACATTGAGAGATACCAATGAGACAAATGTACTGACACCATAGATGGGCACACTTTATATATACATAAATAAATAAATAAATAAATAAATGTCAATTATTATTATTACTTTCTTCTTCTTTTTTGTCTTTCTCTCTACTGCGAATGTATGTAGGAATGCAGGCATGTAGGCATGTAAATTATGTATGTATATGTGCAGTGCATTTTATCTATTTTGTGGAGATTAAAGAAACTTACATCCACAAAATACGAATGACTTGTCTTTGTTGGTTCTATTGAAAACAAATTGATATTACTATTACTAATACTGTATATTATATTAAGTTATCTCTATCTTTTTAGGGCTGCTCGCATTACTTACCGGTTTTCTGTAGTTCTTCCAGTGTAGCCAGACAGAAATCATTGAGATGCAAGTGGCCACAATTGTAAATATAAGTGCTAGATTGATAGCAATCAGACTAAACTCTGACCCGGCACCACCTTCACCATAGCCATTGTCTGCCAATAAGAGGGCCATTCGAGACCTTGCGAATGACATTTTCGTTCTTTTCTTTTCTTTTCTTTTAAATACTAGCAAGGACAAGGACAAGGACAAGAAAAAGAAGAAGAGAAATTAACGTTCAAGAGGGTACAAAAAATAAGAAAATAAGAAGAAGAAAAATTAGAAAGAAAGAATAAAATTTTGGTCAACAGTAAAATAAATCACAAAAATTGAATGAAAACTATTGCTGTGAAGCTGTGAAGCTGTATTGTGATTATAGTGTGTGTGTGTGTGTGTGTGTACGCTGTTGTTTGTTGGTTGTTGGTTGTTGGCTGTACTTTTTTGCAGCACGTGTTTTTATAAGTTGTGTGTAGATTGAGTATATAAAGTCTTGATTGACACACTGAAAAAAACAAATTATATATATATTATATATTTAAAGGGAGGGAAAATTAGAAGAGGAATCAAGATGATATTTATATATAAAAATATCAAAAAATTTAAATTTAAATAAATTAAATAAAATTATAAACAAATAAAATTTTCCTTTTGTATATATAAAATAGATATATGCTGTGTATGACATATGAAGTGCAATAAAAACTGTCTATTATCATCAGAAAAGAAATAATAAAGCAAAAGGAGTAAAAGGGGTTTAAATAAATAACGATAACGATAACGATAACGATAACGATATAGACAGAAAGTAGAAGAGTTGATAGTAAACAGTTGAGAGTAAAGGAGGTGGTGGTGGTGGTGGTGAAGGAGAGCGAGCGAAGGAGGCCAGGACTCGTGGTATCGATTTGTGCATTATGAAAACATTAAATTTGAAGGTTCAGAACATTTATGTCTTGATTTTTGAATTGTTTCTTTATAGGGTTTGTTCATTTAGCTACGTAGATTTTTGTGAATTAAATGCATAAACATACACACACGAATATGTATTCATACATACAGCTATACATAAACTATGAATAAATTACCAATAATTTGAAACACTAGCATCATAATATTTACAACAAATCGTATACTCTTCTTCTTGCTATATATATATATACTCTAGAGTAGTATAAAGAGATTGTTTGTATGTATAGATCTATACCAAGTGTTTGCTTACTAGACATTTACAGTTAAACGTTTTCTTAATAATAATAGTAGTAATAAAATTGATATTTATTTTGATGCACAATCAACGTCACCCATTCAAATAAACATCATAATATGCATTACTATTATTATTGTTATTATTGTTTTGGTATTGGTCTTTCATACAAGAGAATACTCTTTACCTTACAATAAGTAAGGTAAAATAAATTAAATTAAATAAATAAATAAATAAATAAATAAATAAATTAAAAAGAAAAATGATCTTGGCAAAGTCCTCTCATCATCACCCCCTCTTTTCCATCACATCATTTATCCTGTCATTTTCTGCTACTGCTGCTGCTTCTTCTGCTGATGTTGGTTCTTAAAAAGAACATATTTTAACTTCCAATACGATCAGTTTCAGTAGGGCAATAGACCTTTTGTTTGTTTTATATATTTTTGTAAAAAAAAAAATATGCAAGAAATCAGAAACACTGAAAAAACTCCACAAATTATTATATTTTTCTTACCTGTTCCTGCTCATCGAAATTCAAAACGGTAGGCTTACTGGCCAAGGGAACAAACATCGTATTCCAGAGAGCCTATGAGAAGATTGCAAGTTATATTTAAGTAAAAGAATATATATATATATATATTTATCTATTTATTTTATTTGAACCTTACCTTGGTCACCCACTGATGACCCTTTGTGCTAGGGTGGAAGCAATCAATGTCACTATATCAAATGTTAGTATTGACGCAATTTTGTTTATTTTGTTTATGTTTCATGTTTCATGTTCTCCTTTTTGTATTCCAAAATATAATAAGAAACAAGAAAAGATTCAATAGATCTGTCTAGACATCTATGGACCATCTAGCTGACCAATTACGAACAAAGCATCTTAATTAAATAAGCCGATTTGACGTACCTGAGTCCATCGATGGGGAAACTAGTGATATTAACCGGCACGGGTGTGTACATTACACCAAAACTGTCTGTGCTCTTGGACTTGTAGTCATTGAAGATTTTCAACAACTGAGCATTGTAAGCTAATCCGACGATCGCAAACAAACAATTGGGTAAATATTTATCTAGTTTTTTATTTATCCAAGCTTACCATCAGAGATTTCATCCATCTGTGGACGCTTCTTGGGGTTAATGGAGCACATGCACTCAAAGGTGTTCAACTTGAAGTTGATATCCTTGAAGGGCATGCAGTACTCTTGTTGGGCTGTCAGGGTATAGACTTGCGAAACCTTGAATGTACTCACTAATTTTTAAATTTTCAAATTAGTATTATTATTTTATAGCGAAAATATTTAGTACTGAATATATTTATTTACTTACTCAAGTTGATAAGCACACGAGGAACAGTAGTTCGGATACGTTCAATTGCAGCAACAACATTCTCTCCGTAACTCTTGGCTCCCAAAGATTGGAAAACGGGATCAAGGCAATAAGTACACTGATCATTACCTGATCATTAAAATGTTAAATATGTATATTAGCAAGATTGTTTTGCTTGTATTGTCAAAATGTGAACAAAACGTACTGCCAATTTGAATATTAATAAGCTTCCAGTCGTGGGTGTAGTTGACGCCTGGCAAGTTCTTGATTGCTATACACACACATAGCGTAAGAAATAATTTACAAGTACTTCTCTTTTCTTCTTTTTCATTCTTTGCTATACCTGGCAAGAGATAATCAACTTGATCATCAAGATTAGGAGCCATTGCACCAGATTGAGCAGCATTCAAAACATCCATGCTTGGTTTATCTGTTGTTTATGGTTAACATCAGTACCAATAATCATAATAAAATACTTTAAAATCTGTCGCTAATATATGACAATATATACTTACATTGGTTGGGAGCGCATAGAGGGCCTGTATAGAGAAACAATTAAAGATAGAAAACATACTGTTAACCTCAATTCACCCTTTTTCTAAAAAGGTCTTGTTGTTATTTTTGTTACCAAAGCACAGCTCGGCCAGGTGCTCCTTTACTGAGGGTCCAAGAAGCTTGGGGCTGTATCGCTTGATAAGATTTGGAATAGTAATTGCACCAGGATCACCACCTGCAGCATAACTGACACCACGGTACTCATAAATTGACTTGAGATTGAGAAGTGAATCTCCTTGAATACCATCAGCAGCAAATCCAGCAGTAATACTATTGTTATTAATACGATCGTTAATTTCTTAGTCGATTTAAGGATTTAAAGGGCAATTTTTAGGAGGTTTGATGTTGTAGATCATTACCAACAAACAACAACAACAAAAGCTTAATTTATCAATCAAAGAAAAAAGTATAATAATGTTTCTGCCTGTCTAATTTTCTTTTATTTTGCAAAGCTACATGTGTATATATAGAGAAAATTATCTTATATATCTTTTTACCTGTCACCGATGGCACCAATAACAGTGATATCATCTGGGCGTAGATCAGTCACACCCTTTGGAGCAGTGGTTCTGGGCTTGAGAGCAGGACATTGTTCAATTGATGACATTTTGACGCCATGCACATTAGAGACAAATACAAGGCCAAAGGTGGCGGTGAACAAAAGGAGGGATTTGGAGAGAAGCATGGTGTTTCTGATGCTTTAGGAGAAGTTGAAAGATAATTATCTTCAGGTAATTTAGTCTAGTGTATTTATACTATTTTTTGTTCTTAAAAAAATTATAATGATTTTCCTCCTCCTCATTTCACTCTCCTCCAACTCCTTCCTTTATTGATGTTGTACTTTGGAACGGTAGTCCTGGTTATGCAAAACACATATGTGTATGCATTGTACTTTGGTTTATCATAGTACAAAGATTAGTGAGAGAATTGGGCGTGCTTTTTTTTTAAAAAAAAATTGTCAGTGTCTTTTAAAAAGAAGATTTAATTAGGTTTACCCTTGCCATTCGCCTATATTTCTATCTATATAAAAACTAAAGACCTTTTGAGCTTCTGTCTTACAAGCTACCCAAGTTTATGACACAGAATCGGGCGTGTATTTGTTTTGATCTTGACCTTGATCTTTGAAAGGTTCAATTCAATTTATTTTAAATTGTTTTATGTATTTAATAATCATTGTATTCTCTAGTTATAAAGTGCCTATATAACTTTATATGTATTACATAATATATGGAAATACAGTTCTTTGAAGCATTGTCAAAATCATTTCCCTTCTTATTTCCACTATACACATTGGTTATCTATGTTTAATTTATCAATTGCTAATTTTCTTGATTGATTTCCTTCAATTGACTCCAATGATCTTTTTTACACTTGAATATATATATATATTTACTGTTTTTTTTCTAACAAAATATACGTATGTGTAAGTATTTATTGACGATTCTGTCAAAGTTTTACATCTTTAGCTTATAGTCCTTTGATAGTCTTGTTATGCTTCGTATGTCAGTTGATCATAATTATAGATGTTACCATTATTTTCTACAAGGCATGAGATAATACCACGAATAAATAATACATAGTTCTTGGGAAATTCTCTTGCCCTGCATTTTCGTATAACCCTATATCTCTTTTTTTTTCTCTATCTATCTTATTTAACAAACCATAGTCATACAAAACGGTCTCAATTATTTTTTTTTAGATCGTATTCTCCACGGTATCCACAACTATTAACTATGTTTTACAAAACCAAAACAATAAATAAAATATGTGCGATACGAAAAAAAAAAAAGAAAAACTCAAGAAGATACACTTTTTTCTTCTTGTACCTGAGAATATCACACCAAAACCATCAACCGAACTAGACTTTTATTTTGTTCTCTTTCTCTCTATTAAAGTCTCAAATGAATTCCTCAAAGCCAAAAGCACCAATATTTTGGATTTTGAATCAATTATTAAAGTAACTTATATCTGTAAATAATAATAATAATAAATAATTCTTGCCTATTATCTAGTTTCTAGCCAAATTATAATTATTATGATTTTCTTGGGTTCTTTAGATATATCTTTAATGGAATAAACTTTTTTTTAAAAAAAACATAGTTGAGAGGCGTAGTAGGAGGGCTGATTCTCCTTTCTCACTTTTTTTGGAGGAGGATTAGACTTCAAATAAAAATTATAAAATACTTGTAAATAATCTTATTAGTAAAATAATATGGTACGTTTCTGGAATAGATTTATCTGCTTAAGATTGGATCCGATCACCTTAAAATACAAGAATATATAATAAGGTACTAAGGAATGAAAAAAGAATCAAAAGAATTGTAACCAAGGAACCAAAGAAAAAAAACAGACAAGTACAAGTACAAGGGAAAAAAAACAACAAAGTATGTGGGAGTTGTACATATAGCCCTAATTTTGGAAGAGTAAAGTTGTAGTCAATGTGCCCTTGAGATGATAATAATACTAATCTTAATACTAATAATCGATGTGTAAATCCTGCAACTTAAAATTTTCTTCTTTTTCTACTTTGTACAACTTCGATCACAGTGGGGTGAAATGTTGTACATATCCAATGTATCTCTAAAGTATACTGGAAAAGAAAACATTTATCTAATAAAATCTAGTAAAGCAATAAAGAGACTGACTAATATCCAGCTCACAAACATCAATTGATAATATGTACGCAGGCTTAGAATCAGAGGATATGCTTGTATATATCTATAGGCTTTACTTTTATTAAGAATTTTGTATGGGTTAAAATAAAATAAAGAGAAATTTTTACAGCCATACAGAAATATACACACGCACTATATCCAAGGTCAGATGAAGACAGTTGTCCCACCAAAATAATAATTTTATAATTATTATTACTAAAGAGAAAGGGGTAGGAGGGAGAGGAAGGGGTATGTGGCACATATTAATTTACAAGTGAACACTGATCGACTCCCATTCCGGTATATCTTAGTGGAGAGAGCCAAAAAAAAAACACACACACACACACACACAATTAATGTATTGCAACGCATTATGATCGAAAAGAAAAATCCCGGAATACTCTTTAAATATACTCCGAGGTGCTGTGCTTCTTTATAATCTTCTTGGTAGAAGAAACAAAGAAACAAAGAAGGAGGGAGGAAAACATAATAGCATTAAAGAAGAGTATCGATCAGAGATAAATCCAGTCTTAAGATCAACAATGATCCCAGACGAATATATATATATACTGTATTACACAAAGTTAACGGCTTAAGGTGTATATGTATATAATTTACCTGGTATTTGTATTTGCTCAACAAATGGGGATATAATTCAGAAAACTGGTTCTTTTTGCCTAAATGTTCAAGGTAAGTTTTGGTTACTTGAAGACAATATTCACATGTCAAAGTCGCATCCTATTTATCTCTTCTATGTAGGAAACCCTCGTAAAGATTACTGTATATATATATATCTCTTTAACATGTAATAATATCAATAGTATTAGTATTTATTCTTTAAAATACTTTGTAATGCAGATATTGGTAACTCTTAATAATAGTAACCAGTAACTATGAAAATAGTATTACAATATTGAAAGTACAAAAAAATAAAACAAAACATAGGTATATGTGCATGCACTCTTTATAATATATCGATCGATTGACGAATCAATCAATTGCTATAGTTAATATATGGCACTCGATGCAATTGTTATTTTACTTTTTCTTGTCATATATACAACTCATAAACGAGGATTATAAAAAGTTCAAAGCAGTTCTAATTGGCTGTTTTCATTCATAGGTAAATTGTATTGAGCCATTAGACAGAGAGAAAGTAGGGGAAACTCAATTGGAATGTACACGGCCTTAATTAATCAAAATATTCTTCCTCTTTGCTGTATGTACATGATAGTTTTTTGTATATGTATATATATGACATAAAATATTGGCTATTTTAATTATTATTTGGTGCTGACAGACTGAAAAGTCCAAAATTAATCAAGTGCTCATAGTACCATTTCTTCCATTATGTAAAGGTCTTTTATTGTGTGTTTCTCTAGGCGTTAAATCCTGTGAAAAATCTCTTCCGCCAAAAGTATGATATTCTTCTTAATCTAATTGACAATGGAAGAAGGTTAAACAGTAAGAGTCGTTTGAACTTTTTAGCATGTCCACATCAATTGGAAGTAGTCTAAAATAGGACAGCCAGACTATACACAGTCAAAACTCTACTTGAGTGTGATTCATAAATTTGTTTAAATATGAATTATATAACTATAAATCATATGAAGATTTCTATATCAAAATTGTACTTTTTTTTGGTATTCTTAATCATAAAGCAAAAAAAAAAAATTAGGGGGTTTCAGTAATTTTATATGCCTGGCTTACGACGTATCGCTAATTTAATTACTACAAATTATTTGCTGTAATTAATTTAAAAAACTCCGTGTTTAAACTTTTCCTTCAAAACCTATATGCAGAGTCGTAATTTTATTTTTAAGACTAATTACAGCCAATAATTCTTTGTAGTTAAATTAGCGCTACGTCGAAAGTCAAACATATAAAATTGCTGAAACCCCTCTTGTAGGTTATTGAAATATATTTAAAATGTACGCTTTGATTGAGTACCCCCTCTCATCCATAAAAAAAATTGCTTATTATTGCCAGATGGTCACGCCCCTATTAACATAAGTCGATCTGAATAACTGTTTCTTTCCATAAGGCTCATACTAGCTATCTCTGTCTTTCTTTCTCTTTCCCTTTCCCTCTATCTCTCTCAGGCTTTATCCTTCCTTATCCCCTTTCAATTCTTCCCGCCTATTAACTTTGGATCAAGACAGTTTGGGCACTGGACAATTGTCTCACAAGACGTGTACTCTCCGGCTGATTTTTTTCAGTATTATTAAAAAGTTTGTATATATATGTTGTTTAAAATTAAAATTAAAATTTTGTGATTTCGACTAATTTTTTTTGGGGGTTTTGCCGTTTTCAACAAAGTTTTTGACTATTAGTAAGAAAACAACAACAATTGCTAGAGTTCAATTATTCTCTTGAATGTGATACATACATATATATTTATATATATATATACCCCATATTGTTACTATTATTATTTGACAGGTCATATTTTATTGATTATATTTAATTTCTTGAAAAATTAAAATTAATAGTAATATTATTCCTACATTTTAATCAAAGCGATATAGATACACAAATCCAAGTCAAGAAAATTCAAACCAAACTTAGACCACATAATAAAAGACAGAGTAATGTAGAGAAAGTTTTGCGATTGACAGCAAAACAAAAGATTGTTATTATTATTTTTATTTGATGTGATGTGATCATGAATAAATGAATAAAATGCAAGATATAAATGAGGTGTTGTACAATAATGATATGCTAGTAATGTGCTTAAAAATATATAAGAATTTTGGTTTTTGTTTTGTTTTCATCTTATATATAAAGAATTGAAAAAAAAATGATATAGATATAGATATAGAAAAGAAAAGCATAATGTGTCATAGAGTAAAGTTCATAGTGGCTGCATAATAAAGTTAAAATAAGGAAAATTTTGAAAGGGAGTTCTTTTTGACTATTGTTACAAATATGTACAAGATGCATAAGTTTTGTATATGTGTGTGTGTGTGTGCAGGAGCGCATTAAAAGGTACGATGGGATGTTGGGCAGATGCGAACTGTCACTGTAGGATGATCGAAAATGAGAGCCTCGAGCTCCATAGATTTACTTGATCCAGTGCGAGATAAAGAGCTGGGCTTTGAAAGGTAAGGACCAGAGACAAATGATTCGTATGAGAGAGTTGAAGAAGATGAAGCGAGAGAAGGTGTGATTGAGCTGGTCTTTTTTTTGCGTCCTAGTGTTTTTTTGACCAAGGAACATCCTCGGATGCGAGCTGCCAGTGATGTAGTAACAGCTGAGACTCGGCTTGGCTTTGCAGCGCAAGGTTTTTCGGTCTCTGTTTGTGCCTGTGGCTGTGGTTGTGGCTGTGCCTTGTTTGATACTCGAACATTTGAGAAAGTGCTTTTTTGGGTAGAGAAGATCTGCATTGTAATTTAAAGAGGTCTTTAAGAGTGAATTAAAGAGGAAAGAAAGGTAGGAAAGAAGGGTATTTATAGACGAAGCTCAAAATCATGATTTCCTGGTCTTAACAAAGAAAAGGCATATAGAAACAGACCTCTTCTTCGTTGAACTTTCCTATTTTGGCAGGTTTACAAGGGAGATGACTGGGTTGCATCGTTGTCATTTATCGATCAATACATACAAAATCATGATCCTACTGAAAATACAGTCTGATTGTCAGAGAATGGGACCAGATATGAAAGGACAGCTCAGGGTCTACCCCTCGTCCTCTCTCTCTCTTTCTCTTTCTCTCTTGTCAATTGTGGCTAGTGGCCAGCTTTCGAATTCGACTTGTATCAATTACTAGTGAACTTATCGGTCGATTTGGCTCATCGAGATTTAATAAAAATAAAATAAAGTAAAATATTCAAGTAGAAAACGAGCGGGTGTCCTTTTTTTATTATTAAAAAAAAGGGTCTAAATAAATTACTTCTCCTGGGGCTACCAACCATCGAATAGATTCTAGTGTAAGTTCGATCTTGCTGTGTCAATACAATATCACCTTTTTCCCTTATTTTCCTTTTTCTGCTTTCTGTCACTCACCCACAGACATACCCACATCCACATCCACGCACACCCACGCACACCCACCCACAGACACAGACACACCCACGCAGACATACATTCCTTCACCCATTTTTATCCTTTTAACATCATGAAACCTGTATTGAATTATAATTAAAAAAAACCAGCCTAGTAATCTATATATCAAATAAGCAGCCCAATTCCCTTATATCGCCATGAGTCAGTACTGAAAGATAATTCGCTTTTTGTTGTTGTTGTTTTTTTTTTACAGATCAATCAATAATTCGCACCGACTATCCTGATCTACAACCAAAATGTATGACAGCCAAATCAAGAAATCTTGTAACTCTTTACTAGTTTCTTTATATGGACTTATTTGTTTTGCTTTATTTGAAGAGCAACCATAGTTGACACTCGATTTTTTAAATTTAATCAAAGATCTAATAATTCGATAATGATGATCATCACTAAAGAAGAAGAAAAGGTACAACTTTCTGAGTTTGGATTTCATATCATAGTTTTACTTTTTTTTTTCTTTTTCTTAGTATAGTTTCACATCTCTTCATTCACACACTTTACCTTCTTCCTCCCATCCCCCTTGTTTTTTTTTTCCTTAAAAATATTTTACAATGTCAAGATCAGGCTCTGACTCAGATCTCGCAACATCTCTTTTGGGAACTTATATGCTTCAAGGATGGGTAAGCTAAACATCTCATCCCATTATATTATTAAGTAAACCATCTAATCTCTATTTTATTATATATATATATATATATATATATATATATATTTACTTTAAAAGGTAATGACAGATGAATTGTGTCAACAATCAGGCTGTTCTGTACCAATGATGCGTTCAAAGGATGGTTTGATTAAGTTTTGTGTTTCTCACGATTCGTTGCCAACATCTTCCTCTGGTCAACGCAAGCCTGCTACACCTATATCATCTGCTCCTCCTGCTAACACTACTCCTACTCCTCCTGCTGCTTCTACTTCTGCTGCTACTACTGTGAAACCTGCACCCAAGGCCTCGGCCCCAGTTTCGGATTCCCGTACCGAGGATGTGAGCAAAATATTGGAGGGTTGTGTTGATAGCGAAGTTGACACTGAAGATGATGAATGGACCAAGGTTAAGAGTATGGATAAGATGCGTGAGCAAAGTGAGCGAAGAGAGCAGTCTTCCAAGGCATCTCAGTTGATTGGACAGAAACTCTTGCAGCGTTGGACTTTGTTGAACGACATTTGCCCCAATAGTGATTGTTATGCTGTAAGTACACTGTATCTATGCATACATATAAATAAATGGCCAAAACGAAAAAGAAAAAGAAGACTAATAGAGCAAGGTGTTCTTGACTTAGGTTCCGTTGATGAGAAATCCGGTTAACAAACACATGGTGTGTGTTATCTGTAATCAAACTTATATTACGGAACAGGATGCTTCGGCCATGAACTTCACAAAAAACGACAAGCCAGTGCCTGAACGTAAACCTGAGCCTGAACCTGAACTTGAGTCTGAACCTGACCTCGAGTCTGAACATGAGATGGTTTTGTCTGAGGTGAGTATCTTTTTCTTTCTTTCTTTGGATTTGGATTTACTTTACTTTTAGCATTGTTGTTAATAAATAGAAGGCAAAAAGAATAAGAAAGAAATATTACAACTATTTGGGTGCTTGGATATTTATCATTTCCATGTCATGTCATATCATGTCATGTACTACAATATTTTCTCTAAACAAAAAAAAAAGTCGCCACGCAAGAAGCAAAAGGTTGAAGTCTCTCCATCTTTTATGCTGTCAAAGTGGAGAAACCATTAAGTCTAAAAAGATATTTGCTAATCTTTGATATTTCTTTTTTCAGCTTAGTGAAACTCGTAGTTTCTGCTTTGAAGATGCTGTCGAGGAAGCAATTGAAGACAGACCAAGAAATGTATCCACTCAAAACTCACGTCCCGTAACCAAGGCCCCTTCACCAAAACTTGGTCCTTCTAGCACTGCTCCTACTGCTACTACCAATATTTCATTCATCTCAAAACGTGCTGGGTTTGAAACAGAATACTTTGGTCAACAGGGCATTGTTAAGATGCTTTCTTTAAAGCTTAGCAAGATGACAAACGAAGTTATGGAGTGTGATGATCCTACTCAAGCTGCAAGTATGTTTAGTGCTATTGAAACCTGCGCAAAGGCTATCGAAGCATGCGTTCAAGCTGGAGAGGCGTGCTCTGATGCCTCCAAAAAACGATACTAAAAACAACCTCGATCGAAATCCAAATGCACTGTATATCTTTCTTTTTTTTCTTCTTTACTTTTATTTCAATCTTTCTTTTCATTTCATTCAATGCATATCGAGAGGATTCCCTTCCTCTGAGTCTATTTTTTTTTTCTAAAAAAATAAAATAATAAAACGCATAAAAATAAGTGTTTGTGTATAAGAATTAGAGGTAATTGCAATTTCACTGTTGGGGAATAACATTTTCCAAAGTGTACAAGATGAAAATTCATTTTCTCATAGCTCAAGTCTAGAAGAGATAATTTTGATCCATTTATTTTCTTGATGACATGAGTGATTCTGTGTAAGAAAAGCTTCTACAAAAGGAAAAACAAATAAGGTGTGGTCAAAAGAACGGTACTATTGTTTATACGGAAATGATGTTGTTTCATCATTGGGACTAAATACTTTAATGGATTGCCTTGGTGTAATAAAGGTAATAAATGTATATATCGTATTATGTCTCTTCTTTTATTTAGCCAGAGACTTCAAGGTGACCATGGATGTTTTTATTGTCATTTGATTTAACATAAATGAATGAGTTCTTTTGTATTCTGCGGCTATTATTTTTCAGCACTGAATTGGTTAAGCAGGAAATTTCATGAAACCAAACTTGAAACTTGAAACTAGGATTTTCCTAATACAAACATTTTTATTGTCGCTTTGGGGGAGAACGTATGTTCTGTAACCTTGACATTCTTTTATACATATTTATATATATACAGGTCAAGATTTATTGAAAAGGCAGTACGCAGTAGCTGATTTATTTATATATATATATATAGCTGAAGATTGTAATTATAAAGGTATTTACAGGTATAGACAAAAAAGAAAGTATGTGAATTTGGGTGGTTCTGTATATATTCTCGTATTCTTCACTTCTACAGGGATTGTTTTATTGCATGGTCATCATGGTAGGACAACTGCAGTTCCACATTTTTCTTGCTGCGGAAAATTTCTGAATACAAACAAAATAAAATAAAAAATGATGGGACCATGACCAATGTAATTAATTATAGTTGGTCACTAGCCAGGTCTCCATTTTTCTCAAATGGGTGTTGGTTGAAAGCGGATTGTTCTTGAGGATGCTTTTTGAGCTCATGGCGTTTCTTGTTGAACTTGGTCGAAAATCGCTTGCAACATGAAGGGCAAGCGAACCTTTTGATCTTGATTGTGTGCTCCCCTGTAGTAATGTCTTGTGGAAGGTCCAAAGGTCGATTTTCGTGAATGTAATACGGATTGTAAGCTCCGCGTGTTGCTAGTGATGTAGAATTGTAAGGGGCGGTGCTTCCACTATTTGAATATTCGCGCGTGTATTGCGTTTGGTCATCAATACTTGGTATCGAGGGGTTAAAAGAGAAGCCGCTGTACTGAGAGCTGTAGGAAGATGGACCAGCCGAGGTATGTGTAGAATGAGATTGTAGTACAGGGCGAGTAATAGGGCTTGTAAAGGGTATATCGATTGCATTATCAACAAAGACATCCATATGGTCTTCATCGTTATCACTAGGCATAGTGGCCGGCACTGCAAGGTGATAATATGGGTCCATTAAAGGTGTAGAAAAGAAGTTAGAGGTTACTTCTGGTGAAGGACTTTGGGTATTTAGAGTATTAATGTTTATTTGAGGACGGGAACGTCCACTAGAGACAAAAGATCTTGTTGATGTTGAATTTGATCTTTTCCGAGAAGATATGCTTGACTGAGAACGCTTTCGATTGATTGCTGATAAAGAGCTGCTCGGTGCACAGTGTTCATTCAACATGAAATCAAATTCTGGGCCGCAATTCTCGAGCATGACGTTGGTTTGATTCTCTAAAGGAGAACCTTGATATTGTGATAAAAGTAAGTTTCCTCCGTCAGGCGGAAAGAAGCTTTGAGACAAGTGTTTAAGTGAGCTAGGTGTGAATCCAGGTGTTGGAAAATCGTTCGATGTGCCATTGAATGAGTCAGAAATATCAGTTCTGAATGATCCATACGATGAGTCTTGGAAATTTTCCGCAAATAATGGGTTCATCAAGGTGTTTTGATAAGCGTCTATGCAGCAAACAAAAGTCAATACCAGCTTTATCAGACTTTATATGAATATTTACCTGTCTTCATATCTTCGTTATTATTAGAAGAAAATGGTGAGACTGGCACATTCATATTGTTCTGATTAGGCTGTTGAATGTCTCGAGGAAGAGACCGTTGCTGGTGCTGGAGCTGGTGCTGTTGTTGCTGTTGTTGTTGTTGCTGTTGCTGTTGCTGCTGCTGTTGTTGCTGTTGCTGTCGCTGTTGCTGTTCCATATGCGATATTATTTGTTGAGCATCACTAAGCTGTATGCTAGCCACCCCACTTCTCTTGTCAGCTTTTTCGACAACGTCTTTCAGCCAGTGAATAACGTTTTCTACCGGGTTTGTATGAGAAGCCTCTACTGAATGTGTAAAAACAGCATCAGTGGGGTTTTGAACAGCGGTTTCGTTTGGAGGAGAGCCGAAAAGCTGAGGAATAAAGTCAAAGAAGTTTCCCATGTTGAGTTGGAGATGGTAGGTAATGTGTTTAGGTGTAGGTGTAGGTGTAGGTGCAAGTCAAGATTTGTATAGAGGGTATTTTAAATGGTAATAGAGATTGAGAGAAAGAAAGAAAAATATCCCAATTCAAAGTAAATATATATATATATATATATACAGTACATGAGGTTATATTGCTATTTAAAGTTGCACTAGTTTGGGAGTCTACAGATTCCGCTTGATGTGTGTTAGTTTCTTGTCCTCCCTTGTTTTCTTTTCTCTCTCTCTTATTCTTTTCGAGTTGAAAAATGATGAGTTCTAAGCGTATAATATCACACGTGAAAATATATTTCCTTGGTATCTGCTTATCTTTTTTATCTCCATAATTCTACAGGCCTATTGGATGATCAGAGCTAGAATGTAATCTGAACAACGAAGCCACTCACCTTGTGGTTACAGAGAAGAAAAAGAAATTCATTTATTAAAAATCGATAAAAATCGAGCAGCACTTGCGCCTAGCTAGACATATGTGAGCTATATTATCGCGTCTAAAGCTAAAGACAGTATATTCTATACATTACTTCTCGAGTATATGAGAAAATCAAAATATTAACACTTTCAAACTTGCCCTGGAGGCTGGAGATATTCAGCGATAATAAATTCAAGGTACTTGAAGCTACTGTAACTGAGTTAGGAGTAATTTCTGTATTCGGTTAATAGAGGGTACAAAAGCCATGCGCTATTATCCCTATAGGTCTTTATATATATATATCAAATTGGAAACACATATTTTTTATTGTCGGTAGCGCACTGAATAAAAATAATCTTTAAATAAGTATGCGTATATTTATATAAAAAGGCACGAATGATAGAAGCCAAATTAACCATGCTGGTTATTGTGGCATGACTCATATTGTCAATTCTAACTTCTAGTTATTTACAACCTTCAGTTGCTATAGGTAGATACATGATTGGATTTTTAATGTCCATATAGTAAAATAATTCAGTGTTGGTGGTGGGAAATTATCTGTCAGTAGTGATACTTAATACCAAAAACACTGTATTTGTGGAGAAGGCCTTTTATCGGTGTTTTTGGTAGAAAACAACACTCCAAAAAAAATGTCAAGATGGTAAGCTAGATAAGAGAATTATACAGATAGACCAAATACCCAAAGAGGTTTGATTGACACTGTTTTCAAAATCCATACATCAAATGTGATGCAATTCAATGACCTCAAGGTTGACAGAATATTTAACCATCAATCAATCAATCAATCATTTCTTTACAGAGTTGCACCAGATCCGTTAATTGGGTTTCATAATGTAATAACAAGCTTTTTTTTTAAAAAAAAAATGAGAAGAAAAAAACAGTCAAGTAATCTTATCGCGATCTATTTAACTAATGCAAGTATAATCTGCTTAATATATATACAGTGAGGGGCAAAAAGAATCGCCTTTTTTTTAAAATGCCGAAATCAGCAAACGTAATAGTCTTTCTCTTTTTCTCTTAAATTAACATTTTATGAAATGAACAATCAAACCGAATGCACAAAAAAGATTACTAAGATTTCCACCAATGGACATAAAAACACGGATAATACAACTCGTGCAATCATTGTCCATGAGAGTGTTAAGAATGGCACTAGTCAGGTTGACATTGCCAAAAAAGTAGGCGTAAGCAAAGACGTGGTGAAGCGTGTTCTTCAGAGCTACAAAAAAACTGGCTCGCATATGGCTGCACCACGATCTGGTAGACCTTTAAAGTTAAATGAGAGAGACAAAAGAGGAATTATGCTTCAGATTAGCCGTGATCCAACACAGCCAATGAGTACCATTGCTAGAACCTTGCCCACACCAGTTTCTGTAAAGTCTTTGAGAAAGTTTCTTCGCAAGGCTGGAATATACTCTCGAAAGATGATTCCGAAACCAAAGATTTCGGAAATCAATCGTAAAAAGCGATTGCAATGGGCTAAGGAACATCTGCACTGGAAAACGACAGATTGGAATTCCGTCATCTGGTCTGATGAGTCAAAGATCCAGCTCCACGGAAGTGATGGGCGCCGGTGTGTTCTCAGGCCAAACGACAAGGGCTTTAAGCCCAACCTCGTCTCGCCAACTGTGAAGTTTGGAGGTGGCTCCATTATGGTCTGGGGGTGCTTCTATGGAAAGGCTGTCGGAGTTTTAGACGTTGTGCCTGGAAATATCGATTCCAAGAAGTATGTTGCAACCTTGGAAAGAGCCTACCTCCCTTCTTTAAAGGCATTCAAAGAGAAAGATAGCTGGAGAAGATTTCGACTGCAAGAGGATAACGCTAGCTGCCATGTGAGTGCGCTGACAAAAGAATGGAAGAAAAAAAACAAGGTGAAACTTTTGGGCAGCTGGCCACCTCAAAGTCCAGCCTTGAATCCAATCGAGCATCTCTGGGCATATCTCAAGCGTAGAGTGCGTATGAACAGATACAACCTGTATAGCATTTACCATTTGAGACATGCCGTAATAAGGGAATGGAAGTTAATCCCCCAGAAGTATTTGCAGAGTTTGGTCCGGAGCATGAACAGAAGATGTCAAGCTGTAATAGATGCAAATGGTCATAATACCAAGTACTAAAATAAAGACTCTTCTATAAAATAATAAGAACAAGTGCTTTCAACTTTAATCTGAAGTAGTTTGGGAGCTGTAAGTGCTGTATTTGCTTCTTTTCTTTAAGCATGAAAAATAGATATATTTTGGAGAACAATCGGGATCTTAAAAAAGGCGATTCTTTTTGCCCCTCACTGTATATTTCAAGTTATATAAGGATATTCTGTGAGCAGAAATACGACATAGTAATAGATAATAAAGATAGAATCCCTCATATACTACATTTCAAGAGATATTCACGTACTTTTCTATATTGACGTAAATGTATATTGTGGGTCACTTTTATAAATACCTTGAGAGCTATATTAGTAGAGTTAGATAGCTAGGGTTCATTTAAACTGAATTTACTCTCTTGACCACATCATATGAGCAGATAGAGACCTATTGGTGAGTCTTGGGTAACATACAATAGCAAAAAAAATGTAAACATTAGTTGTACGTAGCATTTTATTATTTTATTTTTATTGATTCCTATTTACTTATTCTAAAGAAGTTTAATTGATAGATTGGCAAATGGCTTTAAAATAAGAAGAAAAGGATATACAATCTTTAGACAATGGTCAATAGTATATCTTCTGCACTTGTGCAAATAGATTTCTTAAGAAGAAACACTTTAGATACTCAAGAATCAGGAATATTCACGTAGGACGAGGCCGTGGCACAAGGCTCAGCTTTTACTATTTTTAATTATATATATATATGTACTTTTTGATTTCTTATGATTATGGTACTTGGTTTAAGAGCAGTTGTGGGGAAGAGAATGATATTCAATATAATGACGTGTTTTTTTTTCTGGTAATACTTGGGTTAAGGATTCAATGAAACAAAGGGCTTCGAATGAAGAGTAAGGTAGAGATAGGTAGATAAGCATGTAATATGTTTTCTTGTGTAAATTGAGAGGGTCACGATTTCTCGCGTGGAGAAGCAATCAAAACCAAAACTCCTCATAATTAGTTTAGTATAAATAAGGTTCAAAAGGGCACCCTACCCAGCCCACTATTAATGAGGTAAAACATAGTTATTTCTTTCTGCCGTAAAGGGTAATAGAACTGATATACGCATACCCTATTGGCCAGCGATAAGCGGCAACTTCTTTCTATTTATATATATGAGCAAGTGACATTAAAGCTATACTAACAATTCTTCCGAGACTCTGGAATTATATAAAAATTGCTCTTTGGGAGAAGAAAGATTGTTCTTTTACTATCTCGCGGAAGAAAACGTGTTGCTTGATGTTTCACGCAATAGTCAGGGTCAAGCATAAAATGAGCCTTTACCTTTTTTTTATCGGAGTAACTACGTTGCTGTTTAAAGAAGTCCATGTTCTAAAGTCTAATAATCAAGTTAAGTTGTTGAAAATTACATCTGATCTTTAGATATATATATATACTGATTATTGAGCCGTGAGTAATATACATACTTTTAAAGAAGTAATATCCTTACTCTTAAAGGTCTTAAAGACCTTTTTTGCTCTTTTCTTTTTCACTTTTAGAATGACCTCTGCTCTTTTTGACTCTTTTCTCATTCCAAACTTGGTGTTTCTAAATCAAGTTCTATAGAAAACAGACTACATATTAGTTCTCTGCTTAAAGTATAATATATATAAAAGTTATCCAGAGGGTTAAGGGCTTAATGAAAAGCCGTTATCTGGTAAATGTAATTATGGATATGAACTATATTTTATCTACGCCATCGCGCAAACCACAATAGATTAATAGAATTTCATTCCACAAAGCCTTTATTAGTAAGAAAAACATCAAATATGTTTCGGGTTGTTTCCTTGGATTTGAAGTTGTCTCAATCAAGGCTTATCTGTTTATATTGAAGGGTTGTAAGCACAGAACGTATAATCCACTGTTACCTAATAACTTTGTGCGCTCTTCTATTGCTCATATTTATTATTCCAGATTCATATCCTTTGTATCGCTTTACTCCATTTCTCAACCTTATTATTGGCAAAGAAGAATGGTACGTTTATTTGGTTAGTTGCTGGATAACCTTTATTATTGGTTCCCCTATAGAAATCTCTTAGATATCACTTATATAATTATATTTACCTAAAGGACAATAAACAAAAACTGCTCTTTTTTTTTAAAGAGAAAATTCACAATTGTAATGGATACTTATTTTGGATACAACAAGTTTGGTGTGCCTGTGACTCGCATATATCCTGCTTTCTTTATCATACTCTATTTCATTGTATCTACTCCCCATTTTTCTTTTACTGCCCGTTAGTTAACACTGATATTCAACAGTTAACCTTAAATTGTACTGCTTAATTGCATATTGATTTTTTTTGCTTTAGTATTATGCTGGTGAAAAGGAAGGAGGATATAATATTACTTTGGTGTATATACTTTACCTTGTGACTCGAATTCGCAAAGAGTTTGTGTTTCTTTAGATTTAGGCATACATATATAATGTAAATCGTTTAGCTTATTATTAGACATCAATCTCTTAAAGATGGTCGTTTATAATATAGTACTTGGAATCATTTGATCTACAAGTCATATAATCAATATATCTTTACTTCAACTGTAGTTAAATTTAAATAATTCTTATATCATTTCCCTCTCGCAATACTGTTAGACTTAATGAGAGATATGTTATTAAATGCTTTTTATCTCCGCATGCTTTCCTTTAGAAAAATTCACGGTTAATTATCATTGAAAGATGAATTTTTGAAAAGGTGTTCAAGAAATACCTTAAGCTTCTATATCAAGGACAATCAATCAATTGCCCTTTTAAAAAGGTACTTGGTTTTTAAGATACCACTCTTATTTCTATTTCTCAAATGATAATCGTAAACCAACCTGATTAGTTCAAGTAAAAAAAAATGATATTATTTGTTCAAATGGTACTCAATTGACTTTTCTTATTTTGTACTGGTAATTGGACATCGCTGTAGATATTTGTGGCTACTTTAGACACTCTTCGTTCTTGAAGTTAATTCCCAAAATACAGATCGAAAATATTAATTATAGATAAAACAAAGTCCATAATGGACTTATCCAATAAGATGAATTTCTATCGGTTCATTTTGGTTTTCTTTATTAAATAAAAAATATATAGCAAATTAAGTTCAAATACATAAATAGTAAGAAGAAAGAGTGCCCATTATACTGTTTCTTCCTTTCATCAAGCATAATATTATTCTCAGTCCAACTGGTAATTGAAGAAGACTGACCATTCATAATCATTCGAACCTTTATATATATATATATATATGAAGAAAAATACTCTAGTTCAATAAGACGACTTAGATTTATGGTCTTTGTTTTATCTTTGATCAGTCTTTTTCAGTTTTCCCACCCCAATTATCGCGCACTATTTACTTTAGATAGCTTTCTACACAATAAGCATAATAGAAACAATGACATAGAGCAAAGAAAGAAATTTGATAGATGATTTTAAGAAGACAATAAAACTGTGCGTTTATTTATTTATTCTTTTTCTTTACCTTCTTTTTATAATATTGTAGTCAATAAATGGCCCAGCCTCCAAAAATTCCATCGAGTCCAAATCAGATATCCTCCACAGCTCCAATCGATCCGATCGATGAGTTTTTGGTCAACTTTACTGAAAATTATAAAAGAAATCTACCTCCTTCAAAAGCTCCCAAAACAAGTGATTCTTTAACTCAAAGCCAGGATCAGAACCCCGATGGCCTTTTTACTTCTATCAAGCGTAGTCCTGATATCATTCCAGATTCCCCTCTATGTTTCTGTAAATTACCTGCATCTAAAACAGACACACCGGCGTTTGGCATTATCTTCGAGTGTCATCACTTTGATTTTGAACAACGACTACCAAAGCATAAAAATGGGAGATATGTATGTGCTTTTCATGTTCACGAGAGGCCCTGGAACAAGTTCCGCAAACAATTAAAAAACACTGGCTCTATTGACAGCTATGATTTCGAACTTGATGTCTGCCCAGTTTTCAACTATACATCCTGTGTCATACTTGAAACCTTTAATCGATATCTCAAGCGGCCATGCTTTCCTATAAAATGTTTTTGTGAACTAGATGCTGTTGTTAAAAGGGTTGACAAAGATGGCAAAAAGAAACTTGCTCTAACTTGTCCGAATTTCTTTATTGATGGTGCCCGCCCGAAATGTTCTTGGTATTTATACGCTGAACAAGTAGCATATGAAAGTCCGGGGTATTCTATTCACACCATTCGTGTCAAAGAACCCACAACGGAATGCCCTCACCAATAAACAATCAATCACTATATATATATATATATATATAACGTATATATCCATACATTATATTAATAAATAAATAAATAAATACAAATTTTGCTGAATCGACCATATATTAAAAGTAGCTTAGTTAGGCTGTTTTTATACAACTTTGGGTAACATATGATCTACATCTATAGAAAGAAAAAAAATCTCAAGGTAACGATACATTGAAAGGGTGTCAGCGAAAATACTATATTCTGATATACCAGCTTATATGTACTTTCAAATAAGTATATATATATATGAATCTCAAATAAAATTACTCTATCATGAGCTTAATATTACTATGATTTCTTGATCAAATGGATAGACTCTGAGCTTAAAACATGGGTTGACAGTGTGTTTTAATTCTTGGTTGGTTAAATGCATAATTCTATTCTTTCCAATCCAACGTCCGACATGGGGGACCACCCCTCTTTCAACAAACGGAATCCACCCATTAACCGAAAGACAATTGTGTCGAATATTTCCTCTTTTCCATACAGCAAAAAGATAAAGGTTGTGCCTATGAAAAATATTCTTCTGTATGCCTCTGAATGATTAATACAATATTATATCCAATAGAGAAAGAAAGACAGCAACAGCAACAACAGCAACAGCACATTTTATTTAATTTTATGTGATTTACAAGGAGGCCAAGTAAGCAGTTCCGACAGCAGTTCCAGCAAGAACAGCGTAACCGGTGGTGTAAACGCTCTTGATATCAATGAACTTTGTAACATCCCAGGCCTGTTTTTTTTGTAGTGAAAAAATAAATAAGTCGAGTGTTCTTAATATCGCATTTCCCATTAATCTTACCAAATGTCTGATACCGTTCAAGCTGTGGAAAACAAAGGGGAATGCAATGGTGCCCTTGGCAAGGACCTTCAAGGCAACAGGGGCAGAAGCAGCAGCAGAGACAACAGTGGCAGCATCAATAGGGTAACCAAGAGCGGGGGCAGCCAAGTATCCAAGAGCACCCAAGTAAAAGCCTTTTATATTACACATGTCAATAATTTGTACGTTTATTGTGTTTCCTTATGTTTGTGGTATATTATGCAATTTCTTACCACCACCGATAGCGGCACCAGTAATACGATGAAGACCAGACAAGTACCAGGTAATTTGAGGCTGATAGATCTCCAAGTGAGGAGATACGGGGCGAACCTTGCGCTGCTGACGCAAAATCTCGGATTCGGCAGCGGCACACTGCTCCTTGTTGGCAGGGGAAGCGTTGAAACGTCTATTCGATCCAGGTAAGTCGGGTATGTCGAAGGTTGTTTTTGTCAGCTAGTAAAAAATATTATCTACCTGACACTCATAGAAGTGACCGCAGTGTTTCTAAAAAGAGCAGAACGAGCAACGGGGTCTATAGAGCCAAAGAAAGAAAAAAAAGATAGAAAAATATATATTAGCGTCTCTATACAAAGCTAAGGTTACTCGAGAGCCTTACTCTGAGCGACAGTCTGGAGGAGGGAGCGAGTGGCCATCATTGTTCTTTGTAGTGTAGCAGTCAAGCAAGAGTGGGGTAGAGAGGGGGGTAGCTCAGAGCAAAGAAGAAGGAAAAATGTGGAGAAAGAGAACAGGGTTTGTTGCCCCAGGGCAATTTTCAATTTTTTTATGTGATGTCATCGTCTTTCCGGATGCCACGCTTTGACTCCGTTCCTTCATTTTTCTTTTTTTTTTGCGTTTTTTTTTTCTATCCGATATTCCACAGTTTGAACTCGGCCCTCTTTATGCTCCTGCCTTTTCTGGACACTTGAGCAATCACAAACTACTAGTCAATTCATAATGAGTAAAGCCGATCTTCCATCAGATGGACCTAATCTTAGTCAAGATGAACCTACAACACAAGCTGACGATCTGCCCACCCCAAGCAGCCAACCTTCCAACACTGTCGACTCATCTGGACAGATGCACAAATTTGTCGCATCACCTTTACACTGCAAACTTTTTGTTGAAAAGATTTCAGCTGGTCATGAATCAGAGTACAGAAAAGCAGAGATCCTTCTTTTTCGACAAGTTGCAAGTGATCCTTTAGCACTTGAATATTACGTTCATTACGTCGAATTCAACAAACGTCTAGATGAATGGGTTCCATTCTCTCGTCTAGATTTCTCCCAAGGAATCGAATTCCCTAAATCAGAAGCGCAAAAAAAGAAATCAAGAGATTCCACTGCTACGCCACCACCACATACTCAACCTCCATCTAAAGCACGTCGATCCAATACACCTATGCGTGGACAGACACCAACGGGTCAAAAAAGGAAAACAGAAGACCCTAATCAGCGCCTTCAGTCTCAGGAGGCACGAGCTGAGACACCTGGAGAAGGAAAAGAGATGACTGTTTTGACTGCGGATGAAGAGGAAGATGGGGAAACTATGGAAGTTATAGAGGAGTCTAACTCAGAAACATTTTCGAAGAAGCAAGAGATTGAGAAGTTGAGAGCTTCGGGTTCAATGACCCAGTGTGTGGCAGAAATCGCACGCGTAAAGAACCTCAACATGATCCAGATGGGACGACACGAGGTTGAGACGTGGTATTTTTCGCCATACCCACAAGAATATGCTTATTGCGATATGCTCTTGATATGTGAATTTTGTTTGTCATACTACGTTTCTCATAAACAACTTGAACGACACAGAGGCCGTTGCCAGTTGCAACATCCTCCTGGGAATGAGATTTATCGCCATGAAGATGTGTCATTTTTTGAGATTGATGGGAGGAAACAAAAAACATGGTGTCGCAATCTTTGTCTCCTCTCCAAGCTGTTTTTGGACCACAAGACACTTTATTACGACGTTGACCCTTTTTTGTTTTACTGTATGACTATTCGAGATGACCTCGGCTGCCATTTGATAGGATATTTCTCAAAGGAAAAAGAGTCTTCGGAGAACTACAATGTGGCATGTATTTTAACTCTACCCCAATATCAGCGTCACGGTTACGGAAAATTGTTGATCCAATTCTCGTATGAATTATCCAAAGTTGAAGGACGAGCTGGGTCTCCCGAAAAGCCGCTTTCTGATCTTGGTTTACTATCTTATCGAGCCTATTGGACGGACACAATTGTTGAGTTCTTATTGTCGACTACAGAAGAAGTTACTATTGAAGAAATATCCCTTAGGACCTCAATTACTTCTCAAGATATATTGCATACCCTTCAAAACATTGGTGCTCTCAAATACTATCGTGGCCAACACATTATTTGTCTTGGCGACAAGGTAATTGAGCAATGGCAACGCAACCACAAAAAGAAGAGGCGGACAATTGCACCCGAGAAACTTGACTGGAAGCCAATTCATTTCACACCTTCCCAGCTTCGATTTCTCTAAAATTCGCTCTTATTCACACACACACATTCGTGCACGCACATTCACATGCACGCACACTATTATATTCCACCCATTCGCTTACCAAGTCACTCGCACGCACACACGAGCTCAATTACTTCATCGCTCACTCACTCACTCACTCACTCACTAATGTATCTTACCCGCCAACAACTATAAACTCTTCTACAACAAATACTACATCCTTTCCCTTTCTCATTTATTTGTATTTAAATATGTATATATGTATGTATGTATGTATAAAAAAAAGAACCTCTGTTTTTAGAGACGGCTACGTTGAGGTAAGAGAGCAGGGCCTTGAACAAGAAGACAAGGTCCACCTGCAATCACATCCAAGTTTGCTTGGGAGCAATAGTTGAGCACTTCAGCATCTTCTGCACCTGGTTGGATCCAGATATTCTCAATACCGAGAGCCTTTGCCTTCTTAAGTATCTCGAGAGTAACTTTTGGAGGGGTAATAATAGAAAGACCGGTGTGTTTGGGGTCTGCTAGTTCATCGATTGAAGCAATTGTGTCCAATGTTTCTATAGAGTTCTCTTTCTATAATATTGGTTTAATAAAAAAAAAAAGTTAAATAATATACATAAGGGACTTACGGGATTAACAGGAATCACAGGAAGATGATTAGATTGATACCTAAGATAATGGCGATGAATAAGCCAATGATCATCTTATTTTGGGAATGGAAAGTATATTCTTTTATATTGTCAACATTTACCATCGCAAAATACGGTTACCGAATTTGGACCTGGAAGGACTAGCACCAACAACAGCAAATTGGTTGCATTGGATAAATCGTTGAACTGTGGACATTTCAAACAAGAGCAAGAGCAATGTAACACAGCCAACCCCACCTTTCTATTATTTCTCTTATATAACGTGACAGCCAAGTACCAAAGAAAATATTATTTTACAGTTGCATCAAAAAAATATATAAAGAAGTCGATTCCTTTAACTGTATAAGCATATATAATTTTATGCTGTAAAAGAAGAAAAAAAAGAAGAAGAGAATACTTTTGACAGGCTTCTTGATGAATTTATGGTTAATGTGCAAATGTATATTTACATGTACATGCATCATTAGAAATAATTTTAGCTGTAACCGTAATTTTTTTTTAGCAGAATAGTGTAGATTTATCGGCGTTTTCATATAATATTACTAATACATGGATATGAACTATATCGATTCAAAGTTCTTGAGTGTGTACAAACTAAAGTTCACATAACCATATTCAAAAATGTATAGTTCATGATGAAGTAACCCTTGTGACTGCCCCTTTTACCATAAGAAGGGAAAATGCAGTTTACAGTTTGGTGAATCGTTTCCTTCTTCATCTACGTTACAATGGCTACGCTTGTCAATTCTCTTGCCGTACCGTCAACATATCGTGATCAGCTTTACCAGGTAAAAAAAATAAGAAGAAAATAAAAACCTTATCTCTACATACAAATACACACGAAAAATCTCTTCCTTCAAACTACAAGCAAACTTGTTTCTCATTACAACCACCGAAACACGCGCGCAATCTTTACGTAGGGCACTTCGAATCAATTCGTCGATGATCTTTCCGCTACCACCACACTTTATGTCGGAAACTTGTCTTTCTACACAACAGAAGAACAAATATATGAATTATTTTCGAAATGTGGCGAGATCAAGCGTATTATCATGGGCTTGGACCGCAATCAAAAGACACCATGTGGTTTCTGTTTTGTAGAGTAAGTGCATATATATACCTTATAGATCTCACTGATCGGGCGTGGGTATATATATATGGCTTTTTACTTTTAAGTACTTATAGTCCATTCTAGATATTACCACCGCACAGACGCTTTGGACTGTATGAAGTATGTCAATGGTAGCAAACTCGATGAACGTGTAATTCGTTGTGATTTGGATCCAGGATTCAAAGAAGGCAGACAGTTTGGACGTGGAAGAAGTGGAGGGCAGGTGCGTGATGAGTATCGCACAGAGTATGATTCCGGTCGTGGTGGATGGGGTCATCGTACTCGTGCTCAATTAGAACGCGAGAGAGAGATGGATATCAAGGAGAACTACGAGCCCATTAAGGAAGTACCTCAGGGCGCAGGAGAGTATAAGAGCAGAGTTCCTATGACAGGTATGAACAAGAGAAGCCGTGATTACGAGCAGCCAGAAAACAGAAAGCGACACAAGGAACAAGTAAGTGCCACTTTTCTTCTTCTTATCCATGATACATAATAATAGAAGAAGAAGAATAAACTGTGCTCGGATTTGATGGACTCAATAGGCTAATTCTTCTTTTTTCATTTTATTTTAAAAAAAGAACCCTCGTTTCAGAGAGAACGAGGGAGAGGACGACGAAGATTAGGTTCTCTTAACATGACTGATTATTGGGTTGGGCATCATTATCAGTTCTATATTATCCTCTTATATATACACACGCACACACAGCCTCTTCATATAATAAAGAAAAGAAAGGAAAAGAAAACAGAGAAAAAAACGAATCTATACAGGAATATAAACGGTGTTTATTTATGAGTTACTTTTTTCTATCTATCTCGGGAATTTGTCTTATATTCAGCCTTTTTAGTGGAGTAGACCTATTATTGTGTATTAATCGCCCAAGTCTTGCCAACGAAGCGCCTCGAAGTATGCTAGACCATGTTTTTGTGGTCTGCTTTGAAGCATGGAGCTCAAGGTAAGGAAGCTCCCTTGTGTTGACTATTCCAACATCGGTTGTATCTGTATCAGGGGTCCTAATCATGTAAGTGTTCAAACGAGCAAGATAAGGTAGCTGTTGTGGGGTTTGCCGGTCCAAAGGTTCTACACTGGATAATTGGTCTGTCGGATCATATTCCTGAAGTTCTGGAAGTGGGGACAATACATTTGCAGGATGTGAGTAACTCGAATCAAATGATCTGGTTCTTCGCATTGATGCAGGCGAATCGGCTTTCGTGTGTAAAGTCTCTGAACTAAAGAATGCCTTTAAGCGAGAACCTTTGTATGGGTAAGCTGGGTGATAGTCTATATCGGTTTGGTCTTTTTCAATGACGCCTGTTTTCCAAGGTAGACGGCTATTTGAGCCTAAAGATATGTCATTCAGCACAACAGTGGGCGCTTGGTTAACCTTATGCAGAGGTACAAGTGATTCTTGGGAAGGATATATTCCGAAAGAAGTATGTGCTTTTCGGTGAGCATGAGCTTGTATTTCTTGTTCTGTGGCAAGTTGTATAATCCAACAATTTTCGCCTGGGGTGCTTATTAGTGAGTTTTCTTTTGCAAGTACCGGATGAGATAATTGGTCAAAAATGCTTTGAGATGATGTAGAAGACGGTGAAGAAAGTGTGTGTTCCAAGCTTGTTTCTTCTTGCATGCCCTTCCGGCGAGTTAATCTTTTTCGTGGCATTAAATTATGAAAACTGAGTGAGATTTGGTCTTTTGTCTCTATTGGCAAAGTAGGAGAACTGTCATCTAAGGCTGGAGGCTGGTTATTGTGAAACTTTTGTAGGAATAGTTGAGAAGGAGAAGTAGGGCTGTTTAGATTGTGTTTGTTTTTGTTCATCATCAGGCTGTTCGAATTAAGTACTGAACAAAGATAAAGCACTTGTCGAAGACTAATTATATCTCCATCAATGATTGGTTTCATCCGTCCGATAATAATATCAGCATTTAGCCCCTCTTCTGTGGCTACAGTATTGTCATGGTAAAGCCCTAGGCCTGTGATCTCTACTGTCCAACGATGATGGTCAGCGGCATCAGAATCAAGTATGTCCAGATCATCGGATAGCATAAACCCTAGTGCTTGTAGTCGTGACGCCGCTGATTGTTTTTCCTTTGAAAGACCTTTGTCGTGGTTGCTTACTCTGGTAAAGATCATTTGACTGTCTAAACTATCACCAGAGAGGTCTGTGTGTATTTGTGTGCCTTTTCCTTGTTGATCTTGGAACACAAAGCCATTTGTTAAACCTGCTTTTCGAGAAGGTATATCAGACACTTCATGATCAGGAGAAAGAAAAATTTGGCTTGAGCATCGAATAGACCGAGGTTGATAGACAGGAATTGTTGGAAATGAGACATTTTGTGGGCTGAATGGACTGCTGATATTCCAAGAAAAATGCCATAGGTACTGACTACCAGTCGAATACACGGTCTCCAAAGGCATTGCAGAAAATACAAATGGTTGGGGTGGATCCCCAGAAGTCTCTGTCTTGTGATTCCAGTGAATTATGTGGTGGGAGGTGTGTTTAATTTTGTCTTCAGAAAGTCTTTGGCTAGAACAGCTACTCAGATACCCAGAGGTTGACAAACTTCGTAGCTTAAAGGACTGATGGATAGAAATTCTTTTGAATCGATAATTGATTATACTGTTAATTATATCACGACTTGGTTGAGGTAGAAATTCGTGGATAGGGCAAACATCATTGCGTTTGATGATTCTCCATTGGTCCCTCGTATTCTCCTTTTTAATAATATATAGTAAGTATATGAGCTGTAATATAATTTTACTTTTGGTTGTGGTTGTGGTTGTGGCTGTTGTTTTTTTTTATTTTTATGATTCTAAAATGGCGCTTTTATGCACACAACAACCCAAATAAAGTAAAAGGACGAAATCAATGTCACTAACCTCATCTTGGAAATTTGTATTATTTTTTAGACTCGCTTTTAATGTTTCCAACTTCATTAGACATTCGTCTTTAGCCAGGTTTAAATAAAGAAGTCTATCTTTTATTGACGGTGTTTTGTATGTCTTTTTGACGTGCAATATTCGTCCTATAGAATTAACCTGTGAGAAGGTTTTTTATTATATCATTATTTTTATAACAGCAACAACAAAAAAACAAAAGATAAAAGATTTACCTAAAATTATCTTCTGAGGCCACAGAAATCCAAACTCTTCCCATATTTTACACATTCCCTCCCAAGCCAGCAACGGGTTTTTGGGCCAGTTATTTAGTGAGACGTCTAGAGCTGTTTGAAACCTCTGTGTTGGTCGAAATATTCGATTGACAGGAAACCATGCAAAGGTATCGTATCTTAGAAGGTGAAGTGTTTTCGTAGTCTCTGAATCGAGTGCTGCCTGAGGTGTGTGAAACAAAAGCTGGCACTCGGACAAAGCGTGCATTGTTGTGTCGTTGTCCATATTCCACAAAACACCGGTATGAACCAGAGATGAGGTCCACCCACTCTGAGTTACAACCATAGCAATAGATTGGTCTTGAGAAAGAGGAGTAATTCGTGGCATATCTTTTTGAACAAAGCATGGCGAGTCTGCTGTATTTCCCGAAGGTAGAATCCCTTTGTTCCACCCTTCGAGACGCTCTAGAAGCTTTTCTGTTGCCCCGTTTTCAAGTGGCTCCATATCGAGTATTGCTGGAAAGAAGAACAAAGTAGTTGTTTACGGATACGCCGCATTCTGCTCTATTTGTCTTTCTTTTCTTTTATTTAATTTTTATTTAGTTAGGTTGTACCACATAGGACAAGATAACGTGTATCTGATGATCTGTGCGCTTCCGAATCAAGCCTTCACTTTCTTTCTCAGAAAGACAATGCTTTATATGTGGAATCAAGAGATATTTGCTATTATTAGATGTCCAGTGTGCGTATGTGTGAGTTAATAAAAAGCTGAAAAGACATCACTTTGACAACTGGCTCAACGAACAAGTACATTTACCGCGAGTTTACAAATGATGGGAAGAAATGGAAAAAGGTGTTTATAAATTAACAGAGTTCAGAAGAAAAAGAAGAATATGTAAAATGGAAACTATAACAGAAAATCTAGAGGCGGGAATACATCTAACCTAATGATATACAATTATGGTCAATACAGAATTGTGTTATGGTGTGGTATGATGTGTTACTATGTGGTGTATTATGCTATTCTATATATTATGTTTTAGATATCAAATGAAACGGTATTATGCTCCAGGAAAATACAGAATAAGCCCATTGCTTGATTGCAGCCAGCCCTGTGTGCAATTCACTGCTGTCCTCAAAAGGATTGTCTCTTCGCTCATTCCTAAAGATGTATTCTTTGGCTGGTCCATTAATCCTAAGCGCATCTTTATAAAGTTTTTGTGCATCTTCCATGTGTTCTTTCATGTATTCAAGTCGTTCTTGACTGGGCGGATGGCTTGATCCAAACCAGGAACGAATCAGAGATTCAACAAAGAGGTGCACGTCCATCTCTAGATCTTCGTACTGAGAAGCATGGGTTGATGGGATGTGGCCAATCGAACCGTGCCTTCCGGTTGATCCGGTCACTGGTTTAATCGTCTGGTGTTCTAAGTTTTCTTCGAGCTCTGCCATCTTGGTCCAAACTTCCAATGCAACTGTGGGGTCATAACCAGCCTTTGCCAGTAATTTTAACCCTACCAAATCGGCCTAACAATAAAGCATCATGAATATATGCTGCACATTTACCAAAACCATATAATTATGTTTTCTCAATATTTCTTCTTCTAACCTCCTTCTCAAGAACTCGATTGTAAGTTGTCTGGGTCTCCATTGTGATGAAAGTAGATATCGTCTCATTAATTTTCTGGTTGATATATCTACAAAGAGAAAGAGAGAGAGAGAGAGAGAGAGAGAGAGAGAGAAATAAGATTAGCCTTGCCAGTTTTTTTCAAGTTCAACAAACTATTTTGTACAACTACTCACGGTCCAAGCGATTCTGTAAGCATCCAAAATACGCCTCTTGTGATATCTCCAAGCATGAACATAAGAGATGCAAATCCATGAGCTTCAACAAAGTGACGTTGGATAGAGTGGGCAATCTCATGCGATATAATTACAGCCAGCTTTGTAGAATCGTAATCCATATATTGAATCATCAAGTCATATACTAACACGCGCGAACCAGCGCACATGGCATTCATTGTACTTGAGTCACATATAATGTTTACATCGTAATTTCTTTTTGATTCTCCGTTTTCATTTGTTTCCCCCTGAGCATAGCCCAAGTAGGGCCGTACGGGGGACCGGATATCGTCTTCTGCCACTGCTGCGATATTATCTGCAATTGTCTGTAGCCACTGAACGTATTCATTGTCTTTGGGTGCAACGATGCCGTAATGTGCTTCTAATAGTTGGGCAATTTCCAAGTCGACGATTTCTTCTTCTTCTTCTTCACTCAAGTAAATAAATCGTAGTCGTGAAGTGTTTGGTGCCTTTGATAATTTATATACATGTATACGTATATGTTATGTATGTATAAAGAAGAAGAAGAAAAATGTGTTGTAGGTAAATGTGTCCCCGTTCGGTATCTCAAACAAATGTTTGTTAAAAAAAGGAGATAGAGAATATACAGAAAATATAGATTTCATTTACCTGATCGAGACCAATGAGAAGTAAAAGTGTCATGCCAAGGATAGGTACGCTTGCTAGAAGCTTTGCTACTAGCTTACCCCTATCCCGTCGAAAGGTGTGTGGCAAGAGAGTGAGCGAAGTTTTTGAAGATAGAGAAACAAAGCTAACGAGGTTTCCAGTTTTAATGACAGCTAGTACCATTGCAGGTATCGGTATAAGTGGAGTGTGTGTAGATCGACTGGAATGAAAAGATCGTTGGTTAATTGGGTATGAATTCGGTGATGGGAGATGATATGTTTGTCGAATGAGTTTTTTGTGGTTGTAAATCTTGTAACTACGACCAGCTGAGAGTCTAGAGACCAGCCAGGAATGACGTTGCAGTAATGCCCTGGATCTTAAGAGTTGAATTGACATGAAGAACCTCTTTCCCGATCGGACGTAGGTGCCACGACCTAGCCCTTGACCTGGGAGAAGTCTATTTCATACCTACCGATTTTTTGTATGTTTTAGGAAGGAATTTGACTCATTTTTTTTTATTGGTTTCTGGGATTCAAATACTACTTTTTTCAGCTTTTCTTCCATATTTAGCCACTACTTTTAATTTCCCCTCAATTTCTTGGGGGTTCAACTCTCCTTAGATTATATTCAACCAATTATATTTCACAAATAGGTGCTCGCCACCACCTGTAAATATATCGATATCGAAAATTGAATGTCATCTCAAATATCCCAAAAGGATTATAACCTGCTTTTTATTCTTGTCTCGTTTTGGAAGAGTAAACATAAATACTAAAATAACTAATTTTTCTCCTAGTAATTTTTTTTTTTAAATATCAAACCCAAAAAAAGAGTGGTGGTAGTTTAGATTTCCTTTTTTTGACCCTGATTATTTTGAGTAGATGTATTTTGTAACTTCAAAATCGTCGATATCCCTTTCCTTTTTGAAATTTTGTTCCCTTTTGGGATCCTGATTATTTTGAGGGGTCTTATAGATTGGGAACAAAAAACAGTGCTTAAATCTTCAAAATTGAAAAATTTCCGGGTGGTGGCGAGCACCTAATGACTTGTAAAGTTTCCATTCTTTTCAAAAAAAAAAAGACTCACTTTCATATTTTCAACTTATTTAATATTCGGCATATGGTTTGTTCGGGGATAAATATATAAGCTTTCGGGTGATTTTCAAATTTCTATGACTTTTACTATAAGCAAGTTATTGAGAAATGTTTGAACATGTTTTATAGGAAAGATTCTTCAGAATAACTCTTGTGTAAAGATTCTAAAAATAAGGCCTGAATAAAAAGTCATGGACCTTCAAAGTCAAGAGGTATCGATAGAAAATATCGGAGTTTCGACTATTTTTAATATTGAAATGAAGAGTCATCATAGCAACAGGTACATTTTAATGTTTCTAAAAAGGATAGCCGTGTAACATAAAGTACTATTTCTCGATCTTCTTTATATGGTGGACATTATATATATTTTTATAGCGGAGATTGTAGTGAAATAAAATGATTTCAAAAATTCGATGTTTGTGCTCGAACAAACTTGGTGTGGGCAGACTAAAAGTTAAAAAAAAAGGGCAAAAAAAGGGCAAAAAAAGGGCAAAAATTTAAGTCATATCATTGAGCGAGAGTTTTAATTAATTTTGCTCTTTTTTTACCCTTTTTTTTGGAGGTTCAAAAAAAGGGCAAAAATTTTAATCGATTCTAATTAGCTAGTTTTCTTCCATTGTCACTAGGATTGAGAAAAGAAGCATGTTTTCTTTATGGAGAAGATGTGCTATATAATGAGATGTCTAGAAAAACTCACAATAAAAGGTTTTCACTTAATGACAGAGATGGAACTATAAGCGTAATTTTATCTAATATGTACTTGCATTAATTTTGAACTTTTAGTCTGTCCACACCAAGTGGTATGTTGCTACGTGTTTATATAGTGGCTTGTATTACTTGAAATAAACAAAGACAAATCTGTAAAAAATATTTATTTTACAACCAATCATATAAAAATGAATTTTACAAATATTCATCCTACCCCCCAAATATCAAACATGTACAGCCAGTGTAACATTTATACCAAAAGAGGCATGAATTTCGCTATAACTTTAATTGTGTCGGGAGTGAAAAAAAAAATATATAGTGGGTGTAATATATCGTATCTCGAGGTTACCGCTGTGCTTATTTGCCTTCATATTCTCTTGAGCCTAATCCAATCGATCACTTCTGATCAGTTGTTAAGAGTAAAGTAAAACGGAAAAAATTTCTGGAAAAGGAGACATTGGTGACGAGAATCAGTGAGGTTTCTCATAGCTTGAATCTGAGTGACTTTAAAGGTTTTATTTGGCATTCTTACAAACGCTTAGATAAATATCGCAACAGAGAGCAACTTTAACGTATGTAGTTTATTCAATAGAGGATCATATAACAAACATATAAAAGGAATGATTTAGATGACTAGGTTAAAGAAAGGATGGCAATGATGAGATATACAAAAGCAATTCACGATTTTAATGATCTTTTAATGGGAGCCGGGCGAGAATCAAATTGCTGTAGTACTGATGTATCTGTAAGAAGCTGCTCTCTGGTAAAAGTGTAAGCTTGGTTGAGGATCTCCATTTTTTTGTATTGTTTATTGAATGAACTGTCCACCCGAAGGCGTGGGAGTTAAAATTAAGTAATACTAGTAAGAGATTCTTCTAGTTCCAGTCTTCGAATGTGCAAAACTGCAATGGCAGCAATTCGGTTGGTGACAAAGGGGACATCGTTGAATATATATTGGAAGTGGGCTTCCCATATTTCACTGAGTGAGGGTCTCTATGTTTTCAATCAACACAATCATTACAATCTCGTGATCCCTGTATAGCGCACATTAAACTCACATAGAAAATATACTTGTACCATATGATCCAACTCACCGAAACCACTGTATTAAATCATTAGTATTAGTAGTTAGTCAAGAAAAATCAATTGCGACAATCACTACTGCTTTTCTGGCGGTAGAAAAAAGCCTCGACAGGTCTATATTGCATGTTAGATTAAGCAAACGCGTTAATTTTGATTTATTTGTATATAATACCTTGAGTGTTTCCGGGAGTCTTTGGCACATGAATGGGATTTGTTTTGTCACTGTCTGCAAATGGTTGTTTTGATGTAGAAGAGTACGACGCAAACACCGTGTTCACCGAAGAGTTTTTGATCAGTCTATCCACCATCAAATCCAAGAGTCGAGATCTCGTACTTGCATCCTCCTTTCCTGGTGACTTTCGTACGTAGCAAATTACTTGATATTCATCCTTTTTGAAATCTTCAATTCGTACTTTGTGTTCTTGGTCCACATTCAATATCTTATTGACCATCTGCTCTGCATATAAATGTATAAACATATGAACATATATTCGCCTGCTGAGAGAGTATACTTACCCCGGTGTCCTTTCTTTAGTACACAGAGCAGACGACGCCTTGTTTTGTGCTCAGTGTTTTGATATATGCGCTGTTGTTCGACACTGGCATAGTTACGTTTAGCCATTCTGCATTAAGTAGAAAACGATTTCATGGACTTGTCATCGAAAAGATCTGTGATGAAGATCATTTTTGAATAAATTTCCTTCATTAACATTAGCTTGCTCTCGAAAAGCTTTTTATCAGATAGTGTACTAGGTAGGTACACTTGATTCGCATAATCAATAGCTTGGCCGTGATCTTCTAGTAAAGTTATAAACATTAATACATGACGTGTGCAATGATTTGCCAAAACAATATTCATAATCACTTACTAAGTATCACTTTATCTACATATGTCGCTGGTTCTGGGTGCTTATTGGCATAACAATGATAATAAGCTAGGTTACCATTTATCTTCACTTTTGTTTGCAACATCGGTTTCCTTGGTTCTTTGGTGTAGCGTATATCCAACTCACAGAGCAAATAAAGCTTCACTGTGAGTCTTTTGTTAGCTTCATCAGTAACTTCCTCATTGTAGAAGATGAACAGAGCATTATTCTGGGAGATATTTGTCATAGAAGGTATCAATGAAGGTTGGTCTACGAGAAAAAAGGTTGGTCTATGAGAAAAAGGGGAACCTTAGGTACAACCTGACGGGACATCCTGGACAGCCTAGACGCTAATTTTAGGAAGACAACATTTCCTGGTGAGGAGGCGACATTTTGATTCTACCAGACTACAAATCATGATCTTTTTATCGACATGGAATAACTCTATCTGGTCCCTAATAATCCATTCTTAAAATAATAATGAATACCATCTAGGATACAGAATATTCATAAAGACTTTCTTTTGTGCTTTTCAAAAAAAAAGCTTGCGGGGATTATTTACCAGCTGGTGCTGTTGAACTCTGGGAATATGTAGGTGAAAGAAAGAGAAATATACGATACGCGTAATAAGCCCAATAAATAGTAAAATATCCAACAAGATTGCATCACGTTCTAATGACAACAACTTTTTATGATTCGTTGCATAAGTGGCTGCTGATATAGTGTATTTGGGACCAATTACTATTTCTTTATTGTCAAGTCTAAATGTAGGATGCAAACAGCTATTAATTGAATATACAAGATTTCTTTTTCGTATGAGACAGTATTTTATTATTAAGTTGTCTAGATACGGACCGAGTCTCTTAAAATAATGAGAGTTAGATACCTGGGGAGAGATAGATAAACATAAAGTGTGGTGACAAAATAGTAAAGCTAATGCATACAATGAATATATTGTGTTTTTTTTAGGACACACTATTTTTCCCTGAAGGATTAGAGAAAGACACCGGGCCACGGACATGTAGTCAGGATTGACTAGCCCGGTTAGATAGAAATGTCGCACCCCGCCAAGAAACGTCGTTCCCGTAAGATTGCTGCAAAGTCTGACCCCCAACCCAAAAAATGTGTGCAGCCAAGAAATACTAATTACGAGTGACGTTACATACTTTCAGCCTGACCTGCCAGGCTGTCCGTAAGGTTTCCCCTTTATTAAATGTAAATAGCTTTTTTATACTGTAGTCTGAGGTAAAAGGATAAACTAGAAGTACGTTAAAACGTCCTTTATTAGAACCTTAAATTTACGGTGTATTGACCATTGGCTCTAAAAAAAGAAGAAGAAGCATTTAGAAGCATCTACATATCTTATTTAGCTTATAGTAAATAATATATAAAATACAGGCAAGAAACAATAATAAAAATCTACTTCAATCTTGATCTTGATTTACTCTTTTTACACTCACAAACCAACTCAACACCTGTCAACAAATAAAGCACAAATAAAGACTATCAAGATACAATCTCAGTCAAGCTTCTTTGTCGAGGCACATTTGAAAGCTTGTTTTTTATTGAAAAGAGAAAAACCCAACTGAAATTATCAACTGAAGCTGCCAAAGATCTCAGCTGACTTTGATTAACTGCCAATGGGATCATCAAAAGGTTCTAGGCAATAGGCACCATAAACTACAAGTCTGTGGGAAGTGATAAGAACATCATCATTTAAGAACCCCACAAGGAGTTTAACTTGGGTGTTGTTAAAAACAACTACTCACGTTTACACTTCGTTCTCCCTCTTTCTTAAATTTACCACTCCGAGGAGAGACAGTCGCCAACCACTATGCCCACTGTCTCGATAGTCCAATTCCGTGAGCACCTGTAATCAATTATCCACTCGGGGAGTACCTCAGCTGTACGCGTATGCAATAATACAATACAATTCAATTATTATTATATATAAGGGAGGGAGAGAGGGAGAGGGAGAAAGAGAGAAAGCTCAGCTTCAGATAATGTAACCACTGAGGATACATTTATACTTTTTAAAGACACCCAGGAACTTTATATATTACAAGCCATGACAATAGATCAAGAATTCATTGGATCATTGCCAAGATTACCTAAGCTAATCGTTTTCGATCTTGATTATACAATCTGGCCTCAATGGTATGTTGATCAGAGTTAGCAATCTTAAACTTGATCTGATTTTCTCTCCCTCTTTACTTGAACACATAGGATTGACTATACTTATGGTAGGAGCAATATTGGATTTATAAAAACAATAATTACCATGCCAACACAATATATATAAATATATTTAGGTCCTCCGTATACCTATATTGAATCAAAGAACGCTCTTATAAACAGGTAAATCACACACACACACATATATATATATATAATAATCTAACACTAAATATCATTAGTTATAAGGAGCGACTTGAGCTATACCCGGATTTCACCGCCATTGTTGCTCTTATTCACTCTTTTCCTGATACTAAAATGGCGGTTGCCTCCCGTACATCTACACCAGACTGGTACATAATAGATAGGGAGATAAAGAGAAATACTGGTTGTTTTTTCTTATGCTGGTGATATCTTTATTTTTATTTTTTAGGGCAAAGCTAGCACTTGAGACATTTGTTATCCCTGAAATGGATAATATGCCATTATACGATGCATTTTCTTATCTCGAGATTTTTCCAGCCAGAAAACTCGAGCATTTTGCTGCAATAAGTGAAGCTTCTGGGATTGACTGTAAAGACATGTTATTCTTTGATGACGAGTCGCGTAACAGAGAAGTAACTCGTCTTGGTGTGCATTTTGTACTATTAAGTCAGCGCGATGGCATAACTTGGCCTACCTTTAAAAAAGGCTTGAAAGAATTTGCCAAAAAATCATAGATAGATTATATACATGTATATGTATATATGAGAGTATATATCTTTCTATAGATATACAGTTTTCTAATATATCGATAGAAAATTCGATGATCACCTGTTCAAGATCCATGTGTATTTTTCTTAAAGAAAAACAAATATATATTTATGACTGTTCACTCTTGTTCTACTTAATTATTCTTGGTGCTGTTGTGATAGGGAGTGTAAATGATCCTAAACATTATTCTGACAATCAAAAAGGACGAGGTCAATTTCAGATCTTGCAAGATACTTTACAAGCAAATAAAAACCTAAAAGGTTTAATCGATGGTATGTACTCAGGCTATACTACGATTAATATTTGATAATTTGAGAATAACAAATGTATATATACGAATAGAATATACTTCTTTGGACGCTTGTAACTTTTGAGAGGAAACTAAATCCAACGAAATAAATAGCTTAAAAGTATACAATACTTTGGATAATTCCTCAAGATTTAATACGCTGTGTAATAGCCTTCAAAGTAAGAGCTATATATATATATAAAGCGCTTGAACTTATTACTGTATTTCAAGTCGACTTTTTTTTACAACCATTGTTTTACACACTCTGAATGAAAATGCTGATTTTGTGTAGATACTTGTGATAAGCTAGAGAAATTTATCAAGCAGTTATTGCTCAGTATACATTCAACTCCTGGCTTAACCAATAAAAAAATATCAAACGAGAATATATTGTTATTGGTCAGTCGATTATCTTTTTTTTCTCACTTTTATATACATTATATTAATAGTAATAATGATCATATAAAGTGGTAGATAAATTCAATTTATGTTTTATTCTGGTAAAAAAAACTATCTTAGGTTTACATAAGCCATTTGAATACAAAGCTTGATCTGGAAAAAGAAAAGGCAGTGCAGAACGAAAGAGAAAGCAAAATTGTTAAAGAACGACTTGATGAGGAAAAATCAAAATATTTGCGTATTTTGGACAGGTTTAAGCTTTATAAAGGACTGGAGAGTCAGGTAAGGTTTGATAGTTGTTTTTTCTCTTTCGCAACTAAAGGTTATAATTTTGCCTTGCTCTGAAAGAAAGAAAGAAAGAAACAATGAGTAGTAATTTAAATAATTATTGTTCCTTTGATTAGAATCTTGTGGATAATTTTACTGAAAAAGATAAACTGGATAGACTGAATAATATACGATCACTGGAAGCTGAATTACTCTTAGTTCATGGGATAGAGGACGCATCTATGAATCTTGCTGAAGAGTATATACACAGAATGAATGTCCTTAAAGATCGTTTGAATTCCCTGAAATCTCAAAACGAAAAACTCAGGTGTGAGCTTAACGATTCCAAGCGACAACTAAATAACCACATCCGGTTTAAAACCTTTCAAAATCAGCCTGGCAATATTACGAGGTGTAGTTCAGAATCCGGTATTGTATTCAATCAAGAAAGCGAGAAAGATCCAGGGTCCTTATCTTTGGTGGATACGAGCAAATCAGATAGTAATGCGGACAGCAACGCCACTGCAAGTCGTCAGCATAGATGCAAGAATAAAAGCAAAAACGTCTTCTTTACTAGTATTCATAGTACAAAAAAGAATAGTTTATTAACCAGAGACTTGGTATCATTTTTTTAAAATAGATAAACGAATCCATAAATGGGATCCTTTCAAGTCAACTCCTTGTCCTGTCCAAGAAAATTGGCAAACTTGTTGACCGGCAACCTAAATTTGTGCCTGAAATGAAACCATTGATAAATTATCAAGATGATCTTGGCGATCTTGGTGACCTTGGTATGATTATTGATACATTTTATACTATGTTTTCCCCTGGATAAAAATTTCATTTATATTCTAAACATTGACGCAAATAAAGAAGTCTTGACATCGTAGCATTCTCTCCAAGAAAATGATTTCTCTAACTAACAAAGCATATATTTCTTGTTGTGCAAAGATGCTAATAAGAAAAATTAATAAGTGTTACGATTGCAAAGTATAATTTGTTTGTATGAATGTGTGTGAATATTGTAAGATTTCTAAAAAAGTAAATAATTCATTAATTGTGTACTATTCTCTACGTTTCTTTATTTACTTTCTTTGATATTCCCACCATATTCAGCCTATACCCTTTGTGAGCTGGATATATATATATATATATATATGGTGGCGAAAGATAAGACTTTTTATTTATTTATTTTTGATAGGGAATTAAAGTAGTGTGATACATGAGGTTGTTTTGTACTCAAAGATGTATTAAATTTTCAACAAGAATAAATGTGTGGCTATACAAATATTATTTATGGTTGGGTTTGTGTTTCTCAGGTGATATGATTCTTCAAATCTCCTCTTACATTCTTTTGGATACTGCTGTTGCTGTTGTTGCTGCTGTTGCTGCTGTTGTTGTTGTTACTACTATCTCTACTAAGAAAACAATAATCCTTACAAGGTTGTTCAATATTCCCTTGCTTATTTATTATCTCTAGTGCCTGTAAAAGATGTCGTTCAAACTCAGAATAATGTGGGGTATTGTAGAAAAAGTATCTAGTTATTTGTTTTTTTTTAATAAGACTTTCCAAATGGAATTCACAACACTTGAAAGGGCCGAATATTGTACATATTTGTACATTTACATATTTGTACCCTTTATCACTTGTTTAAGTATTTATCTTGGCTGACAGATTTCCAAACCATACATGAAAATACTATTGGCTAATCACTAAAACTATAATACATTAAATTTGATTTTTTTTTGTTCTTCTTCTTCTCAAATATTATGAATATTAATATTAAATCTTCTCATTCTCATTCTCATTTCTGTAAAATTACTTGTTTGAATACCAGATATCCGGAGCAAAACATGAATATCACGATGATAAGCATTTGGTTTCATCGGTCAGTCAATCGTTCTCTTTCTCTTTTTTTTTTCTTGTGGAAAATTAAGAGTATTTGTAGGTTAGAGTCGCACAATATAAAAAGTATAACAACCACCAATCAGATGCTCCATTTGTTGCATTGGGGTTTCCACCTTATCTGGAATTACTCAAAACAAATACTTTAAGAACAGCATCTGTCAATGTTTCTACAAAGAAGAAAGTTTATAGTATAAATAAAAAATAAAAATAAAAATAAAGAAAAACAGACTAAAAAAATACACAGAAATGAATGAGACAGGGGGGGGGGGGGGGGGTAAAGAAGGGAAAAGATAAAAGACATTGAAAGAAAGAGGAAAGAAAAATAAGTGCAAGTGATTTTGGTATAATAATAATAAATTGTGTGTGATTTGTGTGTGTGATTTGTGTGATTTGTGTGATGTGTGTGATGTGTGTGTGATTGTGTGATTTTTGGAAATGTAAAGAGCGTAAATAAAAAAAAAGTTGAGAAATAAACAAGATAAGAGAGGTAGTAAATAAATGACCTCTTGCTTGGTGGTGAGAATGAGCCGTTTGTAAATAAAGAGAGAGAGTGGGGGGCCTGGCATATGTATATATGGATATAATTATAATAAGCAATGAAGGGTATCATAGAGTGAGGTTGTGTTGAGTATGTTCAGTCATAAAGCGTGGTTGGTTGGGCGAAATTGCGCTGTAGTTGTATTTATAGTTGTATTCGTGGTTGGAGTGGTGTGTAATTCTGGTGAGATTTGCTTGCTTGCTTATTCATTTTTTTTACTGTTTTGTTAATACCATTTTGGCTGTTCTGGCTCTTGGCTCATTCTTAAACTAGACTGTCTGGAAGACGAACGGATAGGATTTCTTTGCAATGGAAAAGTAAAGCCAGGTGGCTTTGTTTGATGAGATGGAGTCATCACGGGTGGAGAAGAGTTTCGCGACAGAGATTTTTCCATAGGCGTTCTTTTCGTTGCCTCGGATTGAGAAAGGAAAAAGGCAGGTCGTAGGGCGGGTGAAGATTGGTGTTTGTTCTTTATGAGTTGGTGCTTAGGTGTCACTAGAGGCTCATCCACGCGTCTTAAAGGCCGACCACTCATCATGTTCGTCATTGGCGTGTTCTTTATTCCCCCTGGAGGAGACCAGGGTCTATAGTTTTGTGCAGGTAATTTTTGCACTATAGAGTGTGTTAGCCAAAAACTCATTCCTTCTATTTCACTTCACTATTTTGTACTTGCCACTTATTTCTTTTTCATCCTCTGAATCATCAGAGTAATCAATATCATCAATTTCGTCAATTTCGTCAGCTTCTTCTTCGTCGCTGCTGTCATTATAATCGGTCAAAACGCGTCCGGGAGTGTATTCTTGAAGAACTGCTGCCTGGGCTCCCTCGATAAGGTTCTGAAGAATGGAACATACGCGCTGGAATGATAGGTCATTGATAACCTCTTCCTCGGTTAAACCTTCTGCAGGAGCAACCGACCCTTCTGGTGTGATGATCGAAGCCTCAGATGACCCTGCGAGTATCTTGTTTCATGCACAAATAAAGCACAGACGTCAGCCACGCATATTAACTAACAAGACGCACATCCCCCCTCTTTCTCTCTTTCTTTAAATTGAATTTTACCTGTTTGTCTGTCTCCGTTTCTGAGACAGGTGACAGTGGCCACTCAATCCTGCTGTGAACGCCATTTATAAGATTTGCAGAACTTTGGGCAAATAATATCGTGCTTGGCGGTCTTTTTTTTTGTGCACATATATTTATACATATATATACATATATACATATATACATATATATATAAAGTATATTATAATAGCTTACCTATCCAGACGCTTCTGGAGCTCAGCAATATGAGCTTCCTGACGTTTTACTGTCGCCGCCAATGTTTGGTTTAACGTCAAGAGGGAGTTCTTTTCAATCTCAAGGTCTCCAATCTATCGACCAACACCCCCTTTTTCATTTAGTACCGCGTATTCCCCTTTATTAAATACTCCATTCTCCAAAGTAATAATAATACTACTACTTTGTACTAGCATTACTAGTATTATCATTACCTTTCGGTTGACCCTGGCATCGTCATCCTTGAAAAAGGTTTCTGTTGACCCCTTGGAAACAAATTCACCTCTGCCGTTCATAATCGTGCCATGTTTAATCTTTGCGACGACTTGTGTGGGGAGTTCGTTGTCGCTTTGACTCTCATAATCACTCTGACTCTCGTCCTCACTAATATCATCTTCATCACTTTCAGTCTCGGACTCGGTCTCATCGTCAGTTATGCCGTCAATACTGTCGAGGTCGAGGTCGGAAGTATCGTCGGCAGTTACGAACGTTGACTTTGAGAGAGTAGAGTTACTTCTTGCTCTCTGTACTAGACGCTGAGGAAATATCGAGCTCATAAAGCTGGGTGTGGGCGAAGGTGGGCGAGCGGATTGCCAGCTTGGTTGGCTGTGTTGCCCAAGCATAGAGAATCCAGACGCAAAACTTGCGGGGTTGAATATAGTGGGTGGAATACGATTAGCTGATGAGATGGTCGAGTGGGCTGTGGATAATACGGATGCGTTTGAATAAGATTGGGATTGGTCGCCATTGCATTGAGATGTAGACCGTCTGGCGAACATCGACGGGCGAATGATATTGACTGCCTTTGGGGGCGTTTGTTCTCTGGCGAGCATAGTGGCTTATCTATTTATACGGACGAATTACCAAGGGAAAACCTGCCTTGGAGTTCGTGAAGAGAGGGGTGGAAGAAAGAGCTTAAAACAAGGTTTTTTTTTGTCATGTTTTTTTTTATTATTTCAACCATTTTTTTTTTACACTCCTCTACATTCCTTCTTTCCCTTGCTTGGATTCACTTCCGCCGTGTCACTCACACGTTCACTGGCTCTTTTTAATTTTCATATTTATTTATTTATTTATTTATTTTTTGGTCTCATTTACGACGCTTTTCACGAGGGGCAGACGATTGGCCGGCAGTACTGGAAGACCGTTTCTTTGTTGACGTACAGATGGTTAGTTTTTTGCGAATTGTGAATTGTGATTAAAGCAAGACTTACTCTGTTGGCTCCATCGCGGTTGACCACGGCTGGCGTTCCGTCACGGCTCCGCTGCGTCTTCATCTTGTGCTCCATTTCCATTTTGTCAACCACCTTTTTGAGCTCAAACATATTCAGAATGGAATTCTGCAGCTGCTCGAACTTGTGGCACACCTGGGCAGTTGGCATCACGGGTCGCGCACCTTTGAAAGTGAAAAGGACATTTTGAGTCAATCAATCAATCATGCGAGTATCAAAGCTTTGTATAGGCTCCGCTCCCTCCTCCGACTTACCAATCGCCAGTTCTTCCATCACCTTGAGAACCTTTTGTTGCATTGTAGGCTTAACGGTTGGTAGCTTCTGGCTACGCACGTACACTCCAGGGGTGAGCTTCTCCTTCTTTTCCGGAACGATTTCTGTCGTACAAGATTAGCACACATATACAAAATTTATTTTAAAGAAAAAAGCACGTTTACAAATGAAATCCGAAATAAATAAATAAAATAAATTTACCTTCAACTATTGATGCATTTGAGGCTCTGCGTCCCTTCTTGTGCGAATGAGCTTCTTCGGGTACACTCTTCTTCTTCTTCTGGACATCATTTAGGCCTTTTTTTATATTTTGCTTGACATCATTCGTATCACCAACCTTTACATCCGACCCACTCGCCGCACTAGCTGTCCCACCCGTAATACCAATACCCCCTGGTGTGGATCCTAAGCTACCTCCATTCAAAGCGCTGTGGGTTGTAGGTGTTCCTGGTGTAGATGGTACCTGTTGTAACTGCTCCAATTGAAGCATGTTCAACAATCCCTCGCGCTCCTTCCCGAGGCGCGCCTCATTCAGCTCAATACGGCGTGCCTCCACCAACAATGCCTCTTCTTCATCCATCTGTTCCTTGGTTCGATTGGAAAGAATAATTAATGCCTGTTTACGCTCTACTTCTTTAGACTTGTCGAACGAATATTGTTGAATCAGAGTCTGCCGGTCGGTATTATTATCCAGGGCAGGCCGTTCCTTGAACAGTTTGCGGGATACACTGTAATATCTATCCTTGAGATCCTGATAGATTTTTGGTTTGGTTTGGTTTGGTTTTTGTGGTTTTGGGTAATTAAATATAATATAACAATATAATATAATATAATATAAGCACATGTTTATCAATCCAAGAAATACAGCAACAATCATAATACATTTTGTGTAATGTTTTATACGCAAACACAAACACGTACAAAGATATACACACAGAGATACACGCACGCGCACACACATATATATATGTAAATATTACTATTTATTATTTTTATTTAAAGGGAGGGTTTATTGTACTGTATTCGTACTGTATTTGTACTGTTTTTGTATTAATTGTCTAGCTATTTTATCTATTTAGTTCTTATATTACCTCCATTGTCCTTGGTTTAGGCAAATCATATCGATCTTCAATAATTGGAAACCGTAGATCATATTGCCGGCATAGACTAAATAGGTATTCTGTTTCCTCCTTGGTCCACTCGGGATCTAATTGTGGCATGTTCATCAATCCACATACATACACAGAAAGAGAAAGCCAAATCTGTTTTATTTTTTTTTCCTTTACCATAAACCACGCCACTTACACTACCAAACCACCCCACTCCACCGCACCACCACATCATCCGTATATTCTATTCTATTCTATTTACTCTATTTTATCCGTTTCTTACCTGTAAGATACCGATCGTATTCCTCATCCGTAAATTCCACTACGTCAATCACTTTATTAAACTTGGCAAATCCATAATCTGCACACAGAAACACAAAAGAGACACAGAATATATATACATATATATATATATATGTGTGTGTGTTTTTTTCATTAAAACGAATTAGCTTGCAGAAACACAATACATTTTTATCATTTTTAAATTGCCTTCATTGGTCGCATCGCTCGCTTTGACCCAGTGTTGCAATATCAGATCTCCTGCCCTTGCAGGATTGGCAAATGGCTGTAATACCCTGTTTTTTTTTTAAGAAATAAAGAAATAACCACAACCACAACCACAACCACAACCATAAAATAAATAGAAATATTTAGACACAAATATATTTAATTTATAGTATATTCATTTTTTTTTTTAAAAAAAAAATTGTACGTACCATGGAACTGCCTTTTTCTTGACATTATATTTGGCCTTGTAAGTCGGTTGAACAAATGCAACTGGCGGTGCTCCTCCAATAAGAGAATAAAGCTCACGACTAAATCCCTCTAGTTTATTTATATATATATAGAATTGTTAATATCAAAAAATAAAATATAATATAATATAAAATATAAAATAAAACAAAAGAAAAAATTACTCCATCAAAAGAGGAACATGAAAAGGAAAAACAAAAGAAACGGATTCATTTACCTGGTCTCTTTTCTGTTGATTGTTTGAATCTTCGTACTGTAGTCTCATTGGTTTTTCCAAGCTGTAGAATGTCACGAATGTCTGATCCACTCATCTTAATCTTTAATCTTTTTTTTAAAAAAAAAGAGAGTCTCTCACATTTCGAGATCAATACTTTTTTATTTTTTTTGTGGGTCTTCTGCACTTTACGAATGTGATGTCACGAAATAATACTATATATAGACCTTTTCTCTTATACAGCCACATATTACACTAACAAAACATATATAGTAATATCTGAAATAAGGCAATCCAAAAAAGGAGAATAGGAAGTAAAAAAAAAGAGAGAACAAAAGACAGGCAGACTAAGCAAAGAAAGTAAATGAAAGAAAATGAGACATTAGAAAGTGTGTGTGTGTATATGCATATATATTTTATTTATTAGACAAAATTAGTTGAAATGGATCCACCTACACCAAAAGACTTTTTATATCATCTAACCCAAGGAAATTACCAGGCCGCACTCGACCTAGCCAATGAACTCAACCTAGATAAAGACATTGTCTACAAATCTCAATGGGACAATCTTGACAAAAAAGTCATTTCATCCAAAGATATTCAACTACTCGAAGCCGTTCAAGACGATGCCTGGGTTATTGCTCAATGCCTAGAAACAATTGCAAACCCGTGGCAAATCGAACTTCAGATTCTCAACTTGGGAAACACGCGCGCTCAAGAAAGAACCCAACCGATTATTTCAGATTGGGAATTCAATCCGGATGAAACCGTGATCACCGACCAAGACAAGGTTTGGTTACGCTCTCGACTTTATTTCTTAAGGTATCTGGACAGGCTGTCGACATTTGTAAAGATCTGGTCAAACAGCCCCGAGACCCAAAAGACAAACTCTTTTGCAGAAAGCTATGGACAATTCCGCGACTGCAATCTCATTGCACAGGCTATTGACTACGCCAGAACAGAAAATAATATTGGTCTTGATGCCATATTTATGCACCACGGCCAAGAAGTCTTGCCCCAGCGTCTCTTTATTCTCTCTCAGATTCCAGAAACTGCTGATCCAAGTCGCTTCGATTTGCCTCACGTTTCAGTCGACCATGAAGATCGTTGGATAGAAGAACCTTGGAGACCAGAAAAAGATCCTGTCGAATCAGAGGCCTTTTCGAATATTGATCAGCTAGTTCCGGACCATATCAATTATCTCTCTCGATTGCAACAAAGTATCCAGTCCACCGAGTATCCAACATCTGCAAAAGTCATTGCCCAATGGTACAAAGATCGTGCTCACGCCATGGATAGCGTTGGCCTGTCTAGCCAAGCCTTGGAGCTTATTCGATATGCACAAGTCATGGGTGTGTCTAGTTTAGAAGATACGGCAAATGACTATGAGTGGTTGTGCAAGTATGTTTATTCTTCGCAAACACTCACGCAAAACGAAGATCAAATCATCACACTTGACCAATTCAAACGCATGGGGTCTTTTGAGATTCTCGAAGGCCTGCTGAGTGACACGAACACTAACCGCATTGTGGATGACATGAAACGCATGGTACTCCCATGGCTAGAGGTCTGCCGAAAGAGACAATCAATCGACACTACCGACACCAAAGACAACGACTATGAAGAGGAAGACGATGAACGCCCCGAGTTCCTGCTGTATCGCTGGCTTCTAGATGAATCTACAGAACATCTTTCATGGTGTTGTCAAGTATTTGAATACTCTAAACCATCCTTACCAGTCGAGGAACGGATCATCAAAGACGAGATCGATCTTTCACGGCTTGTCCTGGCTGTGGTATACTCAAGCGATGGTAGTATGGAATACCTGGTCCGTATTTTCGAATGCTTGCCAATATTTGAAACCGAAGACACCGATCCTGTGGAACCTGTCAATATGGCCTCGCTTTTACCTTTGGCAGGAACACCTCTCGGTTTATTTACTGCGCTTCAATCGGTTGGACGGAATGAATTGACACCCATTATGGATCTGCTCCAAACTCATCTTATGGCTGCCGAAGTCTTGGCTCGTTACCACGCCACAGTCCCATTACGTTGGTATCTGTCTGACCAAACAGCAGAGACACAGCGTCAGCTGTGTATTCGCATGGCATCACAGGCAGCAGGTGGTGTTGAATCAGGGGGTGCTCAATTTGACAGAGACGACGATTGGCGCGAATTATTGGATGATATGCTTCGTCTGTATGAAGATGGCAATGGAATATTTGGAAAGCTTGCTCCGGTCGAGATCATGGAGATCTTTTATAGCTCACTACTACGATGTGGTCGTAAGTGTGTAAAACAACACTTTTCTTCTTCTTCTTCTTCTTTTGATATTTATTTAAGGAAACGTTTAAACCCTCAAGAATTGGTCAGTAATGCATATATATATATGTGTGTGTGTGTGTATGATTGCGTGTGAAAATGCTTTTGATGATATGTAGGGTTCAGGTTAGCGAACGAACTGATGCTTGGCTCTACTGTTGGGAGAATCATGGATATAAACAAGGCTGAGAAACTTGTGATTGATGCTGAGCGAGAATTCTTTGATAATGCAACTACTGGAAACATGTATGCAGGCAATATGAAGATGGCATTAGACTGGTACGTCCAAAAAAAACGAACAAACAAACAAACAGAAAAATATTTTGAGCTCTCTTTACATGATGTGAACATGAACATTGACTATTAACATTGATAATGACATAGCTTAAAGGTGCTCCCTGCTACCTCTGAAATCAAGAAAGAAATCGACCTGATAGAGGCAACTCACGCACTAACTTCCGAGTACCGCATTGCAGATCGATCTGGGAACGTTTTGATGCCTATACAAATTCGCCAGGCATCTAATCGACTGGATCTGATCTCAAAACTTATCAACACTCGTCAAGGAATATACCGACAGCATGAGGATGTTTTGAAGCTTACTCACAAACTAGGCTACCAAAACGACACGCTTGCTCAAGTCAAGGTACTTTCAATGCTGGCTGGAGCAGCCTTGGTTGATGAAGAGTACGAGACTTCGTTCAAACTATGCCAGGCTACAGTCGAAAAAGCCCAACTGGACCTTCCACAGAAACCAAAATCGTACAAAGATGAGATGAAGCAGGCTGCTTGGCAAATCTGCTTCAACTTTGGCAAAATGGATGCTTACTGCGACTACAACCGACGAATGGATGCGTTGGCGATGGCACTTGTGTTGAGTCCGGTCGAGTACGTGCATGATGTACTGATTGTCTGGAGAAAACTAGAGCAGGAACGTGCAGCTAGTGGCTTACCTGTGGATGATCCAATGTCGTTGGATATGAGCCGCTATGATGCACAGGCTCAGGAAAGCTATGGCTGGAATGGATTGTTGCAGAACACCAAGAAACATCAGTGGAGTTTGGGTGATCTATTGAAGGGTAGTGTACATCATGATGATTCAAGCTCAGGGAACGACAAGGGTATAAATGGAGTGCGAAAGCGAGACCAGTTACGAAACATGGTTGGAGGTTGGCTTTTTTAAAATACATACATATAAGCTCATATATACATATATACATATATCTACGTGATGTAATGAAAGACAATTATCAAGAGCTTGTGTATGTGTGTATGTACACTTGCAAAAAGTAATATACCACGAATATAACTACATGCTATGGTAGAGGAGACCTTAGTAAAGCAACATACCTGATATTTTTGCCTTGAGAGTCTTGGGCAAGAAGATTTGGACCTTCAGAACTGAAAAGTGTATATATATATTGAAGTTTTCTTTTTCTCTATTGGGGTATTAGAAAATAAAATGGTCAAAAATTGAGGCAAAGATGTAGTAGAGAGGATACTACTATTTTTGTGTAGAAATTTGGAATAGTGGATAGTTTCAACAATTAATGGAAATTTTTATTTTCAATTTCAATATTTTAAAAATAAAAGCAATACTTCGTGGAGAAGTTCAATAGCACTTTTGGTGAAATTAAAAAATAGTATTTTGTAAAACAAAAACAAAAAAGCGAAAAAAAACGTTAGTATTACTATTGATCGTAGGCTCCGTGTCTTAATATGCGATTCTTTAAACGTCCTTTTGTTCACTAAAGGCTATACTTATAGAGTTAATATTATCGACCATTATTTTCCACTTTATATAATAGAAAATAAAATACCTTTATAATTCAAAAAGAGGGAATTCAAGAAACTTATAAATTCCTTGAATTTAAATTTTTATACTTTTGAGTTTCATATGTAGAAATAATTGTTTTAGAATAATTTATAAAGATTAAAGCTTATAAGAAGAGAAAAAAAGTCTATAAGACTATTGAACTCTCCATCTCGAAAGAGAATTGAAATTAATAATAGCTTATGGCATATGTTTTCTATATTTCGCGCAATATGGTAAAACGGCCAAAATATGAGAAAATATCCCGAATTTTGTCAATACTATAGATTAAATCATATTATTCCCTCTCATAGTAAATAGTATTTGGTACAGAAAAGATGATATGATCTAGTCACACAAGCAAATGTTTGAGTAGAGTGATAGTGCATGTCAGTCGAATGGTACTTTTGCAAAGCATACAAAGCTTTAAAAAAATGCTCTTTTAGTAATGAGATCGGTTATTTATCTATATATTAAAATTAAGAAAAAATCGGTTAAAGTAAAGCTAGCTTGGCATTTATACCTAAGACGAAACGTCTTTAAAGACAATGAAAGACATAAAGTAACAGTTAAAATTGTTCAAAAAGAAACTTAAACAAGCTATCAAGGTTGGAGCTTGGAAAAATCGTATATGATCAGTGAAGATACCAAAAGTGTAGGAAATGCCGAGATTTCTGAACAAATTGAATATATCAATATCACTTTCAATTACAATCGTAGTAGTTTTAATGCGAAATTGAACAAAACAATAAAAGTCTTTTGGAAAGCCAAAAAAAGGCCTAAAAAGGACCACGAAAGAGCAAAGAAAAACTCCACAGCAATTATCTTGTTCTATTCAAGCAGCTTGTTGGGTGATTCTTAGTAATTGCTGAAAAGTAATATATATATATATATATATAATTGCATATAACATATATAGTAGGTATAAGAATTTATCTTTATTAGAAGAAATATTAACTTTAGTAATTAATCTTACCACCAAAAATATATATATATATAAAATAAAATCAAATTAAATTAAATAAATATGTATAAATATGGGAAAGTAGCGACAATTCCGATAATGCTTTTGGAATCACCGCTTATTTTCCATAGTGTAAATTAGCGGACTAAGTTTTGTAATTAATTAGAGCTGTCTTTTTCGTTGTAAAAGGGATAATCAGTGTATCCAACACTGCCTTGAGTATAGAAAGTAGAGCGATCGTAAGGGTTAAGGGGCAAGTTATTTTTGAGACGGTAAACTAAATCAGGGTTGGAAATGAATGAACGACCGAAACCAACCAAGGTGTTCTCGTATTTCTCTGCGGTCTCAAATGCTCGCTTTACATCTGTAGTATATCCTCCGGCAGTTATAATAGGTCCCTTCCATGCTTTACGGAAAGGTTCGATAGAATCTGTCTCCTTATCTGTGGGCTGCTTAGGATCGCCAGCTGGGATGAGATAGTCATCGCGAGGTTCGATAAAGTGGATATAAGCAAGATCGGGATGGTTCTCTTGTAGCTTGTCCATAAGATAACCCCAGGTCTGATAAGGTGTGTCGTCAATCATATCCTGGTATTCAGTCCAAGGTGAGAAACGGATACCGGTACGGTCTTCTCCGATAGCCTTGGAAACAGCAGCAGTAATCTCCAAAGCAAAACGACCACGGTTTTCAATAGACCCGCCATATTTGTCGGTGCGGGTGTTACTGGACGCGTTAATAAATTGGTCAATAAGATATCCATTAGCGCCATGAATTTCGACGCCGTCAAATCCAGCGCTAATTGCGTTCTTTGAAGCCTGGGCGAACATATCTATAACTTCGTTGATCTCTTCTTGTTCGAGAGCATGAGGGACTTCATAATCAGCACCGGCCATGTTCTTGCCCTTAATAGCAATAGCAGATGCTGACACTGGAGGCTTTCCACCTGGCATGAGGGCCGATGATGTGGCGCGCCCGGGATGCCAGAGTTGGATATAGATAGAGCCGCCTTTGTTGTGTACAGCTTTAGTAATGTCTTGCCATCCTTCTATCTGTTGCTCGTTGTAGATTCCAGGAGTAAAAGGGTAACCACCAATGTTTCCAGAAACAGAAGCTCCTTCGGTGATAAGTAGACCTCCTTCAGTCGTGCGTTGATCATAGTATTTAGCCATAAGTGGGACTGGGACGTGTTCGGAACTGGCTCTGAGCCGAGTTTGGGGACAGTAGACTACACGGTGGGCTAAAAGAGATCTGCCAACCTTAATTGGAGAGAATAGCTTGGGTAACATGATTTTACGATAGGGATAAAATATTAAAATTAAATAAGAAAGAAAAGCAAAAGAAGCTTATTGTTTAAATACTAAAACACAGAAAAAAAAGGCTTTAAACTTTTTAGTAACTCAATTATGACAAGGAGTATATATATATAAATATTGGTGACTTTCCCTTAAATTGGGCTACTATAGAGTTCAAGCTCTGTACATGATACAGCCCCTTGTGTTCATAACAGTCGTTGTATTTACTCCAAGTTCTTCTCTGGTTTATCTGCACCTATCTTTTTTACTTGTTTACTAAGGTCTACAACCTAAAAATGATATGAGGTCTCTTAATATTGCAACATACAGTACGAAATATATGAGTAAGTTATTAGTAAGCAGTACATATATACAAAATGCTTTGTTTTCTGGCTTACAAAATATCCTCCAATGATATTGCCAGATACTCCTGTCTAATATATTATGTAACGACCTTTTTACTCTTTGATTGGTTGTGGTCAAGAAGGATTACGTGGCAGAGTAAATATATTTTTTTTTAAAAAAAAAAAACACAAAACTCAATTCAACTGCTGATTCAAATATTACACATGCTTTAAAATGGCTTAAAAACAGGGATATATTACGCATTGAATCAATATCCACAATAGCAACAACAAATAAAAAATAAATAAAGAAGTATGGCCTAAATATAGAATAGTTTTTTGCTGCTTCTGCTGTAAGTTTTTCAAAAGGTTCTTATGATCTTGTGCATAAATAGGTAGACACTACGGGAAAAGAGGGGTGTTTTTTGTAATTGTGACTTCATTTTTGGCCTATAATAATTAAAAAATCACCAAAAAAATCAAAATGAAACAAAAAATTCCACCACCATAAAAATTGGAAGCCAAATATGGTAGGGTATGGTACCCAAACAATATTATTGGCCTAGAGAATTTTTCTTTCTATAATTTCGTGAGTTGAATATTTTTTCTTCCAAATAAAGGAGGAAAGAAGGTTTGGACCTACTTCAAACTTTTTTGATCACAACAAAAAGCTGTTCAAGTAAGACAAAACATTGAATAAGGAAATACGGAGGCTGTATTGTGTAATGAAAAAATAATTCTGTTAAAATTTGGTAAAGGCAACGATTTTCAGCATATAAAACGACTTTGTCAAAATTTCAAATAAGAAAAAATATACGATCTTTTTGTTTCCCACATAATATTAGTAAAGAATGTCTAGCAAAGACAGCCTTCTAAGGCACGACTCAACCCAATGAAGATATAAATATATATACATATTTTTTTTAATAAGTTACAGCTGTAATTTCAATTATTTGCTATTAGAACATACCTCTTTAACTTATAAAAATAAGGCAAACCGAGAGAGAATGACTTAGCATTTTTTTCTACTTTGAAACAAAAAATAAAAACCAATTTATTTGAAACACAATTTTTTTTGAACCATTTTTTTTTGAAAGCGCATTTTTAAATCCGTGATTTATTTCGACCAGAATTTATCGCAGATAATTGTGTCTATATATGGGCATGTAAGGTACATCTATATTCCTACACAAGAAATTTCTCTGGCGGTTTTGTTAAAGAGCGGAGTTATAAACTAATCCATAACAGGCAGGAGGTGAAAAAGTGGGTAGGCGAAAAACACCCACCTGGACGACCTCCTGAGCGGACCCCCAGTGAACCCCCGGAAGCACCTCTTTTTTTCCCATAGTGAGAATATAAATGATGAAATTATTTGTTAACAATTTTTGTGCTTCTGTATTTTTGAGCACCCGTAGCAGTAGCATTTAAATTCAGTTTTTCCTTAATTAAATGCTTTTTGAAAAAAAATGCTGTTAAAAAAAACTGAACTATGGTCACTACAAAGGTAAAAACCTTAAGAGTATTTAACATGCTTTTTTTGTTAACCTACAAGACAATGGTCAAAATAAGATGATCTTAGAAAAAAGAAAGACAAATAAAATTACCAGAGAAGACTATATTTTATATTTTACTTATTATTTAAAAGTTTCTTTCTTTATGAGACTGATATTTGACTCTCCATTTTTTTTATTGTGTTCAAACGCTAGTATGGCTTATCAAAGCTTAATTCGTTAAAATGGAAAGGCCACTGCTACGGATGTTCTTACTCCTTTCCATTTCACCGAGTTTGTCTTTTTCTTCTTTTTTGCCCCTTCTAAAAAAAAGAATAGCGCGATACAAAATTCAATTAAACAGAATACTAGTTTGTTATATATCTATAGCACAATGATTTTATTATAACAAGAAAAAACAGACAGCAAAGGTTACAACAACAGCCTGGACTGATCAGGACTATTTGATATTGAGTATATATATATATATGAGCATGTTCTTTTGGGAGCACTTGTATACTAACAATATTTTTCATCTTTTGTTATTTGTGTATAGAGAGTTGGTTGCACCTTGTACATCTTTACAGTTACCTCAATGATTCAAGTGCACTAATCTGTAACACAGTACCAGCTTGCCCCTGTAATATTTTTTCTAATAGCAGTTGATCTTAGCTTTTATAGACATTCAATAATATATGATGTACTTAGGTATGGAGGTAGAAAGAAATGATAGGTACCTTAAGATTCATAATATTTTTTATAAAGATGTAAGTCGGATCAAACTGACTGACAAAAGAGTAAGATTATATTTAATGGGATTTATATAGTTACACTGATTTTATATACTTTTCAGTGACCATTATGTGGTAGGTGTGTTCTATTGGGTAGCAATATATAGTGGCTTGCCTGTATTTTTGTATTTGGCGGTTACTCAATATATGTCATAGACATATATATATCAATACATTTGTTATTCGCTCTTCTCTCTCTTTCTATCTTTATACAATTACCATTATGGGTGTGTCTGAACTACCATTCGAACTTCTTGTGCAAATTTCTGATAATCTATCGACAAAGGACATACTGTCTTGTGCTCTTACGTGCAAGGCGTGGAGAAACCCGTTTCAAAAGGCCCTGTGGAGAGAGATACGACTTTATAACTTTCACAGCACGCAAAGATTTATCGACATTATTAAAGACTTCCAAGACGTATCCATATCGTACCCACATTTGGTTCACAGTCTATGCATAGATGGTCGTTTTCGTATGCCACCTAATTCCGATTCTCAAGTTTCTGACCTGTCAATGTACCTGCCAAACATAAAAAGCTTGTGCGTCGAGAATATAAGCCGGACAGATATCTGTACAGAGCTAACAAGATCACACAAAATATGGAAGTCTCTGGAAAGTTTGAAAGTAGACTACGAAAGAAGTGAAAATGAAGTTTCAGCAAAAAACCTATTTGAATTTATAAATACGTGTACCATGCTCCAGAAACTAGAAATACGGGATGATGGATTGGGTTTTAACATAGAGCGCAGTGTGGATTACTTTGAGAACATGCACCGACACTTGCAAAACCTATCATTTATCAAGGTTGGACTATATCTCACCCCTGACATTTTGGATACTCTTGACACAATCCCAAATACGATACCAGCTTTCTCTGTGATATATCTTGACATAAATTCGAAACGATACAAAGGAATAGACTCATATGATGATACTGAATACGGTACAAATGATTGGGATCCTTTGTGGCTGTACTATTTTGGATACAAGTATCCAAACTTGCGTTCCCTAAAGCTAGACTTTACAAACATATTTAGTGAACCTATAAATCCTGGATATAGGCAAATGACTATATCTCTTTTTCACTCCAACCCAAATGCATTTCGACATCTGGAAACATTCGATCTCACGACCGACTATTATTTCGAGTTTTCGGATTTTATCTTATGGGAATTGTTTTGTTCATTAAGAATTCCTCTTAAGTATTTGACGTTGGATGCAACAAATTATGGCGCAGTAGATGATTCAAACCCAATGGATATTGACAGGATTTTACAATCCTTTTCTGAGACACTCGAGAGTCTTTCTGTCACAGGGTTTATATATAGTGAGAGGAACCAAGATTCAACCATAAAACTATCCTCTTGCTATCCGCTTTTGACGAATCTTTGCATTCGTGGCAGAGAGATGTCCCTTAATCTTGAGGACCTATTAGACAAATGTGTAGCCCTCAAACAGCTGGAATATTGCGGTGGGATATTGCTCATTAATCCAAACACGACAACAGAGGAGTCAAATCAGCATCAGAAGCAGCATGGACTACAGATTTTGAAGTTACACGATTTTTCTGCAGCCGCCGAAGTATTTGATCACATCTCTTTCAAGTGTAGAAGCTTGGAATATATGGATTTGAGTGTTTTTTATATCACGGGAAATATTTGTGAAAGAAACGGATGTTTGCTACTCGATATGTCACATACTTTCTTAAAAACTCTAAACATTGCCCAAATTCGATACGGATCAACATGCAAAAAAACACATTCAGACGATGCTATTGGTCTGACACTTCTGTCTCAACTATACGACGATCCATCAGCAGGAAAAGAGAGCGAAAGAGAAGAAAATCATATTGATTCAAAAAACACTATAGTAAAATATTGTGATATGGGTTGTTTCTATACATATGATTACCATAGAATTGGTGCGAATCGAGGCCTACACACTATGCAACTTTCAAAAACAAGTGCCAATATTGCACTTGGCTACTATCAAAACTCTTGGCCGAACAAATTCATCTCAACTTTAAAAGATGACAACTCATATGATGGAGTACATCGAGAGATCGAATGGGAACGCGAGCTTTGCAAAGGATACGCTAAATGGAGCTTTGGCAAGGTTAAAGATATCCATTTTATAAGTATATGAATTGACGCAGTAATAAATTGCATAGGGTCTATAATAGACTTTTTTTTTTGCAAAAGAAAATAAGGTAAAGTAAAGTAAAAGCCAAATTTGCATAAAGCATATTCTGAGCATGACAAGACAAGAAATAAACGATTAACAAGTAAGGTTACAAACCAAAGTATAAAATTTCGATAGTAAAATAGCTCATTTTCAACTGTCAAGTTATGAAGTTATAAATATTATGATAAGGATATTGCTACTCTGTCATCCACTATATGTTTAAGCCTGGTAGTAGTATATATCTATTCATTGACTTTTCTTGTAGACTATTCACATATCTGTGACCATTAACCTTTCATTGTATCAACACATCTATCTCCCCAACGAAACCTCATATGATCTCAGCTGTTTGTAAATTATTTCTACTCTCACTAGTGGATATTATGGTTTGTCCTTCCATTACAATAATAACAATAATAGTGTGTTACAAAGTCCCAATTGAACAAGAATTTGGTTTTCTATATATCTATAGTACAATATCTTTACTGAAGTAAAAAAAAAAACACTGTGGCATTAACAACTTGGGCCAACTACAACGATTTGATATCGAGTAAATTTATGCCAATAAACATTTTATTTCGATAGTACTTGTATAATAAAATTTATTCTTTTGTTTTTGTTTTATATGTACGGAGAGCTTACCGCGCCTTGTAAATCTTAATGGTTATCTCATTGGATCAATTGATAAAGGGCATTTATATTTAATGTAATTTATCCAGTCTCACTGAGTTTATATATTTTATTGTGCCCATTATGCCGGAAGAGTGTTCTATTGGGTAGCAGGCTATAGCGACTTGCCCGTATTCTTGTATTTGGCATTTACTCGATATATGTCAAAAGAACCAATATATATATATATCCATACATCTGTTATTCGCTTTTCTCTCTATCATTATCTTTACATAATTACCACTATGTGTGTATCTAAACTACCATTCGAAATTCTTACGCAAGTCGCCGACAATTTATCGGCAAAGGACATACTGTCTTGTTCTCTTACGTGCAAGGGATGGAGAGACCCGTTTCAAAAGGCCCTGTGGAAAGAGATGCGGCTTTATAGCTTTCACGGCATGCAAAGACTTATCTACATCATTCAAGACTCCCAAGGTGTATCCACATCGTACCCGCATTTGGCTCACAGTCTATGCATAGATGGTCGTTTTCGTACACCACTAAATTCAGTTTTTCAAGTTTCTGACCTGTCACTTTACCTGCCAAACGTAAAAAGATTGTGTCTCGTGAACATAAGCCAGACGAACATTTGTACAAGCCTAACAAAATCACATAAAATATGGAAGTCGCTGGAAAGCTTGAAAGTAGAATACGAAAGAAGTCTATGTGGTTTTATGACGCAAGGTCTATTTGCCTTTATAAATACGTGTACCATGCTCAATACACTAGAGATATGCGATGATGGATTTGGATTTGCCATAAGCCCCGGTGTGGGTACCTTTGACGATATCCACCAACGCTTGCAACACCTGTCATCTATCAAGGCTGGATTTTTTCTCGGACCTGTAATTTTGGATGCACTTGACACGGTCCCAAATACGACACCGGCTTTCTCTGTAACATCTCTTGACATAAGCTCAATAGAATTCAAAGAAAGAGGCTCAATTGGTGATAATGACGGCAGTGGAGAGGATTGGCACCCTTTGTGGATATATTATTTTGGATACAAGTATCCAAACTTGCTTTCCCTAAAGCTAGAAGTTACAGATCTATTTGAGGATCCTATACTCTCTGACGAAAGAGAGCTAATTATATCTCTTTTTCACGCCAATCCAAACGCATTTCAACACCTGGAGACATTCGATCTCACGACCGACAGTAATATAGAGTTTTCCGACTTTATGCTATGGGAGCTGCTTTGTCCTTTAAGAGTTCCTCTTAAGCATTTGACATTACATGCAACAAATTTCGGCACAGTGGAGCATTCATACCCAATGGATATTGACAGGATTTTACAATCCTTTTCTGGAACACTCGAGAGCCTTTCGGTCAGAGGATTTAAATATAGTGAGAGGAACCAAGATCCAACTATAAATCTATCCTCTCACTATCCGCTTTTGACCAATCTTTGCATCAGTGGCAGTCAGGTGTCTCTTAATCTAGACGACCTGTTGAATAAATGTGTGGCCCTCGAGCAGCTGGAATACTGTGGTGGAACGTTGGTCATCAATTCGAACACGATAACAGAGGAGTCAAATCAGCATCAGGAACAACATGGACTACAGATTTTGAAGTTACGCGATTGTTCTGTGGCCGCTGAAGCATTTGAGCACCTCTCTTTCAGGTGCAAAAACTTGGACTATATGGATGTGAGTGCTTTGTCCATCACGGGACCCATTTGTGCAAAAGCCGGATAGCAGCAATCTTACGGGGATGACGTTTCCTGGTGGGGGACTATGTCTCTATCTAATTGTAATAATTAATTGCGACTACCTGCCTGGAGCCTAGTGTCTTTTATCCTTCAAGGTAAAATAGTGTCTCCTAAAAATGTATTTTTCGTTTCTGCCAATGTAGTTGTTTCTATGAACACATATCTTCAATTTTTCTTTCAATTTTTCTTTTAATTGTATGTCGTACCTAACACAATTGGTGTTGACTCCGTTACGACTACAGATGTGGTATAGGCTCTCCGAGCCGCGCTTTTATTTTTTGAAAATATATAAATTAATAAAGTTATCATTCCCCTTGTTCCTCATATCTTTCCATGCTAAGCTAGTCATATTTGTTGCTATTGATGTGGTAATTGGGGAGGGAAAATGTCTGGTAAGTATATGGAAAATAATAAATAATAGTCAAAATGGTAATAGTCTTGAGTACCAGCGGCGGGTAGCTACCACATCTTTCGTCTTCACTTCGTCAACTTCCCCATTGTATGTCGTACCTAACACAATTGGTGTTGACTCCGTTACGACTACAGATGTGGTACTGTTCTCAGTACTAGGCACAAATATGGCTTCTGTAATCTGTGCTCCTCTGGAATGTTGTTCATTTGGCTTAAAGTAATATTGCTCAAATGTATTACTCGACGAACTCCAGTTGGCATGCCATTTGACTTCTTCTACTGGTATTCCTTGCAGTATTGCATGAGTACTTGCAGCTGATTTTGTGGAGTGTGCTGTATATTTCCTGGTATCAATCCCGGCTTCTTTTAAGATGTTGATCACCCAGTTGGCTACTGTTGTCGGTTTTACGGGTGTCGGTTTATCCGAGTCACTATATCCCAAGAAAAGAGTGTGGTCTATTTCTAACTTCTCCCTAGTCATGGCCGTTCTTTTCACAAACCAATCCAAGGTCAAAACTGGGCAGATTTCTGAAGTGCGAATAGTTCCTAACTTTGAGGACTTGGCCTGAGCCTCTTTTGGCTCCCGTGCAATCAACGTAACTCCTACTAGTTCTAGTTTCTCATTGTACTGTAGTTTGACGTCTCGAAACTGTAGGCGGCCCATATCCGATCTAGGTCGCCACATTGTCGCTAAACACAAAAGCATAATGGTCTTTTGTTGTAATTTTCCTAAAGGAAGATTCTCGCTTGGTCCCCAAGATTCCAATAACTGTAATACTGGCTGTACATCCCATGTTTCGTTGCTGATATTGGGTAATTTAAATGTTGTTCGTTTCTTTGCTTTGAAGAAGTTTTGGATCAGAGGATGATCTGCCAGTGGAATTTCGGTAGGATGTGTAATGCGATATACGGATCCCAAGGATGACCTTGCTACATTTAGTGTTTGGGGCGACTGATGTTTTATTGATAAAAGGTATCGTACTACTTGCATTGGTTGATATTCTTCTGGTATGACTTCTGGTGTTTGATGTGCACACCACTCAACCCATCTCTTTCATCCACTATCATATATTCTTTGCGTGTTCTGATCCATTTCTGGCAAATTCATTGGATAATCTAGCTGTGATACTAGATGATCTTTCCCTATTGCTGGTTGAGAGGATTGTTGTTCGTTGATGGGCTCTGGTGAGCATTGAAACCTGTTGGATTCGATTTTCCTCTCCCAAAAAAAGGTTTTTGTGTGTAAGTGGACTGTCCTCTACTAAAGAAGTTACCTCCACGGCCTCTTCCTCTGCCTCTATGACCTCCATTGGAGTATCCTCCGGTGGAATATCCTCCTCTCTTGTTACTGACAGCACTCTGGAGGACAGACTCTTCGTATCTTGCTTGTTGGATTTTCTCCATCCACTCCTGATCGAAGGCCATGTCTTTGTCGTTGTCATCTTCATCTTCGAGATATCTTGCTCTTGTGGGGAGCTTGATTGCTCGGATGCTGAGTTCTTTGGCATCTTCGTCCAGCGTTTTTCCACTTGCGAACGCATAGACGGCCAAACGCCTGACTTTTTCGATGAGTTCATCGAAATCGGCTGCGTCTTTGTTACTACTTTGTTGTGATTTAATATACTTGAGGTCGTTGAAGACTTCACTTGCTGCTTTTCCTGCAATTCGAAGTTTGTCGCCATCTTTGTATTTGCCTTGTACAATCTGATGGGCATCCACGGTGTATTTCTTGAGGTCAGGGACGAAAATCTGGTTGATCGCTCCTGACTTTGTCCATTTTCCACCTTCAAATTGGAGGGTGTCTTTTGTGAATCGAATAATGTTCGACTTGAGACCTTTCGCTGAAGGCTCGTCCAAATCTTTGAGGATTTCTTCTGGGAGGTTATCTCCGTCGTAATCTCGTTGTCTCTATTGTGCCTGCTGTCCAAGCTTAATAAGCTCGAGGATTTGTTCGGGTGAAAGTTCATTGATATTCATTTAATCCACGGTGCGCGGCTTGGAAAGATATGAGGAACAAGGGGAATGATAACTTTATTAATTTATATATTTTCAAAAAATAAAAGCGCGGCTCGGAGAGCCTATACCACATCTTTCGTCTTCACTTCGTCAACTTCCCCATTTTGCTTCCTTCGTCTCTATAATTTTGCCTTTTCATCCTCCTTTTACACGTATTAGCCTACTACTCTGTCCCCACACTTTGTGAATTAATCAATCTCTCCTCAGGAATATGACTCTAATTTCTTCAAGAACTACCGCCTGTCTTTGGACAATATAATAATAAAATGCTATTTGATATAAAAAACCTGTATATTCAGTTAATAGCCGTTTGCGTCTTAAACTTAGACTTGAGAATAAAGAATTAATAATTAGTCACAAATACACTATATCAATAGCCAGTTATGCAGAAGATTATAAGGAGTTGTTGTCATTAGATAGTGACGTAATCTTGCTTGATAACTTACTATTTATTATCTTCCTTACGCGTATAATGTCTTTTTCTTTCTTTCATCTACTTATATTTCCAGAGTTTGTTTCCTCCAATCGGTAAATAATGCTTACCCATTATTATTTTTCTTGTAAAGCACAAAAGAATGTTTTTATACGAATATTCTTTACCCTTAGGAACTGGATAGAGTTATTCCATACCAGCAGTATAGTAAGGTGTCATAATATTAATTTGGTCTATACATATGATTACCATAGAATTGGTGCGAATCGAGGCCTACACACTATGCAACTTTCAAAAACAAGTGCCAATATTGCACTTGGCTACTATCAAAACTCTTGGCCGAACAAATTCATCTCAACTTTAAAAAATGTCAGCTCATATGATGGAGTGAATCAAGAGATCGAATGGGAACGCGAGCTTTGCAAAGGATACGCTAAATGGAGATTTGGCAAGGTTAAAGATGTCCATTTTATAAGTATATGAATTGACGCAGTAATAAATTGAATAAGCTCTATAATAGGCTTTTTGTTTGCGAAAGAAAATAAAGTAAAGTAAAAACCAAATTTACATAAAAAAACATTCTGTAAGTCGCATTCTGAGCATGACAAGACAAGAAAGAATCGATGAACAAGTAAGGTTACAAACCAAAGTATAAAATTTCGATAGTAAAATAGCTCATTTTTAGCTGTCAAGTTATCCTTATGATAATACGAATAATATATATATATATATATATAGAAGTAGCGAGTAATAGTAGTATTCTTATAATCAAAACAGAAATATATGATTAGAGCAATATTTGTCGATGTGTATTCTTTGAATATGTATAAAGGATGGTGAATGAAAGGCGCTCACTATACACCAGATACACGTCTATAACATCTTGCTCCACTTACTTATTATCCCCTTCGTATTATTTTTGGAAGGTAAAGAGTCAAAATAACAATAATAATGGTAATAAAAATAAAGATAATGACTAGGTATAATAATTAAGTAAAAAAAAGAAGCAAGTAAACAAGACAAGTAGTTTATGGTTATATAAGTATACACGTATGTTTAATTGTATAAATATAGAGTTATATATATACGTTACTTGGACATCGTTTGATGCTCTTTCAGGGACTAAGAATTCAATCGTACAAATATCCACAATGGAGTCAGTATATTTGTATCTCCAGTTCTTCGTCAATAGTTTGGCAGACTATAGTTTATACTTCCTCTGGCTTTTCTGAGTCCGCAGTACTGTCTGACTTGAGTCTGATTTCACCGTCTGAAGAAAAGTACATTTTTTCAAGTGCATGGGTGTATTTAGCTTATAGAATTATTTTAATGGTATAGTCTGTATACACTAATCGGATTAGTGATAATAGTACACTCAATATGCAAATAAATTATACTACATAAGTCTCCTCTTTAGGCACTGAAAAGTTGTCTCTCCAGCAAGTGAACATACAACCTTGTGTACACCGCCATATTCTACCTTAATTTGTATTGAAGAATTTGTGGTAAACGTTTAAGAAGAATATCAGAACAAATCCTCGTGAAAAAACATATAGAAAAATCAGTTAGTGCGCCGTATAGTTAAGACATGTACATTGACCTCTAAGCCTGACTTTCAAGCGCGAACAAAGCATACTGAGACCAATTAGGAAAAATTTCAACTGAAAGAGATGGAATTGAAGTGACTGTACCATTGGTTTAGAGAAAGGTGTACTCTGAAAACTAAAATATATCTATATTTTATTTAGAAAAACAAAAAGAGTCAGCCATGTATCAATGTCAAGTTTAAACGATGTACTATTCGTTTTCAAATTATTTGTAATAAAAGATGAGCTTCCTAAACGAAAATAAAACAAAAAAATAAAAAGGACAATTGTATACTCGAAAAGAAAGAACCCGGTCTTTTTGATTCTGGACCTTGTGTGCTGTGGTTTGTATATTGTACTTACCCATCAGATAAATAACGATTTATCAGACTAATCAAAGAACACAAATACAATAACCGTCTCCTGCTTTTCTTTAATTGCATATTAGCATAGATTATTCTTAGAAAAAGATATATTGACTATTATGAGGTTGAGAATAGCCTCATATATATATAAAATTTATTAAATGAATTTTGCAGTTGAAATGATGAATAAATCCAAAGACACAGCCAAATATATAAGCGTAGTAATAAGAATGATACCAAGATCATCATATATACATAAAATATTTGACAGTAATTTCAAGTGAAATGTTAATATATGTATATATATATATATATATATATATACATATTGTCAGGGTTGGCAATGCTTATCAGAACCACCGCATCGATTTGGTTTAGTATTCTATCGTTTTATGTACATTAGTAGATCATCAGAAATAAAATCCAGATCAATTTTTATTTCCTAATTACTCTCTTTCGCTTTCTCTTTTCTTTGGATATATGTTTTCGTTCTTTTATACTGCCAATGTTTAATTTCAAGTATCTAAATCAAGAAGCCGTGCAAATGATGAAAATATCAATCAATGTACAATTACTGGATAGTCATTTTAAACCTTGTTTCCTTATTTTACCATTGCAGCCCCATAATACCCTCCGTTTCTCCTTCATCCTCATCCTTCTCCCTTCTCCCTCCTCTTCTCTCATTTTTGTTCGTATATTTATTATTTAAAATATTCCCCTAGAAATCTCTGTAAGGACTAGAACACTACTGTGGACAGTATGAGAATAAAAAGAAAGAAAAGAAAAAACAGCAAAACATAGCGTTTCTAATACTATCTACTAACGACATTATTATCTCCTGTTTGTCATGCTAGAAACTCACGATCTTAAAAGAAGACTGCGTATACTTGAATTCTACTTTACAGAATTAACAAACGTAATATAGATATATATTAATAAAGTAAAAAAAAGTGGAGGGAGGGTAGGAGGGAGGAGATTTCACGTTGGTGGCAAATAAGTTAGTAAATATCATCTATAATTACAATTTATTAGCATCTTCTCGACTTGATATACCTGTAGAAGAGAGAAAGAGGGGGAGGTAGATGGAAGAGGGAGGTGGAGAGAGATAATAATACCTTTGGGTTAGTTGTGCCTATATTTTATTGTTATCACTGTAAAGAAGAAGAGCAGAAATCAATTATATGATTGTATTTGCCTTGGCTTGGCTTGGCTTGGCTTGGCTTGGCTTGTACTGCTTAGTGAGGGAGGGTGTTACTATTTATTTTAAATAATAATAATAATAAGCTCTTTAGAAAAGTATGCTTAGTTTCTTAAAAACAAGAAGTATAGACAGACCTACATAGATAATGAACATAATAAAATTTATTGATTTTCTATTTTTTTTAAAGATAAAAACAAATGTAGCTGATCGTGGTACACTTAGACCTAGTGCTCATTTTTTCAAACTTGTGTCGCACCAAAATTTATTATTAAATACCCACACTTTACACATACACTAATTCCTCCTCTTCTTCATATTCTTCTTATTCTTCATAGCTCTCTTACAGCTGTTGCATATTATTATACTAAATATACGAACAAGAAATAATATAGAAGGAAACTCTTCTCGACACTTTAAATATTTTTAAATACTTCTTGTGATAAACATCTTCTTTAGAAAAATATGGTTATAATAATAAACGTGTTTCAATAAAATAGAGAGAGAGAAAAGAGAAAGAAAAATAGTGGTGATATTGGGTATCAAAATAATAATAAAAAAAAAAGAAAAAAAAAAAGAAAAAACAGGTTAAGAATAATATATGGGGTACTCTACACACAATAAAGTAAATAAAGTACGTAAAGTACAACACACAAAATTACAAAAATTGGGTTGAGAAAAAGAAATGTAAGAGATAAAGAAAACAGAAAAAAAAATATAGAAATAGAAAAATATAAATACTACACAGAGGTGTTTCGAAATTGGCCACTCCAAGAAGAAGAACAATATCAAAGAGAGAGAGAGAGAAAAAAAAATGAAAGAAAGAAGAATATAACAGAGGAGAATAAAGGGAGGAGATGAATAGAAAGAAAAACTGAGGTTGATAGATAGGTAAGTAGGTGAGTAGGTAGGTAAATTGGTAAGGTAAATAAGTAGGTAAATGGGTAGGTAGATAAGGTAGTTGGGGGTGGTGAGTAAGGTGAGTGGGTTGATTATTATGACTTAGTATTCGCTGTCATCTTCGTTCTTCAACTTTTCGATGGGAAACTTTTGGTCAATTTTTCCAATCCAATCAATCATCTCAGCACGTGTAGTGGCCTGTAGTAAGTAGGCATTGTTGCTTGTATACAAGGCAAATAGATTTGTACGCTACAAAGAAAGTTGAAATTTAGTTTTAGTTTTAGAGGCAAAATGGAATGCATGCTTATATATATATCAAAGCTAATTTGAACCGTTTCTAACCAAATGGGTGTATACCTGTACCTTTATCATCCTCTCCAATTCTCGGTTATAATCAATCCTCACAGAAGACACATTGATGATTCCCTGCTCGTTTGTCTCAGATTGGTTGGTATAAATGTAGATATATGGTCTGTAGTTATAACAAGCACAATTACACACAGTTGTTTTAATACCAGGTCAAAGAAGAAGAATTAAACAAGCTTTGGATACAAATGTGGATTCAAAGCAAAGCTTAAATTTTCTATAGTGAAAAATAAATTCTTACCTTCGAATCACGAACCATCGCTTGATCCATGAATCCGTGACTGTATCTTCTGGGCAAAATAGATAACCTTTTTTGGATACGGTATCACTTTTATATCCAAATATAAAAGAAAAGGTATATAATTAATTGTCATAATAAATAAGAGAAAAAAAAGGACTGCTTTAAAACATACGTTTGAGTTACAAGCTTAACTTCTGCTAGAAGTTTTGATGTACTACGAAGATCTTCTCGGCTTTGACCTTCTTGCATACCAGGCACAGGTGGATCTTGGCTGATAACAATCTAAAGAAAGAAAGAGCAAAAAAAAAAACGATAGGTATGTTTTTAGTGACCCATTACTTTACAAATGAAAAAATCGAAGAAAAATATATGTATTCAATTCTAATCCTAATCCTGATTCACTTCCACTTCTTCTTTAAAGTATGCATATATAGATTATTTACCTCTTTATCTGTACCCAGTTTCAATTTCCACAGACCCAGTACTTTTCTAACAAGTGCTGCCTGCGCATCCGTAAACCCGTCATCAGATACTCTTGGGCTGGTGGTATTAGGGGATTTGGGTGAACTGGTAAGGGTTGTTGTTGTTGTGGTAGATTCGCACAGTGCTCTCAAGCCAACAACTTGTCTTGTGAAATCAACCTGGTGCTTCCAGGACAGACGATCCTGGATCTGGCGGTAATCATTCACCAGCGATACACCTCGCGGCCGCCAGGAACCTAGATACTCTTCGCCGCGAACATACTTTGCGGCCGTGTTCAGGCGCCAGAGCTGGCTCAGACGGCGGGTCATGGGTGGCCGCAGATTGACGATGAATATGCCACTGCATTTGGAAAGCTGCTTGCTGGAATCCAGAAGCTTGTACAGAATCGACTTGCTGGTCGACGCATCGCGCGCACGGATCTGAACAGCAATGTCCATGTTGAACTGGACTGGCTTGGCGCACTTCTTGGCCTCGACCTCCCACTTGAGGTTCAGGAGGATGCGGTTGTCAGAAGCCGTTATCCGGTTCAGGAACAGGCAGTCGTGCTGCGAACTGTCCCAGGCACCCAGAGCTCTGAGTTTGCTTGTGCCGTCGTTGTTGTAAGACACTTCCTGTGGAGACTGCAGGCGGATCTGGATGTCTTCGTGTGTGGGCGAGTCGACGATGCGACCTTTTGAGTCCAGGAGACGGACCTGACCAATAGACGCTGTGGTGACTCGGTTCCACTCGAACTGTCTTCCAGAAGTGTGCGACAAGGTTATATAGATTCTGCGCTGGAGTCCCTGACGAAGCAAGAACACTCCGCGATCAAGACTGTTCTGCGCCGTCACATTTACTGGATTGTATTCTCCGTCTAAAGCCAGTTCGCCAACTTCGATCCAGGCAACGATATCGTGGCGCTCGGCAGCCAAGAGCTCTTCTTCTGAACGTCTCTCTAGGTTTGTTGGAGTCGTGTTGGCATTGGCATTCGAGTTTGCATTTGCGGGATCACTTCCGATGGATCTAAAGTGGTGCTGCTGCTGGACCTGCTGACTAGCTGCTAACAAATCTGCCAGGCGAGGCTTCTCTCGCTGATCATCCCACCGCTCATGCTGCGAAAGAACACGCGACTGTGCAAGACCGTATACTTCAAACTGGATCATTCCGTGCAAGAGGACATCGAGCACTTTACGTGTCACAAGAAGCGACAGGGTCTCGGAGTGGTCCAAACTGATAGGCTCATTTTCAAACTCTCCAATCGGCTCGGTAGCAAAAATCTTTTCGTTGGTCGAGTGTGCCATGATACTGCCAAACGACGAGAGGCGGAACTGGACATGCACCTTTGTAAACTCTGATTCGCTTAGGCCGGTCATCTCGATAAGGCGAACTTCAAACAAGAGCTGGTGTCCTGCCCTGAGAATGATGTTGTGGTTAAGCGTATTGGCATTAGTGTTGTTGGTGGTTGACTTTTCGGACTCATCCGACTCATCTGATGATGAGAAGGGCTGTCTTGCGTCCGGACCACGAATTGCGGCTGAACATGCGATGTAAGACACGGCGATCCGCAACTTTCCTTTCACCTGGCCAGTTGAGCGGCAGATGATATCGACGTTGCTTTCAAAGGTCTGCTGAAGGGTTAGGTTGCGCATCGAGATGGCTGCACTTCCCAAGAAAGTGTATTTTGGACAAGGGTTCTCGAAAAATGGATCTTCAAAATTAAAGTGGGAGCGATAGAGAGGTTTGTCGATAACGTTGTACAGGTTTCGCATCTTGTGGAGTCGCATCTTGAGTTTCTCGAGAGACCAGACATAGACAGCCTGGTTCTTTCGGTCGATCACACGTACGCCAATACATGGCTTGGGTGTAGAGATCAGGGTGGTGTCTTCGTCTGTTTCGAATTGCTGTAATGCAGACGTGGTCTCCCAGGCCGAAAGTGGATTGGAGAACTGGCCATCTTCAATGATAGCAAACTGGTAAAGCACATCTTTTCCGAGCTCCTTTGAAATTATATTGGCTTCTTTCAACATAACCGCGTTGGTCAGTACTGATTCTGCCATGGCCACATTCCGTAGCTTCTTCCATCGGTCGAGAACCCTGCGAAGCAGTTCGAGTTGAGCATCTGTGTAGACGCAGAGATTCAGTTCTGACATTTGAGAAAACTGGCGAGACATGCGATGGATCTCGGCTTCAAAGTGACGCTTCTGGTGGTCGAGTTCCTTTTGCATCTTTTCTTTCTCGAGCTTGAGCTTCTCTTCTCTGTCTGTCTGGACAAATGTGTTTTCGGTGCAGACGCTCTCGAGACCGTCTTCAATGACGGTGCCGGCAATCGAGTTGCGCAAGGATCCACGAGAAGAAGAAACATCGTCGTCGTTTTCGTTTCTGCTCTCGGATCGGATTCGGCGCAGGTTGCGGACACGGGTGATGTCGTCAAAGAGCTTTTCGAGTTCTTCGTCCTTGAGGCCACCAAAGTTTGATTCGGTTGCATAGTAGTTCAGAACAGCTTCACGGCGGGCGTAGTTCCAGTCCATGACTTCGGTACTGGGCATCATCATGCTCTCTGTGGGCGAGTCGGGTCGATCGAACTCATCGACCGAGCCAGATGTGCTCATGGACTTTTCGGCGGCCACCTTTTGCAGATCTCGCTCTCGGCGGACTTCTTCGGGGTGATTAAAACGGAAGATGTGGTAGTCACCCAGGATGATGCGGTACCCGCTTCTCAGCCGCCGTGCTTCTGAGATTCGGACACCGTTAACCATTGTCATGGCCTCGCCATTAGGGTGTACAGTAACGACCCCGTCGTCGTTTTCGAACCAGCAATGCTCTTCGAGGATATTCGAGCCACTCAGTCTGATGTCGGCCTGGACTTGACTACCGTGCTGGCCGACCCGGGTCTTGCCTTGCTTGATTTGGTACATCAGGCACTCTGACATGAGCGGGTCTTCGTTGAGGTTGACAAGATGGGGGATCTTCTTGGGCGTATAGACACCGACATTGTTCTTGTGGACAGCGATACCGAATTCAGCCAGAGCCTTTTCACGCTCTATCTGTATTTCTTCGGTCTTCTTGAGTTTTTCTTCCCAGGTCTCATTAAGATTGGCAAGCAGTTTTTCTGAGCTCTGGAGCTGTTCGACAATTTCTTCCTTGGTCATCTTTTTCCGGTTGCCCTGACTGTCCAATATCTCAAACTCGGTTGGTTTCTTTTGTGTACCCGATGCTGGTGACGCCGACGCCGCTGCTGCTGCCGACGCCGCTGCCGCCGCTGCTGCTGCCGCTGCTGCTGGCCCACCTTTGGCCGCTCCTTTTGCGCCTGCCTTTGACCCAGAGCGAGTGGTCGCTGGTGTTCCTGGCCTACTTCCACTACTTGTGCTTTTGTAGACACTGGATGCTGTCAACTGCTCGACTTCCTCTGGTGCATAGGTGCGCAGTCTGTCTCGAAGAACCTCGAGTTCGTCTTTGAGATCACGAATCAGTTTAGCGTTTGGATCTTCATTGACTACAGCTTTGTTCTTGATCTTCTTGGCTTGATCTGCGTATCGAAGAGTACTGAGGGTTTCGTCGTAATCTGCTGGTGAAATTGCGGCAATCATTGCAGTTTTGGAGTTACCACCAAGTGAATCTTTGAGTAGCCATGTCAAGATCTTTGTTGTTAAGAGAAAGAAATAATGTAAGTACAAGTGTAGGTTAATGTATTTTTTTTTAACTTACAGAATCACGATAGGGAATAAAGACTTCTTTTTTGTTTTTTCCTTTCTTGCCTTCTTGCATGGCCTGCTCAGCAAGACCAGCGATGACTTTACCGAGAGTTGTGAGAGACTTGTTGATACTGGCACCTTCTTTGAGACGAGTACCAGTTGCACCTGTACTATTGGCACGTTCACTACCTGCCAGATCGACCAAACTATATAATAGTAACATTGTGTTTTACAAGCCCATATACACACACATAATAAAATGATGTTATTATTAATATAGTTCTTTTATAGATATAGATATAGATATATATAGGTTGCTTGTGCTACCAATAATTGCAGTAGACAGCAACAGCAGGATTTATAAATTATGTATCTGTATTAACTTGCCTGATTCTGGCTACTTTCTCAGTTTCGAGTTTTGTTAGTTCGTCAAGTAATTTCTGTGTAAGAAAAATGGTGAAGACTGCATGGGAACGTGAAGAGGTTTCGTTCATGTTTGTTGCAGCAACAGTTCTTGCCTGTATGGATATGTGAGTACAAGGTTTTTTTAAATAAAATAAAAATAGGAGGATAAAAATAATATAAAAAGCTATATACACACATACAAGAGCTAATCTCTATATAATTCTTTTACCTTGTTTCCTTCGTCCATTAGATGGTTGAGATCATCGTATGATTTGACTACGAGTCTGGAAAGATCTTCTACATAAGGACCCAAGCTTGGATGTTCACGCACTTTGAGATTTCCAGTGTTGCTTGGATTTAGTAAATCGCGGACCTTTTCGTTGTAGATTTCGATGTAGGAGACTTCTACTTGTTGTGTAAGATTTGGATTTGGATTCCTTGCTATTCGGTTGAAGAGTTCGACACAAGTGAGTGGGGTAATACCCTTGTCTTCACCATAACCCATCTATGTTTATAAAGACAAAAGATTAGATACTGTTTTCCTATGTGTATTTTTCAAAGCAAAAACAAAATAGAATAATAATCACCATTGAATAAGATTTTCCTGAACCAGTTTGACCATCTAATAATCATAATTATAACCATTAATTCGTAAATAAATCTGCGCATATTCTTTTCTTTTGTCCTTAATCCATTTGGATGATAATTTGATCTTATTTGATATGAAAATAAAAGACAATAAAAAAAATAACATATATATATATGTCTATATATATTCTTACAGGCAAAAATACAACAATTGTAACCATCAAACGCGTGGTTGAGTAAGTCTTCACCAAGATCATTGTAGACCACCTTTTGATCGGCGTAAGTTGGATCGTTTTTGTCAGCAGACCAATAGGATTTGTCGAATGTGAAAGCTTTGATGTCCTCGCCTTCTTTGCCAGGTGGTTTGCGAATAATCGTCTGGTTTCCCTCCATGCGAACAAGGCTCTCAGCCCCACGTGCGATTTCTGAATAGAAATAAAAAAAAAGGTTTGATGTTATTTGCCTATTCTTTTAGTATTGTGTTTTAATTTACCTCTTGCATTAAGAGGACGACATCGCACGACGACCTTGATGTTGCCTCCGCTCATTGTCCAGGATGAGTTGAATGTGAAGAAGAAGTGAAATTGTTTGTTGTGTCGATCTAGAGATGGATGGATGGAATCGATTGATGTTAGTAATCCGTCAGTTGCTTACTTTTTTATTTTTTGATTTATCTATTAGTTTTTCTGTGTGTGTGTTTGTCTTTACCAAGAAAATATGATGGTTGTTCTTATTCTTAGAGAGAGAGAAAAGAAAGTAAATGTCAAAATAATGTGGGCGTCTCTTTTCTTCTTTCTTCTTCGTTCTCTTGTATTGTGGAATGTGGATGTGCAATAGTTGATGAGGTGTATTTCGTATACCCAAACACTAGAAAACACACTGCACTATACTATTTTATGCTATACTTGAGTATAGATTTCTTTTTTTTTTATTTGCTGGTGAATAACTACAGGCGTATTGACTGTAAACTCAGCAAGACAACAAATATAATATATATATATATATATTATATATATATATATTATATATTATATATAAATATAATAAAAACTAAGAGAGAAAGAGAAAGAGAGAGAGAGAGAGAAAGGTATATTTTAAGAGGAAAGAAGAAGAAGATGAAGAAGAAGATGAAATGATAGGAAATGAGAGGAAATAATTTTTTGAATAATTTTTTTTATTATTTTTAGTTAAAGAGGGGATTGGCCCGGAATACAAGGACGGAAGGGGAGCGAGGAAAGCCGGGCAAAATGCTGTTGTGTGTGATGAGTGAGGTAGCTTGGAGACAAATATAAAAGAATACAAAAATAGACGGAGCCCAAAAAGAGGTCTTTTTTTTTATGTATATTTTTATTTTTGTTATTTTTTATTACTATTATTATTTATACATATAAAAAGAAAGTTACAGATACACACACACACATAGACATAGACACAATTGTATGTAAGTATTTATGTATGTATGCAATTATGTATGTACATGTATATATATATATTTATACAGGCAAACCAGTCAGTCAGCAAGTCAGCCAGTCAGTCAGTAAGTCAGTCAGTCAGGCACGCAGACAAATAAGCATACTAGACTATCAAGCAATCAATCAACTAAGCAACTAAGCAATCAGGAAATCAATTAATGAAATAGCCAAGTAAATGAATTCAATTCAAATAAGTAAATAATAATAATAATAAAGTCAGTAAGCCTGATGTGAAATAATAACCAATCCCCATGGTTACTTGTGCTTTTGAAAAAGGAAAAAGGAAGAACAGCAAGCATTACACAGTTTTGGGTTTTGGATCTCCTCAGTTTCAAATGGAAACTTATATAATCTACACTAATACCTTATTTTATATTCAAAAAAAATTAACTCATCCCAGTCTTGACTTGAAAATGCTTTATGTCTGTAGTTTAGAATCCAGGGCTGTACATGAATTCCCCATCAGAATTCACTCAGGAACATTTTATGTACAACCCGCCTGTCTTTCTCTCTCTCTCTCTATCTCTATCTAGCTATCAGCCAATATCTTTATTCCTTACTTCTTTCCAGATCTCCTTACTTGATACACAGATCAACCAAAGACAACCAAAGGCAACCAAGACGACATATTTACCCATCAATACTTCTTTTAACGATATTTTAATCAAGACATTGGCAATAGAATGCATTAGATCGTTATATAATCGATGTATTATAAGATACACACCAGATACATTACTATTCGGTTCACAGTAACCAAGTTTCTATCTGCTCATAAACTAGATCAAGGAGTACAATATAAATACAAATAAGCAAATAGGGGGGGTGAATTGAGGGTATATCTATTGGAATACCTTGTTTCTTTGCATGGATTGGAATGCTTTTGCCTGCTTTCTTGCCTGCCTGCCTGCCTGCCTGCCTATCTACCTACCTACCGACCTACCTAATTATCTTCTTGTCTTTCTGTCTGTCTAAGCACACACACACACACACACATATATATATATATATATATATAGAATCAAGCTATATAAACCCTTTTGTTTCTTCGATTACAATCATTCTCCTTTTTCTCCTTCATTCATTTTCTTGTAAAAAAAACCTATTTATATTAATACTTTTTGTCATTATCATTAATCATTAAACCTATTAAATCATTATGCGCTTCAATACCATTTTCATTGCTACCGTTGCTTGCCTGGTTGCCACTGGCTCGTTTGTCAAGGCAACAGAAGACGATCTTCTTGGAGACCACCAAGTAGATGGTCTGGACTTGGATCCTTCGGCCGTCGACTTACAACCTGCCGGGCTTGACTTGGATCACTCAGAAGCCGACTTGGAACCTGCCGGGCTTGATCTGGACCATTCGGATATTGACTTGCAACCTGCCGGACTCGACCTGGATCATTCGGATGTTGACTTGCAACCTGCCGGATTCGACCTGGATCACTCAGATGTTGACTTGCATCCTACGCTCGATAACCCATTGGATATCGAGAGACGTTCGATTGGTTCCACAGGATCCGGTATTGGTTCTGGTCTCCAGTCTGCAAAGTCACAGCAGCAAGCCAAGGGTCTTGCCGCACTCAGAAAAACTCCGGGTGGTAAAGGGTCTTCTGCTGCAGCTATCAAGGGATACATGCGTCTTAACTCTGCAAAGTACAAACTCAAGAAGGCCACCGACTTTTCTTAGATTATATTCGAATAGAATAGAATATAATTTTTTTATTTTATTTCATTTCATTTATTTTATTTTTGTATCGAAACATAAACATATCAAGGCTTCTATTTCATATCTTTCACATACACATTTCTATTAATTTTTTATTTTTTATTTTTTATAATAATAATATAACGATATTAATAAAAAAAAAAGGGTCGTCATCATACTAAAGAAGCAGAAGAAGAAGACAGACAGACAAAAGGGGTGGGGGGCTAAGATATACATTTGTACACTCCTTATTAGCAGGCAATGTGTATATAAGTGAACAATAGTGAAAGAAGGAAATAAATAAATAAATAAATAAATAAAGAAACAACCACTTTCACTTGCACTGTACCATATACGATACAGTACAACACAGTGCAATACAATGCAAAACAATGCAATAGAGTATGATAATTCTTTAGAAGGAAATCTCCTTGGAATTTGTACAAAGAAAAGGGCCGATCAACTTACAACCTACCACCACTTCATTTCTGAGTTCTGTTCTGTACACAAGAAAAGAAGGCCTGATTTGCGATGAACCAAAAGAGAAAAAAAAACAGAATAGGTTTTGAGATATCAGGCCATTTGAACGATGTCTTCTTAATCTTACATACATACATATATATATATACACTAAAGGTGATATTTCTTGTTAAACATATTACCTTTACAAAGTAGTCTTCTTCCTCTTCCTCTTTGTTTTCTATTTCTATTTAAGTGAGCAGAGCTTACCTTCTCATTTGACTTGAAAAAAAAAGTAAAAATCAAAACAAATACACCAAAAAAGAAAACAATGTATAGTGTGTATCAACCTAAAGATTGAAATAACTGACTGTCAATCATATGAAATTGTATAAATATCTTTTCTGTCTGTCTGTAAATGTCGATTTGTTTCATCCAACCTTCTGGTGTAATTTTTTACCGCACTTCATCCTTATTTTGGTAGAGGATTCTGAATTTCTATTGGAAGGTCAATCAGTTTTTTGTGTGTGTGTGTGTAGAGATAAAAGAAAAGAAAAAATGTAAGGGAATTTTGTACCCGCGGTTGCTAAATTTGGGTGAGGTTTTTCCGAAAAGCTATAATCACTGTGTGTTTGCTCGTAGTTCATGACAACCATTTCACACTCCGTGCTACCAGCAGGTGAGATGCAAGGCTGGCAACGCTTTTATAAGCCAATTATAGCTTCAACAGCTATCTCATTAGTTTCACTTTTTTCTGTGAGTGGGAAGATGTGTGTTATGGATCAATTTCTTTTCTTTCTCTTTCTTTATATTACTTTTGCTTTTATAAAGTCATATACATATACATATATATATATTGGATACAGCAGAAAATAGCCTATGTATTACTGTTGAAATCTATTGATATACTAGATATTTTTAGTGAAAATATTTTTGAATTAATTCATAATTATAAATATGTTTGGTGTGAAGAGACTGATAAAAAAAAAGCTTAAATTTGAAGGACGCACGCGCGCGCTTGTGTGTGTGTGTGTGGAATCCACAAGGTGTTATTTGCACCTCTACTCAGATTTGTAACCAAGCAACCAAACCTACTCTAGAGTTCTCGCTCAAAACTATTAATCGAATATTATCATTTATTACTATAGCAATAAAAGGACAAACCCTTTACATAAATACATAGATACATACATATATATATATATATATCCGGTTATATACTCATTAGATACTATATAGTCTCTTTATTAAGACGAATAACATTTATACTCAGGTTCATAAACATCTTTATACCCGTCCAATATTCATCCGTTTCGTTCGTCCAAAGATTGATCTTAAATTCTACCCCAAAAAGAAAATGTTTCAAATTTATGTCACACAGAATACTGAATATTTAGGCAATATTCGAACACTGAGGCCAAAGAGGTGAAGGGGATGAAGATTTGAAACCCTAAGATCCGATCTTCAGTTTTGACAAAGACATTATCTCATTCAATGTATTTGGGTGGTTCTCATCTGTCCTTATTATGCAGCTACTCAGTTGTTCCTTCTCATTTTCACCCCTTCTCTCACTTTCTTCTCCCATATATACCAGATTACCAGATTACCGGATTTTCCTTTCCTTCCTTCCTTCCTTCCTTTTATATTATTGTATCACATTCACATTCACATTCACATTCACATTCACATATCCTTATCATCCTCCTCTCCTTATACATACCTCTTCTTTCTATTAAAAGCATCTTATATTTTATACTTTGTAAATCTTTAGAATATGTTTCTTGTACATCTGTTTTGTCCAAAACTTAACTCTTCCTTTCACCCTATCATTATACCACTTTATATTCTTTTCCCTATATATATATATATATTGCTCTTATCAAGTAACTATATTAATTAGTTTTATCCTCATTATATATGTTAAATCCAAATACTATATTTTGGTAAATATATCCATATTTAGGCTTTAAAGAAGTCTAACGCCCTATACATGCACAACGTTCAAAAAAGAAGAAGGAAAGAAGAAAAAGTTATTATTATCGCTGTTGTAACTATTGCAGTAGCATGCGTATTCTAATGAGCGATAGTATGCAAAATAAAGACTAATATATACTAAAATTAACAGTAACAACAAGCTAATATAATGCCAAGATACCGTCTCCGTAGCTTTGGCAAAGTGAAGAACATATAAATGAATGCAAAGCCTATCATAGAAATGTTCCTGGATTTCTGTCTTCCCAGCGTTATTAGTCTATGCATTCTTGGGTTAGAAGGAGGGGCTTTTTTTTTAGAAACTAAAGCCTAGAGTTTTTAGACAATACCATGAGCACACTGGAAAACACTTTAAAGTCAACATTAAACATAACTTTTGTATAAAGCTTTTCGTTTGAAATTTATACTTATTCCTGGTATATAATAGCACAGTATAAAGTCTATTTCCTTGAATTAGGACAATAGAAAAATAAAAGGGGGTTTTAGAGAGGCTCCGTGTCCGCGAGAAAAGTGTCCGGTTTGAGCAATCATAATTTCCAGAGAAATTTTGTACACAATAGAAACATAATCATCATTGAGTAAATGTTTCTTACAAGTTGATGGGATATTTATTTTTGGGAGAGAAGCGTTGTGTTTAGATAACCATTGCCATTGTTATTATTACTGTTTTTATTCGTTCTTTATAGGTCTTTTTTATATTTTTTTTTGGCTCATTTTTCTTTCATTATTTTAGGTGTTGCTCACGAGAGGAAGATGTTTAAATTAAAAAATAAGAAGTGTGAGAACGGAACCGATGACTGTCAGGTATCTAATAGTGAAGAGGATGTATTCTGTCAAGCCAAAAGAGGGTGGTCAAGTATGAACAAAAGCAGTACATGAAAAGGTGCAATTGAGATTTAATAGAAAAATTGTTCCCGATTGACAGACAATACAAATATTTTAAAAGAGTACAAAAATATGGTAAAGCAGCAGTGAGTCCAGCCAAGTGAAGAGGTGAAGGATTTTTAAAGATATAAAAAAGAAAGAGAATAATGATCGATGTAACTTTTATGAAGGAATGTTGACGAAATTATTTTCTAGCCAAAAAGAAAAAGACTGCGAGAGAAATGAATGTCAAGTGGGTGCCTATTTTCTGTAGAGACTGGTACTTTCTATAGCCATAGTGGAGGCTTTGAGAATGCTAATGATTGAACCACAAAAGATTCAGGATTATTACATCCCCGAAGAAGGTTCAACTTATCATGCTACCATTTTCGTTACTTAGTTGTCCTTAGGACTATATGCTTTTTTTTGTCTGATAGGTCGGGTACGTTCCTTGTTAGCTTCCACTGTGAATTTTTTTTTAACAAAATCAAGACAGTAGAAAAAGGTAATAATAAAACAACAGCCAACAGTATTATTATTAGAGACAAACTTAATGGTATATTGTGGGTGGGTTATATAGTGGAATTATAAGTTCAGCGACAAGAAAATGAATATCGGTAGAAGGACAATCTTAAGAAAGAACAAATTAAAGAGAGCTAGTAAACTACTTTGGGTCATTTTTTACAGACACACCACCACTTCAAAGCTGATTTCAGTGAGCGATATCAAAAGAAATCCCGCCGTGCTATAGTAAACTGAATGAACGCCTCATTAGAAAATATACCGTGTCTATCTTACCATGGAACAGAAGTATAATAAGACAACTCTCAAGTGTAATATAGTAGTACCAAAAAACATTATCAATAGAATTTTTAAAGACAAATGTAAAACCAAAATCAAAACGAGACAAAAACATAAAGATAATATCAAAGTCAAATGAGATCAAAATTTATTGTTCAAAGATTTTTATAAGGGGAATATAAGTTAAGTTAAATTAAATTAAGTATACTAAGATATTCCAGGCCATGCTAGTCCAGTCGAGTCCAGTCGGTTCCAGTCAAGTCCAGTCGGTTTTTTTTTCTTGGTCCATTTGATTTTTCTTTTGATCTTTTTTTTTGTCCGTTTTCTTTTGATCTTTTTTTTTGTCCGTTTTTTTTCTTCTTTTTTTTGTCCAGTCAATATAAGCTAAGAGTGATAGGAGGAGGATTTTGGTATTGAAAAATAATAAAGGGGATAATTTGGACTTTTTGTTTTTTTTCTTGTTTTTTTTATTCTTTTTTTGATTCTTTTTTTTTTTGTCCAGTCAATTTCACGAAATAATAATGAGGATGATTTTGATATTGAAAAGAATAAAAAAGATAATTTGGACTTTTTTTTTTTGATTTTTTTTTGTCCGAACACAGCACACTTAGTAAAGGGGATAATTTGGACTTTTTGATTTTGATTTTTGATTTTGATTTTTTTTTGATTTTTTTTTACTTCTTTTTTTTTGTCCAGTCAATTTCACATAATAGTAATAAGAGAAGGGGGTTTTGGTATTGCTCTTTTTGCTCTTTCTGTTTTTTTTTGAGCTTCTTTTTTTGAGCATTTTTTTTGTTTTTTGTTTTTTGTTTTTGATCAAAGACTTCATTTGCTTTGTATGTATATATGTAAAAAGGGATTTCATACCTTGTCCTGATCCAGAGTCTTGTTCCAGTTCGCAGCTTTGCTTCAATCCAGGTCCAGGTTCCAATGCAGTGTTCTTCCGGTTTGTTCATCTTTTTTTTTTTGCTTTTTTTATTTGTTTTTTTTGTTTTTTTTTTGCTTTTTTTTTGCTTTTTTTTTTGCTTTTTTTTTGCTTTTTTTTGTTTTGTTTTTTTTTTTTGCTTTTTTTGCTTTTTTTTTTGAGAGAGAGGAGGGCTTAGTATATGCCTGTGTGATTTTTGGACAGGACTTAGTATAGGCCTCAGGGTCGGATTTCTTTTGATCCTTTTGGAGTGGAGGACTTAATGTGCCTGATCATTTCTGATAGGTTTTGGTCTACGCCTCGGTTTTTGGATTTGATCCTTTAGGAGTGGAGGACTTAGTATATGCCTCGAGTTCGGATTTCTTTTGATCCTTTTGGAGAGGAGGACTTAGTATATGCCTGTTTTTTTTACAGGACTTAGTATAGGCCTCGGATTTGGTTTTTGGTTTTTGGTTTTTCTTTTGGAACTTGCTTTTGGAACTTTGCATTGGACCCCTTCTTGGAAATCGACTTGGCCTTGAGACTTGGAGGTACAACCCAGATTTTGGACTTTGATAGAAATGCGCCTCTACTTTTTTATGTATATATGTATGTATATAAGTGTGTATATGTATGTTTGTATGTCTATGACTATGACTATGACTATGACTATGTGTATGTGTATGTGTGTGTGTGTATGTGTGTGTGTGTGTGTGTGTGTGTGTGTGTGTGTATGTGTGTGTGTGTGTGTGTGTGTAAGAAAGAAATAGAAAAATAGAAATTGTGTGTGTTTGTGTGTGTATGTATTTGTCTACTTCTCTAATTGTGTACTTCTCTATTTGTTTGTATATGTTTGTGTGCTAGGACTAGTACTAGAACAGTACTTGGACAGTTTTTGGACATTTGGACTTTGACTTGGACAAGACTTGGAATTGGATTTGGACTTGGACTTGGACATAGCAATGGACCTTGGCTTGACTATTTTGGAGATTGTACTAGTGACTATGGGGTTTGATCTGAGATAGAGAGATAATTGTGAGCACAATTTTTTCTGGTCAATATTGTTCTGGTTGTTTTTCTTTTCTTTTTTTTCTTTTTTTTTGTATCTTTTCATTTTCTTTTTATATATTTTTTTCTCTTTTTCTTCTTTTCTTTTTTGACTATCTATCTTGATTTGGCTTTGAATCTTGACAGTGACCTTGAGGGTCTCTGAAAAGCCTTTTTTTTCTCTGGTGCGCATTTGGAGCCTGTGTTGTAGTAATACAAAAAATGATTAGTCTATGTCTTGAGATAGTTCACCCTTTTTTACGGTACTTACATTAGCCTTTCTTGTGGGCCGCATTGATGTTTGCTCTGGCGCATACTTTGGCCTCTCTTGTAGGATAGTTAGCCATTTTTGCTGGCACATACTGTGGTCTTTCTTGTGGGCTAGTTGGCCCTTTTTGCTGGCACATACTGTGGCCTTTCTTGTGGGGC